ATCTCGCACCCAGCTCGTTCCGGCGTATAGCCAAGCATCACGCTGCTGCTGCCCTACAGCTGTCAGGCAAATGCCACGGATCTGGACTTTGACCTCGTCAGTCGCATTGAACAGGTCAATGTCACCCACAATGGTGGAGCCGGCTGTCGAGGTCACGATTGCGTCGGCAGTGAGCTGCTGCTGCTGCTGCTGCTGACTGAGGTTCTCATTCCCGCTCGCGCTCGCAGACAGTCGGCTGTTTGGGGGATGACCCGGACACAGTCAACCCGTGTTGGCAGGTAGAGAGTCGACAGGCGGTCATCGCCCGGGAACGAGAAGGCGGCGAGCAGGCCCTGGGCAGCCGTGTCGACAGGCGCAGGATGCATGCAGGCGTGGAGCGCAGAGGACTCGGGCGGCGAGGACAAGGTCACCGTGGCTCGATGGAGTCGGCGCAGCATGGCTTTGGCCTTGAAGGGGCTGGCGTACTGCAGGCCAACTTCAGCCAGGCTGGAGTAGAGCTGCTCCATGTCCAGTGCGTCCATCGGCAGGGGCCTGGCACTCTCCCCAGTCCGGTGCGGCAGGACCTCGTTCTCCTCCTCTTGGCCAGACTCGGACCCAGACCGGCCGAGCCATAGCCGTACCCCTCCCGTGAAGTGGGCAGAAAGTGCCGTCTGCGGCGCGTCCAGCGGCAGCGGCGCGTCCACGGGTCCGCTGTAGCATGCCACCTGGGCGGTGATGCAGTCCTCCGACTGGCTCGTCACGCGAACAGTAAGAACCACTTCCAGACCGGAATCTTGCTCGAGGCGCATTGCGCGAACAATGTCGATATCATGGAGCTCGACAAGCCGGACCAATTTCTGCTTCTTCTCGTCCTCGTCGGCAACAAGTTGAAGAGCGGCCTCGTACGCCATGGACAGGTAGCCCGACGCCGGAAACAAGACTTCTCCCTGGATCACATGTCCCGCCAGCCAAGGAAGCTCTTGCAGCCTGATGACCTGCTTCCAGTGCACTTCTCGCTTGTTGTCGCGCGCGCCACCGCCATACACAACAGGATGGCCCAGGAGCTCGTGCCGGCCGTAACCACGGCGGCCGCCGACGCGGAAGAGACGAGAGGTCCGAGACTCCTTCCAGATGGGACTGGCATGATTCCACGAGTAGGGCGGCAGACCTTTCAGGACTCTAAGATCTTCAGTTTCCGTGTTGTCGGCGGTATCCTGTTGCAAGGCTCGACGCACGCCGTCAAAGGTGACAATGGGGCGTCCGGTGGGTGGCGATGGGAACAGAGACCAAACAGTACCTAGGGCTTCCGTAAGGGACTCGACCGCATTCTGCCCTCGCTTCAGGGCGCCGGAGTAGGGCAGCGAGACAAGACCACCAGTTGACGTCTTGACCGTCTCCGAGGCCGGTCCCTTGAGCGCGGGGTGCGGTCCGACCTCGAGCGCCAGATCAAAGACGTGGTCTTGGTCCAGCGCCCGCGCCAACGCCTGGCTGAATTTCACCGGCCGCGTCAGGTTGTCGACCCAGTATTGGCCCTCGTAAAGTGTACCGTCAGCATTGTGGTCGTCGTTGTCCCAAACGCTCGAGTACCATCGGCATTGTTGGTGCTGGCCGCGACGTTTCTCTGGCGTCTGCAGCTTCACGCCGCATTCCTTCATCGACTCGAGGTACGGGCCGGCGCACGGCTTCATGTGATGCGAGTGATAGGCCGTGTCGACCTGCAATACCCGCGCAAACGTGCCCTCCTGCTGCAAGCGCGCAAAGGCCTTATCGACGGCGTCAGCATCGCCCGCGAGCGTGCAGCTCGTGTGCGAATTGCTCGCCGCCGCGACCAGGGCGCCGTCGAACTCGGCGCAAAAGGCCGTCGCCTGCTCCCATCCCATCCCGACGGCCATCATCTTGCCGCGTGTCTCGAGGCCGGCGCCGGGTCCATGTGCGCGGTGAGCGTGCAGGCCGCGGTAGTACGCCACGCGGATCGCATCTGCGGCGTCGAGGTAGCCCGCCGTGTACGCCGCCGCGATCTCGCCCGAGGAGTGTCCAACCACGGCGGCGAACTCGATCCCTGCGGCCCTCAGCGTGTCAACTAGGGCGATCTGGAGAGCCGTGCAAAGGGGCTGAGAGACAGCTGCTTCGGCAACGCGCGAAGTCTCGCCGTCGGCTAGCAGCTGGTCGGCCAGCCGCCAGGTCGGGCGATCCTCGGCGGCGGGTAGGGCATCGAGGCTCCGCTGCATGTCATCGATGGCAGCTCGGAACAGCCCCGAAGCGGAGGCACCGTAGTAGAGTTCACGGCCCATAGTCGCCCACTGCGCGCCCTGCCCGGTAAAGATACCCAAGATCCGTGGCGGCAGGGCCTCGGGAAAGACCGAGTTGACGCCCGCTCGGCGCTCGAGAGATTTGGCTGCTTCCTCGAGCTTGGAAGCGAGCTGCTCGGCCGTCGAGCAGGCGGAGAAGGAGGCGCGGAAGGCAAATGGGGTACGCCGGAACAGCGTGTGTGCCAGGGCCGTGAGTTCGATCTTGTCCGAGTGAGCGCGAAGATGGCTGGCAAGGGCGCTGGCATTTGCGGCCAGAGCGGCATTCGAGTGGGCCGACAGGACGAACGGTCCGACTACAGCCTCCTGGGCTTCTTTGACTTTGGGTCCATGGTCACCGTCAGCGTCACTGGCTTCAGCCTGAGACGAAGTCGAGGCCGTGTCAAAGCCCGAGTCGGAACCATCGGCTCCGGCAGGTCCGGTACCGCCGCCCTCGAAACTCTCGAGGATGGCGTGGGCATTCGTGCCGCCAAAGCCGAAGCTGTTGACACTGACTCGTCGCACGCTTCCCTCTGGGACGCTGGGCCAGGGAACCGTCTCGGTCGGGATGCGTAGGTTGGTGTAGTACGGCTGAATCTTGGGGTTCAGCTTCTGGAAGTGGAGGTTCGCCGGGATGCGGCCGTGCTGGAGAGCCAACGACGCCTTGAGCACCCCCGCGACACCGGCCGTGCCCTCGGTGTGGCCGATTATCGTCTTGATGCTGCCTACCACGAGCTCACGGTGCTCACCTTTGTCGACGTCGGTGTTGCCGTTATTGGGGAAGAAGACGCTCTGGATCGCTCGGGCTTCGATGGCTAATGGGAAGATTGTCAGTCCAGGCCAACCACCAAAGTTGACAAGGAAGCTGGTTACTTACGGTCGCCCGCGGGTGTGCCGGTGCCGTGAGCCTCAAAGTATTGTGGACGATCGGATTCTCGCGACGGGTCGAGCCCGCATCTGGCGTACGTGTCCCGGATGAGCCGCGCCTGCGACTCGTAGCTCGGCATCGTGATGCCCGGCGTCTTTCCGTCCGAATTGACGCCCGTCTCGCGGATGACGCACTCGATGTGGTCCCCGTCGGCGATGGCCTGGCTCAGCGTCTTGAGGAAGACGACGCCGAAGCCTTCGCCGCGCGTGTATCCATCTGCCTGCGAATCCCACATGAATGATCTCCCATTCGGCGACAGCATGTTGAGCTAAGGTAGAGAGGCGTTAGAGAACACGTCTGGTGGGTGCAGGTGACAGGTTGGTATAGTTACTAACCTTGGACTCGCTGATGAAGGGCTCGGGACCCAGGATGAGATTCGAACCGGCCGCAACAGCCATGCCAGCCTCTCCGTTCCGGAGGGCACAGACTGCCTGATGCAGGGCCACCAGACTCGACGAACAGGCTGTGTCGAGGGTTACTGACGGACCGCGCCAGTCGTAAAAGTACGACACCCGATTGGACAAGATGGATGACCCGGTTCCTGTCGCGTGGTACTGAGGCAGGCTGTCGATGCCTCGGACCGCGGTGTACTGGTAATCGTAGAACATGCAGCCGACAAATACAGCTGTAGACGATCCCCGGAGCTGCTGCATCGAGTACCCGGCCGATTCTATTCCCTCGTACACCGTTTCGAGGAGTAGTCGTTGCTGGGGATCCATGGCCTCGGCTTCCTTGGGGTTGATGGAGAAGAAGTCGCGATCGAAGCCACGGGGATCTTCATCAAGGAGGTAGGCGTGCTTGACGTTGGTACTCTGGGCTTTTGGTCAGACATTTGCATACCTACCTAAGGGGAAGGACAGGGGCTTACTCCGTGGTGCTGGCTGTCTGCATGGTAGAATGCCTCGGTGCTGAAGCGGCTCGCTGGTATTTGCTGCACCACATCGCGAGGCGTCTCTAGGAGTTCCCACAGCCGGGACGGCGAGGTCGCGCCGCCCGGGAGACGGCAGCTGCTGCCTACAATGGCAATTGGCTTGCTTGCGAACATCTCGGGCTGACTACCCATGGTGACGCGGGATCAGGGAGATAGATGACAGGCGGGCGAGTCTTGAGACTTTGGGGGTCGAGTCTCTTGGTTTGGTTCAGGTGAAGTGCTGTGTACGAGTTGGTCTGTTTCGAGACTGTTTTCTCGGTCCTCGAACAATCTATAATAATGATACTGCGACAGCGTTGGGCTTGAGAATTGAGAGCTACTATATCAAGCCGGAGGAGTGGATTCTTGGCCGATCGGGTCAGAAACAAGACATGTAATGACCTTGGCTCCTTCGCCTGGTCGGCCTTCATTTGCAACTATGGCGACATAACAGTGACGGCTCCGATTCCGGTCCGACAAGATTCAAGAGACACAGGAAGCCTCAAGACGGAACACGGAGGCGGCCGCTATTCGGATTGCAACCGGTGCAGCTTACGAGACTTGTCTTAGCCAATGCGGCGTTTACCGCTCCTGATTGGTGCCGATGTGCACTTTACGTCGGTATTACCGCTCCGGCCCGATCGGAAATTCCGGCCGCTCTTATGTGAGATCGGAACTATACGCAACGGAACGGGCCTGTTGCTGCGCCGTTCGATTCGTTACTCTTGTGGTTGAGCGGCGTTCTACAAGTCCAGAACATGGACAAGGAATCTAGCGCAAAGTTGGGTTCAAGATATGAGAGTGATAATCATATATCCATGGACTCAGAGATCCTCGCGTCTTTTTTTGTAAAATTCCGTGAGCCTAAGTCTATCTATCAATCCCAATGCCAGACACTATGAGAGCCCTTGTAGGCGCCGACTCAGGCAGCCGTTATCGCCTCGCCCAAGACGCCCCAATTCCCGACCCTCCACGCGGCATGATGCTTGTCCGCGTTCACTCCGTCGCTTTCAACCCACGCGATGCCAACAAAATGGTCGACTACTCCTCCAACGCTGCTGCTCCCGGGTCAACCGGCGGCGGTTGTGACTTCGCCGGCACCGTCGCCGGGCTGGGCGAGGGCGTGACGCGGTTCCAGGTGGGCGACCGCGTCCTCGCGTGCTCCTTCGGCCCAGACGCCACGGACAAGAGCAAAGGAGGTGCCTTTGCCGAGTTCGCGCTGGCCGAGCAAGATGGCAGCTGCCGCGTGCCCGACGCCATGGACTTCGCTGAGGCATGTTCGGTCGGCATGGGGCTCGCCGCCGTCGGCCAGCTGTCGCTGATGCACCGCGGCGGCGAGGGCGGCACGAGAGACGACGACAACAACAACACCACTGTGCTCGTTTCCGGCGGCGCGACGCCCACCGGCATCATAGCCACACAGCTGCTCAAGATGGCCGGCTACATCCCGATCGTGACCTGCTCGCCCGCCGACAACGCCCTGTGCCGGGAATACGGTGCCGCCGCGTGCTTCGACAGCCACTCGCCGGCCTGCGGCGCTAACATCCGCGTTCACACCGACAATGGCCTCCTTTACGCGCTGGACTGCATCGCCGATGACGTCTCCATGAAGATGTGCTACGAGGCCATCGGCTCCGGCTCCGGCTTGTCGTATTACTTCGGTCTCGAGAAACCCGCTAATGCCATCGCCGTCAAGTACACGCGGCGGGACGTGCGGGCCGACTGGACGCTGGCCGACGGCGTTCAAGTGTTGGACGGCGGTTTTGACAACTTACCCGCGGCCTTGGAGGACTTGAAGACGGTGAAGGTGCATAATACGAAGAAGCTGATTGTGCCGCTCATGGCGTAGTTGGAGGTACCTAGCTAGTCAGTAGACGGGATGTAGGCTTTATACAGGTATTACTTGAGATAATTAGACCGAGTTAGATCTTGGCTCGAATTTCTGCATGAGTATTCTGTTTAGTTGCCTACTATTGAACAATTGTACTCTATCTGCATGGAAGTTCAACTTCATACTGTCACGATATCCTCGTGGTGTAAGTCGATTCTGCCCAGAGAGACCGCTTTTACTTTACACGCGACCTTGCCTAGCTTTGTCAGCGACCCCTGACTTTATAAGCGGCCTCGCGGTGAGATACACTCAGAGAATACAAGCCACTTTCAACCTTATGACCCTACTGCGTACGGCAGGCTTTTAGCGACACATACATGATGCTGCGATGTTTCCACCATTGGTATACTAAGCTGAGTCCGCCCGAACTCCGTGATTCATTCCTAAGGTTCCTCTCGCTTTTCAGCCGTTCGGGGCAGAATGCGATGGTAAGGTAGCCTACCTTCCGTCCGGCGCTCGAGACTGCCTAATGATCGCTGTATTTCCGAGTCGGAGAGCGTCTAATAAAGTAAGCCGGAATCTTCAATCACCGACCCAGCCGTACAGGTGCAGGGCCGACGCGACTCAACCCCGATGACGCCTGATTTCCAAGTTCCACCATGAAATGGTCGGACCCGATCGGTGGTCACCTAGAGGGGCGGCAAATTCAGTAACTTCCCTTTCAGGTTACATGTCAGACGGTGCTCTCGGACGCCGGCTTACATCGTTGGTTGGTTGCCCCTGAAGTCGGCACACATCAGTCTTCGTCTTCAAGTTCAAATTGATTCTTCCATCTCCGTCGCTTCCACCCGTGAAAACCACCTACATTTTCAATTTCATCCAGCCGGCTGCAGGTCTTTCAGTGCGTAGGTAGTGAGCACTGTCCTGCAATCATCTTCATCATCTTCCCAAGTCATTTTGCTCTCCTCCCGTAGCACCGAACACGCAAAATGGCGGACTCGGCCCCACCTCGCCTCGATGCTGATATCAAAACTCTCGACGGCATTACCCTGCGCGGATGGCTGTTTCCTGCCGCCTCGCGTGGTCCGGCCATGATAATGACGCCTGGGGTAAGTACCTACCTAACTTTCGTCTATTTCCTTTTCATTTCGCGCTCTTGAGACCTGTTCACGAAGAAGACGGCGGGAAACTGACGCATGGGGTGTGTGCCTGACCCTTCTGTAGTTCAACTTTCCCAAGGATGCCAACCTGCCCGACATTGCAAGGTGGTTTCAAGAACACGGCATCACCATTCTTCTCTATGATCCGCGCGGTATAGGCGCCAGCGAAGGAGAGCCCAGAAATGAGGTAATTAAGTCCTTCTTGCTGGAGTTGGTGGTTCTTCTTCTTCGCGAAACCCTGCAACCTTTCAACGTTCTCTTGTCCGCTGACATTTTCGATTTTTTTTCTGGCGCGAGTAGGTCGACCCTCGTCAGCAGATTGAGGACCTCCATGACGCCGTGACCTGGATCAAGCAACATCCTCTGGTCGACGAGACCAAGATCGCACTGTGGGGTTTATGTTGGGGAGGGAACGTCACCCTTGCGGCGACCGCATTTGAGTACGTGTGGGCTGTCTTCCGGTTTTGCCCAACGAGTGGCCCAGACGTGCCGTGCCCCCTTGAAGCTGATGCAGACTTTTCATTTTAGCAAGCGTGTGGCGGCCACCATAGCCATGGCACCCATGATCAACACGGACGGTAGCCCCGAGAGGCGCAAGCCTCTGCTGGAGCTCGCCATGCACGACCGGACGAGCCAGCTGCTGGAGGGCCAGAGCCCCATGTACCTGCCCTACATTGACGAGGATGGCAACATGCCCAACGGGCAGGAGATGGCGCCCGAGATCATCCCCGCGCTCGACCGGCTTGGCATCGCCCTCGAGAACCGCATATCGGTGCAGACGTACTACAAGTGCCTGGCGTGGAACCTGCTCCACGTCGTCAAGTACGTCGCCCCCACGCCCGCCATGATGGTCACGCCCGAGCTCGACGAGACGAGTCCCCTAGATAGTCAGCTTCATTGCTTCACCCAGATGGGGTACCCCAAGGAGTTGGATATCTTGAAGGGAAGTGGTCATTTGGACTGGATGTTCAAGGATTTAGAGCAGATTTTGCGCAGGCAGTTTGAATTTCTGAAGAAATACATGGAGTTCTGAGGGAGGTGACAATTGGTAGATTCAGGGGCCAAGTAAATAAAGACGCGCCAACACGCTTTTAGTCCGAGTATAGACCAGGAGGCGCCGTCTATCCGGTTCTTAAAGCTTATGTTGAATATCTATAGCTACAATTCTGGAACAGGGGTGTATAACACAGACATCTCGCTACATTTAGTGCATTTCCGCATGGTCCATTTCCGCCTGCAGTTCCTGGATGATGAGCCTCAGTCTCTCACGCTCACTGGGTATGTTTCCGACAATCTCTTGTACATGCTCAAGAAGACCACTGCGGCGCGTCGAGTGGTGGGCTGGTGTGGCTGACGATGCTGTAGACTGACCGGGGGCAATGTCAATGGCGTAGTCGTCGGCGGCCATAGCACTGCAGTCGAGCATGGACGCGGGTGCGATAAACTGGCTCTCCTGCTCAGTCGTCGTGTGCGATGTCACCAAGAAGCGGCCCATGCGACTGATGAGGTGCATCAGCAATTGCAGCACCATGACGAACTGGGCGACATTGAGAGGTCCCACGCCGCAATTGTCTCGGGCGGCGTGTTGTTGTTGTTTTTGTTCCCGCTCTTCTTTCTTGGCTTGCAGTCTACCTTGTATGGCATCGCAAATGGCTCGGAAGAGCGCCATGAGGTTTTGGTGACAAGCGAGAGCCGACAAGGCCAGTCCGGCGTAATCGGCCGTGGTCATTGATTCGTCACGTCCTGCTGTCTCTGCCGCTGTCATGATGTTGTTGACGGTGCTTATCAGCGTATTCGTGTCCTCCAAAGCCTCGTTCACCTCGGGCGACGACACCATCAGGGTGGTTGCACCTGCACCTGTGCTGGAGCGGGAGAGACGGCGGACTGTCCGCATGGCCCTTTGGCTCACGGCCGTCAACTGTGAGAACAAGAAGCTCGTTGTGTCTTCATGGTCGGTGTCGATCTCCATCAAAGGAGCTGGGGCGGTGGCGTCGTAAAAGGGCACCGCTGGCATGGACGAAGCAGACACAGCCTCTGCTAGCAATGTGGCGAGCGACTCGAGCGAATTTGGGGGAATTTGAAGTGGCAGCAGGTGATGCTCTGCGTCCGATGCACCATAGCCGCCGGCAGCCGTCTCGCCTTCGTCAACATGCAGGTCGTGAGAAGGGTGACCCATCAAGGCGGTAATAAGGTGGGAGTGACCAGTCGGTGAGCTAGGCGTCTCATCACCATTACCAAAGGCCGGCCCGAGCTCGAAGGGATCTGTGCCTTTAATTTCGCTAGGCGAGCGAACAGGACAGCGACGGCGATGGCCTCGTTGTTTCTCTGTGAAAGATTGGTCAGCTTACTGGGTATCATCGTCTGTTGGTCCGCTCTGGCACCAGTACCACGGTCCGCACCACTCTTTTTCCCCGTCAAGTAATGTTACTGGACGACGAGAAGGTTGTGCGGTTGCATCACTGATGAGAAAGCATGAAACCTACCACTGTACACGCATTCCGCTCCTGCTTTTGCACAGCGGTCGCACAACAGGGAAGCGGATACTCGGCCTGGGCCTGGGACAGAAGTGTTGTTGTCTCGCAAGCACCTTACTTTCTGCTGGCGACAGCGGTCGCAGGACTGGCGGTGTGCAGGTGACATGGTACGCCAAAGAGAGGCGACCGGAGATGAAGATTAGGGAAATTGAGAATCGGCTAAAAGAAGCAATTCTTTCAGATGAAGAGTAGCGATGGGGGAAAAGGGCCGGTTTGGTGAAGCTGGTTGCACGGGGAGCAGATTTAACCACGAAATCTGTTTCTTTTTCACACGGGTCCACCGATCGTGCATCCTTCCTGCAGTGCGAGGTTCACAGCTTCCTAGATGACCCTCAGTTCACCTTGTACACCCGTTGCCGACTCTCAGTGCAGGGTGTCGATGATGATTTGCTCTTGTTCGCACCAAGCTTTGATCACCTCAAGCCATGATACGCGGTCAGCAAATCCTCTGCTACGTTGAGTAAGATACACGCATTATATTACGCAAATCATCGACCCTGCCGTGCAGGTGCAGAGCCGACGGGTAATTGAACCAGCTGCAGCTTACACAACGCGCTCTCTTCATTTGCCACCTGGGCCAGCAAACAGCCACACAGTTGCAGTAGACACCAGATCTGGTAGTATCCTTCGGGCCGCGAGCTAGGCCCCAGGGGCGCAGGGTGATAAGCGTTTCTAGATTGTATTGAATGTTGGGTAGGATTGTGGACAAAGTCGGTTACAAAGTTGTCCAAGTACGTCAATTGATAGGATATCCCTGTTGTGACTATTGCTTGTGGATCCAACTATCTGTTATAGGATCTCGCGTATTTGGCTGGCGGAATCCGTCCAATGGTATCTGTCTGTCATTTTTCCAGATGGCCCCACTTTCGCGGGCGCGCAGCCACATTGCCTACTCCAACACAAGTTCCGGAATGACGAGCCGTGTCTTTGTGTAACCCTACGACGCCTCTAGATCCTAGCTGTTTCTGTGCCGCTCCCTTGCTTCTTCAAAGTGTTATGATTGCCTTTCCAGCGCAAGCTAGGTTTTTCGCATTTGTAAGCGAGCCAGTTCGTTTGCTATTTGTAAGCGAGCGAGGTCGTGGACATTCCGCCAAACGAAAACAAGTGAAATTGAGAAAATGAGCAAGGCGTCCAGCTACTTTACAACGCCGTCACCAACTCATCCCTTGTTTTCTCTTCTCGAGATCCTTCGCCTCACACTCGCACAGTGATCAATTCTCGTTCCCCAACGTGGTCTTCGCAAGCAGGAAAATATGTCTTTAGAAAAGGCTGCGCCAACCGACAGCGACACCGGGGAGGGTGTGTTCCAAACACACGACGAATCACAGCTGTCTCATAGTCCTGACAACAAGTCTGATAACAAGGTTCAGCTGCAAGCCGACGGACCGCCCGATGGCGGCACCGGCGCCTGGCTCGCTGTTCTTGGCGCCTGGTGCTGCTCCTTCAACAGCTTCGGCTGGATGAACAGTAAGCTCCGCCGGCCCGTCCCGAAGCTGACATGCAACGTTCACTTGGCATCGATTTCTTCTTGGCACTCAGGCCCTAACTCCCTTGGCAGGCGTGGGCGTCTTTCAAAGCTATTACGAATTTGGCCCTCTCAGGGACTACGACAGCAGCACCATTTCGTGGATCCCGTCGCTCGAGATCTTCTTCCTCTTTTTCCTAGGGCCTGCCGTCGGCTTCTTGTTTGACAAGTATGGCCCGACGCCGCTCATTATCGCCGGCACCTTCTTGCATGTTTTTGGACTCATGATGGCATCCCTGGCAACCGAGTACTACCAGTTCCTCTTGGCCCAGGGCGTCTGCAGTGCCATTGGTCTTAGCTTCTTGTACTCGCCCGGTAGGTTTCTTCCAGGTCGGCCGACCTCATGGTCCACTCCTTGACCTCATCCGGGAAATCTCGATTCCTTGCTGACAGCACACCCACAACAGCGATTGCGACTATCGCGACCTGGTTTCAAAAAAAAAGAGGCCTTGCGATGGGTGTCATGGTGACCGGCTCGTCTCTCGGCGGCGTCATCTTCCCCGTCATGCTCAATCGCCTGATCCAGAATCCGAGCATCGGGTATCCCTGGGCCATGCGGATCGCCGCCTTTCTCATCTTGGGCTTGCAAATCGTCGCAGTATTCACCCTCCGGCCGAGAACAGCGCCAGTGCCCAAGAAGACGCCGGCCGCAACCCTGGCCGCCCCCTTCAAGGAGTTTCCTTTCGTCATCATGTTGCTGGGCATGTTCATCCTGATGTACGGCATCTTCATTCCGGTCAACTACTTGGCCCTGCAGGCTTTGGAGCAGGCTCATGTGTCCGAATCCATGTCGCTCTACCTGGTGGCCATTTTCAATGGTGCGAGGTGAGTTTAACCCCAACCCTCAAGGGTTACCCACCTAACCTACCGTACCCGCCTTGGGCTGGAAACGCTGGGATTTGCTTGATAGGTGGCTGACCTCGCTTACATTACAAAGTCTTTTCGGCCGTCTGGGCTCTGGATACTGGTCTGACATCGCCGGCCGATGGAACGTGTTCGTCATCGCTGGTGCCACGTCGGGCATCGTCGAGCTGGCCCTCTGGATCCCAGCCACATACGAGTCCGCCGTCATCGGCTTCGCCGTCGCGTTCGGCTTCCTCTCGGGCGCCTTCGTCAGCCTTCTCGCGGCCCTGCCGGCGACCGTGTCCCCTCTGCCCCAGATCGGCTACCGGATCGGCGTCGTCATGCTCGTCCTCTCGGTTCCCGCCCTTACCATGGCGCCCATCGGCGGGCGCATCTTGCAGAGCGCGAGTTCGGTTGACGATGGCTGGCTGCACGTCAAGATCTTTGGAGGTGTCATGTCCCTCGCCGGGTCGGCCGTTGTCTTCTACGCCAGGACTCTCTACTCCAAGAAGTTTTGGGCGGCTTTTTAAAGACAGTGAAGGTGATACACACACACGCGCCCACAACTCAAATTCACAGGGGCGCGTCGAGAAGGCGTGACATTGGTCTGGTACCTATAGTGCTTCTTCACAGCAGTGGGGGATGAATTGTCGATGCTGGTGAAGGGCGTTAGGCCTCAGGCAATAGCAATATGGAATAGAAATGTCTTGTCTCAGCATACTCGATCGTGCAAATTACTTTGTCTCTTCCATTTGACGGCCTGGGCTGGGGAAGAGGCCTTCCCCAGGGAGCACCTTACAGTGGAGTAGCCGACCCAGCGCCTCACACGCAAAACCGCTCATACCCTAGCCTGATCAATGTGCGCTAGGGCGCATGGTGATCCTAGCATAGGCGAGCCCCTATTAAAAAGCTTATCCCCTATCAAAAAGCTTGTCCATCTGACCCGAGCGCTACCCGCTTTAGCGTCTCGGCAGCAACAAGGTCACCTTCTAATGACATAAGCAGAAAGCTTACATAACCTCCCAGACTCAGTAAAAACAGCGTGATAATGCTATTATATGGTCCGTGCGAAGCTAAAGGAGGCCAGGTCGGGTTCGAATGGATACGGGCCGGTCCGTAGCTCAGATGAGGAAGCTCCCTTTCCTGATCTTCGTTATTTTAGTTAATAGAGCCCTGATCAGTGTGAGCTCGCCTCCCATCTAACTAACACTTGCCATGATATTCCAGAAATGAGGCTGTGGTACCACGGCTTTGTTCAAGAACACTGAAATCAAGAGAGTACTGAAGCTTGCAATCAAATTCTCTTCTTCCTCATTCCAGCCAGGGCCTAGGGAGCTGGATAACCCCGGTAGAGTGTGCACCCCGTGAGATAGAGATAAGGCTTGTAGCATGGACGTGAGGAAGCGGGTACTACATGCACGACCATGGTTCATTTTGCCCCGGCAGCTTCCGGCTTACCACACTGATACACGAAGTTGATTCACACAGGACGCAGGTCATTCGTGGCTTGCTCCCAATCTGACCACCAAGAACTCAAAACATTACCTTCCTAGGTAGTCTTAGTCGACGCATGTCAAGGTGTGGCCATGGAACTCGGAGAATCCCGATCTGACCACCAAGAGCTCAAAACAACACCTTCCTAGGTAGTCTTAGTCGATGCATGCAAAGGTGTGGCCATGAACCTCGGATACTCCAATGCGTTCAACGACCGCTTCTTGGAGGGCGTTAAGTCTCTAGCCGACTAAGGACTGACGACTCCGACCGACTTGGGAGCTAAAACTCCGACCGACCGACTTGAGAGGCAAAACACCGACCGGAAGGAATTCAATCGGAGCCGATGACCGGCATTCTACAGGTACCAAGCTGTACCGCCGTCTGTCGATTTGCGGCCCGGGGAATCGGCAATCACGCCCGTCAACACGCCGATTCCGAGCACCATCAAGACATTGCTTTCTTTAGAGGCAATTTGTCAGCTAGCAGTCCGGTTCGGAGTCTTGCCAAATGTATGAGAAACTTGAGTCGGGCCTAATGGTCCAGTCTGCCATGAGCCACAGTCTATATGACGCTTTGAACAGGCATTGTGCGTCTCGCAATACCGTTCTCCCTAGCATCCTCAACAAGCCCTTTCCCTCACAAACCTTCCAAGTTAGCATCTCCAATATGATTTCGACGAATTCGAGTGCCATGACGGACATAACTGCACTCATTCTTTCTCCAAGTTTCCTCATCTCGGCTGCCCTTCTTGTCGCCGGCAATGTCATCTTCTTTCTACTTTCTTACACTCGCCGCCCGAGGGGCTTCCCCCCGGGCCCGCTTGGTGTCCCGGGCCTCGGCAACCTCTTCCAGATCAACAAATCGATTCCTGCTTTGACCTACAGCGCCTGGGCGCACAAGTACGGCCAAGACAGGCCAATGGGCGTCAAGCTGGGCGCCACCAACATCGTGGTGCTGAACAGCGCGCGGATGGTGCGCGATCTGTTTGAGCGGCGCGGCGCCATCTACAGCGACCGGCCGCGACCGAACGGCGAGGACGAGAAATGGAAGTTCCAGACACACCAAGTCCCCGCCTCCCTCTTCCACGACAGCGGGCCCTGGCTGACGCGGTGGCGCCGCGAGTTCAACGGCGCCCTCGGCAGCGCGGCCGCCGTCGCGCGCCTGCACCCGATGAATGACGCCGAGACGGCCCGTTTGCTGGTTGCGCTGCTCGAGGCGGGTCCGACCACCCGGCGCGCCGAGCTCGAGGACATCATCCTGAGCTGGGTCACGAGCGTGCCGTGCATCGCCGTATGTGGGCAGCGGCCGGACGCCATGGCCCACCACGGCTTTGACATGGACATCTTCCGACGCCGGACCGCCGGCTACATGATGCTCCACAAGCCCAGTCTCATGGACTCGATCCCAGTGCTCCGGTACCTCCCCGGCAAATTTGGCATGGCCGGGTGGAGGGCGAAGTCACGCGCCGTTGCGAAAGACGTGTTCGAGATCGCAGACCAGTTCCTCAGCGCCGCCAAGGAGCACCGCGCGGTGCTGGACGACGCCGACGCCGCGGCGGGAAAAAGTCCCAACAACAGGACCGAAGGGTACTACGAGAGCCTGGGGGCCAGGATGCTGCGGGAGCAGCGGGAGAACAGAGACAAGGACGTGTGGACGGACCTGGGCCTCTCGGCGTGGAACATCGTGGCTGCCGCCATGTACACGTCGCTTGCCACATTCTCCACCATGCTGATGATCGTGGCCAAGTATCCAGATGTGCAGCAACGCATCAGGGACGAGGTGTTGCAAGTGTCGGGCGGTGACGGGGCGCTGTTGAAGTCTGCTGACGTTGCTCGCCTGACCTACACAGAGGCATTTTGGCACGAGGCAAGTAACTCTCAAAAGATGTTGACCAAAGAGAGATTGGGCATTTGCGTTAATAAATGACAATACAGGTTAATCGGTGGAGGCCTGTAGCCCCGCAGGGCATTCCTCACGCTCCCGCTCAAGACGATGTTTACGACGGATACCAGATTCCGAAGCACACCGCCGTATACGCCAACGTGTGGCATATCCACCACTCTCCGGAGGACTACGAGTCGCCCGAAAAGTTCGAGCCGGAACGGTTCCTGCGCCACCCCTTCGGGATGCGGCCGGGCGCGGCGCACGACCCGGCCACCATGGAGGGATCGACGAGCTCTGCATCGGCGAGCGCTCGGGCCACGTACGCGTTTGGATTCGGGCGCCGGGTCTGTCCCGGAATGCTGCTGGCCAAGCAGAGCCTGATACTGGGACTGGCCAAGGTGCTGTGGGCATTTGATGTGCTGCCGGCTCAAGAAGGGGAGGAGCTCGATCTGAACGTCAACACTGGCTTTGTCCAGGGACTCATCACTTTCCATCCAAAAAACCTCGACGTCTCGCTGAAACTGAGACCTGGACGCAGCAAGCAAGATATTCTGGACCACTACTCTGAGGCCTACAAAGTCGAGGAGGAGGTTATGCGCTGGTAGGATGCTCCAGGGCCTGAGACGACGCAGGGCTCCATTCAGAGTCACTTGCATCTTCATCTCACTCTGAGTCCTTGACGAAGACATCCTGGCATTCTCTGCGAGCCGTCCTTGTTTCTCATCTTTCTTTTTAACTTGCTGTTGGGCAAAGTATTGGACTTTGGGTGCAGCACCTGTCGACGATCGTTAAGGTACATGGCCACCTGAACATCGAGCCACTCGAAGACGCATTGTCTTCCAGAATGCAGTTACTGCAAATTGAAAGTTCTTTCAAAAGTCAGTCCTTTCTCCTGAATTTCCTAAGAAAATATAAAACATGGTCTTGGATTGTGGAATCGGCAACGAAGCCAGGTGCCAGGTGCAAGGTCGACCATCGACCGGACTGAGTCCTGAGAGGATTGGCCAGCGGGGAAAAGCGGCCGCGAGGAGACGCGGGTGTTAGAACCACCAGCCCCAAGTTGGACAATGTTCGATAGAACTTGAGTCAGATATCGTTGCGCGTCTCTATTCCGTGTGACCAGTTTATTTCTGCAGAGCAAATTTCGTGATTTGGTATAAAGCCCTTTTCAGGACGCTGAGTCCTGGTGACCCAAGGCGTTTGTCAGGTTCACCATTCATTGGCAAACTCAAGCCTGCTCACTCTCGGCTTAGACTAACTCAGGCTAAAGCAGCAACAACTTTGTTTCAAAGATGGAAAAGGAAATTCTGGATGTTGGTTCTAGGGTTATGTTCTAGTTGTGCTACTATTTATATTTGACTTTATTTGCCTAACATCACATAAGCTTATCAACTTATAGACTATATTAAGGATCTTACCTCTAAGCACCTTGTTAGCCAGAGATCAACCAAGTCGTAATTTGTTTTTAGGTTACATTATGAACTAATGATAGGAAGTATAGGGAATCGAATTTACCTTTTAGGTTATGACATACATCTAAGGTCTCATATCAGGTATTAGAGTAAATGATGTATAATAAAGTAACCTATATAATAAGTTATGCATACAATCAATAAAGTCAAGTCGCAGTCGACACCATATCTTCAAAGTTGGTGTCAGGTGGGTCCGCAGTACGTGTCGAGCCCAGCGAACAGTTGGTCCCATCCGAACGCGGTCGTATCACCCAGCATGTCACCCCAAAGTCCCTGAAGGCCGAGATCATCCTCGCTAAACATGCTTGAGTAGCCAACGTCGTCATTGTCATCTGATCCGCCGGCCTTCTTGTTGGTTCCCGTACCTTCATCCAGGCCATTTTTCGTGGAGTCTGCGTCGGATGCATTTGTGTGTTCTGACTCCGACGAGACGACATCCTCCATGCCTTGGATACGATAGCGACGTAACACGCCAACAAGGTTTCTTACGAGCTTCTCCGCCACTGCCGACTCCTCTCCAGCAGAGGCGAGCGCGCGACAGGCATCTGCCACTTCCGCGTGGGTCTTCGCCATCGCGTCCGATGGTACACCGCGTCCCTCTTCGACCGCTGGTGTCCCTCTACCAGGATCCAGTCCAGCGTTAAGAGCCAGGATTGTACATGCCATGAACATATGACCAATAACGCAACCCAGCCGGCAGCTCATAGCTCTTACATTGACATTGAGAACAGAGACGACCCCCCTGTCTTGCGAAGCTCGGAGGAGAGCCGTTGTAATGGAGAGAACTGCGCGAGCAGATTGAAGGCAAATCTCACGCGACGGCCGATATTGGGCGTCTTGCTTGTCATGTAATAGGAAGGGGCGGTGTAGTCGTGCCCGTCGAGAGTGGAAACCAAGGAGAACGACGTCTCTCTGGAGGGCAAGGTACTGCGGAGCGTTGGGAGGGATGGGGCCGTCTGGGTGGAGGAATGGAGGGAAACCAGAAAAAGCATCTTTGAAAAGACGGTCTAGCTCGAGGACCTTGTCGTAGTCGGTGAGCTCGGCGTCAGGGACTCCGGGGGTTCTGGCGTCAATGATGGACCGGGCGATCTCGGCGAGCTCGATGCGTTTGATGAAGCAGGTCAGCATGGTCACAGTATCTGGAGGCATTGTGAAGTTCTCATCGGAGAGGCTGGCTTCGTCGTCGTTGATGTTGCGAGGGTACTTGACGTTCATCTGTCTTGGTTGTACGTTGTATGTTCCATCCGTTGGTCCACCCATCAAGCCGAGCATCCTGTTGGTTGGTAAGCATGGTCGAAACTAGAGAAACGGGAAAGAGACTTACCAGTCCGTTGCTGCAATGTGCCACCAGACCCTTCGTTTGATTTCCCTCGTGGTGACGTCTTCCTGTTGGTCTGAGGAAGGGCTGTCAATCAAGTGCAGACAAATTTCCCGGGCCGCCGTCAGCGAGCAGCCATGTAGGTGCCTAAAGCGATCAGAACACCCCTCCATGTTGTAGACCAGGTAGGCCAACACGGATCTTGCTTGTACCGCTTCGAGACAGCTGTAGGTGCTCGGTCGGGATTTCTCAAGGATATTGAGTGCGGACTTGAACCAAATCATCGCAGTGTGTGTCGCGTCTTCGGTAGACGTGAAACAGCCCAGTGACTTGGAACCTTTGTAGTAGAAAAATGCGCTTGTGGCAGCGATGCTGAGAATCAGCGCAGCATGCGCCGGATTTGGGTCTTTGCCTTGGGCAAGGCTCATGTAAAAGTTGTCGACCGTCGACCTTGCAGCTGGGCCATGTATGATGGTGAGGAGATGGAAGGGGTTTTCAATGAAATCCAGGACCAGCACAAGGGCTTCTTCTCGTGTCATCAACCAAGTCGAGAGTCGGGAGTCTAAGTCGTCAGTGGGGGTCTGGCCCGGGGTCGTGCTTGCCGGTGTCTTTGGAAATTGAGAGACATTGGTGATGTGGTAATCCATCTTGTCATATGGAAGAGAGATCTAAGGTTGTTAGCACTAAGGCGATATTACACCCCGTCTAGGCGTTGATGGGGGGCATCTAACGTCGAGGCCATTGCGTGTAAATGTTGAATCAAGAAACCTCGCTGTTTGTTGTCGCTCGCTGACAATGAAGGACTGCTGCGACGGACGTCGATTTGCAGCGTCAGGGCTTCGTTGTCGAGTCTGCGGTTGTCGTCTATCTCTATCGCGCCCGATGCCCACCGGATGTTGGTCCGCGGAAGCTCCGGTAGGCGCAGCCGAACCAAAGACGGCATCTTCCAGCTTGCGAAGCCGACCTAGAATGGAATCATCGCCACCGATGTTGAGAGCTACACGGCTATTGCTACCGAGCAGTTAGCTCTCCTACTTGAGAATCTTTTGGTGCACACACACCTTGTTTGTGCAGCCGGCTGCCGCGAACTCGGCTGTCCTGTGCATGGCAAACCACGAATCACACAGCTCGAGCACGGGTCTCCGCGGTCGCATTTGAGCTTCTTCTTGCGGCACAAGTCACACGAGACTTGGGATTGCCGATGGCGCTTCTCTGCAGCTTCCGTCTCAAAATCGGCGCTGCGCTTCATTTCCAAATGACCGGTATCGAGGAAACGTACCGTCGGTGTCTGGATCTGGTTGTTGTTGATGTCAAAGTCCAAATTAGCTCTGTCCATGGACCTTCCGCGGACATAAGCTCATTTTCCTCCGCGGATTATCCGCGGGGCTTGCCTCCAAGTTGTCTCGCCCTTTCGGACTTACATGCCAACATAGAATGGTTATCAATACATAAAAGCAGTCCATCTGCACCAGGTCATTCCTTGATTCCCTAAATATCACTGAACAGAAGTCAAAGCGTTTCATTTCAGCTTTCAAAATTAATCCAGGAGCAGGTTGATTATCATGACCATAGAAGGAATTCGCCCACCTCCGGGCTACGACAGGTGTGTTAATTATCGAAACTGAATATTGAAGAGGCTGACATGAATGATTCAAAAGTGTCCGATCATGGCTTGCCGTGTTTGGCGCATCCCTTTCGCTTTTCTGTACCGTCGGTTTCTTCAACGCCTTTGGCGTCTTCCAAGAGTATTACCAGGAAGAGTTCAAAAAGTCCGAATCCGATATCGCATGGGTCGGCTCTGTGTCTCTCTTCATCCTCTTCGTTAGTGCGCCGATATCAGGCATTTTATGCGACAAATTGGGTCCCACGGTATGAACCTTTTCATTTTTAGCTCAACGTCACAGGCTTACTTGGACCAGATTCCATTGTGCATCGGCAGCGTTGGCCAACTCCTCGCTCTCTTCATGACCTCCCTGTGTACTCAATACTACCAGGTATTCTTGTCCCAAGGGGTACTCCTCGGAATGAGCTCGTCACTCATCTTCTGCCCCCCTATGGCAGTCGTCTCGCGCCGCTTGCCTCACCGCCGCGGTCTGGCTTTGGGATTGACGATTGGTGGTTCTTCTATCGGTGGCATCATCTGGCCCATCATGCTCGAGCAGCTCTTCAACGTCCGAAAGGTCAGCTTTGGTTGGACAATGCGCGCCGTCGCATTCACTATGATGCCCCTTCTGGTAATCGCATGCCTTACTGTGGTGAATGCGCGGGCACCCAAGTCTTTGCTGGCCCCTCCAGAATCAGGGTCCGATGATAACGAGAAAGGCACCGGATCCTTGACAGAGGAAGCTCAGCCCGTCAAGAAACCCGACTTTTCCATTCTTAAAAACAAGGCCTTCATGTTCTTATGCGGCGGGCTTGCACTTGGCTACTTTGGCCTGTTCACACCCTTGTTCTTCGTCCCAGCATTTGGCATCTCTCATGGCCTCTCCTCGTCGACTGCTTTCTACCTCCTTTCTGGACTGAATGCTGCGTCCTTCTTTGGAAGAGTCGTTCCCGGCTTACTTGCAGATCGATACGGACATTTCAACCTCTGCGCGCTGGCAATGTTCTCGGCTGGCCTTGTTGGCTTCTGCTGGACCGCAGCTTCCTCCCTGGCTGGCCTGGCAGTTTGGAGTTTGGCGTACGGGTTCTGCTCGGGAGTAAGTTGTTAACCCTCGAGTTCCTTGGCAGCAGCGACTGACACGATGCTCGCAGGCTGTCATGAGTTTGCAAGGCGCGTGCGTAGGAAAGATTGCTCATCACGCCAATCAAGGCTTGGCCATCGGTTTCGCGATGGGGTCCATTGCAGTGACGTGAGTTGCCTGAACCCTCAAATCACCATCATTCATGCTATCGCATGCGCTGACAGCGGCTCACAGTGCTCTTGTTGGGCCTCCAATCAGTGGGCAAATCGTCGCTCATTCGGGCTACCTTGCGTTATCCATGTGGACTGGGGCTACTCTCGCCGTCGGGGCCGCCATATTTGCGACAGCGAGGTGGCGACTCAACCCCCGTCTTCTTGCGGTGGTTTGAAGAACAAAAACTGCATGAGTATGGATTTCCTTTGACAGTTGGACTGCCTCACTGGAACATAGATGAACGAATGTCTCGGCATCTCGGCGAGCTAGATTGACTGGGTTGCGTGCTGATAGTGCCATGGATTTCACAACAGAGGACACATTTCAATTCATTGAAGACAAAAAGCCTCAGAGACGACGCATTACATAGACATTAATTAGAACGAGGCCTGTTGTTGATGCATCTTGTTTGTGACGTGCTTGGGCTGTGGTGAGGTGCGCGACCGATCACTTGGCGCTGCCAGGTGAACCGACCTTTTTTCGTGTTTTCGTTTTTGAGCGACATTTTCTTGTTCCAGGGTACTTTGCACTCCAGGGTACCTTTTCTGTCTGACAAATCAAGACTGACTCGAAGAAAAGTAAAAAGCAACAAAACCGCCCAGCCGGTGTCAATGCCCCACTGGAAACTCGGAACATTATTTGCCCATGACCGGCCCAAATGCGGCGTATGGCGTGGCTACGGCATCCAGATGTGGCTTTCGCTTGTGGCTTAGCCCAATATGACCGAAAAACCTTTCTGCATCCCTAGAACATAATTCCAGGCTGACCTCGTCGCTGACGACCTCCCGAGCCGTGCTGTACACTTTGTTGCTTCCGCTTCTTGTCATTCGTTTTCATTACAATGCGTTAATTGATACATTTGTTCTCTTTTCTCGGCTCGCTTCTTCTACGCCAGGCTCTAGCTCAAAGCACGCCCATATTCTGGCCTTGATATCCCCGGATCCTCCGAACCTCGGCACCCCTCTTCGGGGTGCCTCTTGCCTCTCCAGGCCATCGTTAAGCGCATCGTTGAGCGCATCGTTGAGCGCATCGTTGAGCGAGATACACTGGGCCCGAATGAGTTGATAGTCACAATGGCTCACCAATTTCACATCGCAGGCGCGAGCCACGCCCTTTTTGATCCATGGTCTCACGGGGTTGGTATCATGAGAGACGTCCTGACGCGATGGTCCGAGCTCGACATTACCCAGATTGGCTCCCTCATCGCCATCGCTGGTACCATCCCCACTGCCTGGAGATTTCTGCAACACGTCTGGCGCGAGGCCTATATCTGCATCAGGCGCTTCTTTCTCGCCTCCGTGAATATTCCTGGTGGTGACCCCGTCAACCGGAGCGTCGTGAAATGGGTCCTCGCGAACCGGCCCCGGCACTACCGCTCATTCACGGGACGCACCGAGGTCGGACGCGCCAACCCGGACCGCGCCGCCGCACTGAAGAAGACCCGCCACACGATCCAATATAGCCCGCATTGGGACGCGAGATGGCTCTGGTTCGGTGGCAGTTTATTGGTTGTCACCCGCGCCGTTGGGGATTTCAGTTCCGCCTTATCGGATCCTAGCTACGATGGCATCGGAGGCGAGGACTTGACCATTAGCTGCTTCGGCTGGTCTGCGGAGCCCGTGCAAGCCTTTATCGAGACCTGCCGCGAGTACGCCGACAGACAGACTCAGTACTTCGTCATCATTTATTCCCGCGATCGCTATGGCATGTCATGGAAGCCGAAAGCTCGCAAGCCCCTCCGTCACCTTGACACCGTGCACTTCGACCACGGCGTCAAGCAGGAGCTGCTAGCCGATATTAGGAACTATCTGGACCCTAAGACACAAATGCGGTATCAGAGCCGTAGCATGCCGTACCGTAGGGGCTATCTCTTTTACGGGCCACCGGGGACGGGCAAGTCATCCCTATCCGTAGCTATCGCTGGGGAGTTCGGACTAGATCTGTACGAAGTCAAGATTCCTAGTGTCGCGACGGACGCCGACTTGGAACAGATGTTCCAGGAGATCCCGCCACGGTGTGTTGTCCTGCTTGAGGACATTGATGCCGTTTGGGTAGAACGCTCGAACAACCAAGAAAGGAACGGGTACGGCAACGGGAACGGTAGGGCGCACTCGCCGGAAGGCAGCAACGTGCCCAACTGCACCCTTTCCGGCCTGCTGAACGTCCTCGACGGCGTCGGATCCCAGGAGGGCCGCATCGTCATCATGACCACCAACCGCCCCGAGCAGCTGGACAGCGCCCTGGTCCGCCCGGGCCGCGTGGACATGAAGGTCCTTCTCGGCAACATTAGTCGGAGGTCGGCGGAGGAAATGTTCGTGCGCATGTTCTCGCCCGATCTGGGATGTACATCGCACCTGGACATGGAGGAGATTACGAAACTTGCGACTCAGTTTTCTAGCAATATACCAGAAGAGACTTTCACCCCTTCGCAACTGCAGGGCTTCTTCCAGGTGCACTTGGAGAGCCCGCGGGATGCGGTAGAAACCATCGGGGCTTGGGTAGGGAAGGAGCTTGCAAAGACTGAGTACAAGGAATTTGAGTTTATCACTGCAAACGGAAAGGCGTAGTTGTGTAATATTATGTGTACCATCATGTGTATCCTTAGACTCATTAGACTTATTTCTTAGTCTTTCCTTAATCATGTTTAGGTTGCGCGAAGAGGAGCCCTCATGCCGAGGCAATCGCGGATAGATCGTACCGTAGAACATGCATCACATACAGACTCAGGTCCTGAGATGCCTCGGCGGTAGTAATCAGAGCGTACGAAATGAGTATATTTTCTTATTTGCCGCATGCCATCACCGCAGATATCCTCCCTGAGCAGAAATAAACGCACTCCAGCTTCGGAACATGACGTGGGTGCTAGTGATCTTCGCTCCTCCTTACTTCTAACCTAGAGTATAGTCACTGACTGGCTTCGAGGGCTGTTTTTGCGGAGAAGGTTGCAGCCCGAGCCCCTGTCCATTTTCAAAACAGATGAGAATCGAGTCCAATCTGCATATTGAGCGGAGCGCCCGCGGATCGAAACGATAGGGTTTGCACCGGAGAGCCGGATGTGCCTAGTGAAAGCCCGTGTCGGCAAGTCATCGAAAACAGAAGTCAGTTCCAGTAAACATCTCAGCCAATCACCTGGGACGTCGAAAGGACTTTCAGAACATCCGAAACCGACGAAGCTTGTTGTAGCCGGCATAACCAGTTCTCGCTTAGCGGGTGCCGAAAAGACAAGGCGAACCCCCGTCCTCACGGGCAAACATAGCCGGGGCCAAGGATGTAGTTCGTAGATCATATGGGGGGTACTAAGACGATAATCCCTGGACAGGCGCGACAAGTGAGCCGTGCAGAGTTTATGGGGGAGCTCCAAGTTCCAGCGAGGCGCGCGCCACCCCTTCGGACGAATTGCTCCATCCGAAAGTACGATGTCTCCCCCAGATCTTTCAAGACGGGAGGGGAACACAAAACAGCCTCAAATGCTCTCAATTTGACGCACAAGAGGAAGAGTCAATCCCTGACATGGAAAAGTTTGAGCTCGTGACCTTCCGTACCCGGGATCGCTCTAAACGATCCCGGCGTCGGCCCAACTCTAAACTCACCGAGGGTGTTGCGCCTCAAGCTTGTTTCCAACATTGTCTCGCCTAAGGCAAGGTAGTGTATTGGTATGGAACATTGTAGACCCAATTGCTCAATCTCTTCTTAATTCGTCCAGTTCTGTACAGCCTCGTAGCTACCCAGAACTCTCTACTACACCACCACCACGTGATTGGTATAGTTAGCGGCACCACACCACCTCCAGGAGAAGCTTTGCGCTGTGTAAGGGCGAAACCCCAAAAGCCAAACTTTCTCGGCTGTGAAACTGTGAAGTCATCGCATCTGTCGTGTGGAAGTTGAAGCGGATGCATGGGACGGGAGATCAAGCTTGTACATAAAGGGCTTCGCATCCCACTCTTGACATTGGAAATACATCCTGCCCGTCTTTAATTCAGTTCCATTATAATAGAACGTATCATTTGATCAGACCAAGCTACCGGCCTTGAGTCTCATAACCTGTCAAAACCCTAGTCAAAATGGTCGCCTTCCGCTTTCTCCTTGTTCTCCTGCCCCTTGTGGCTGCTATGCCGTCCTCCAACGCTCTGGAGGGCAGCCCCCTCGTTCGTCGCCACTGCGAGACACCCAAGAACTGCGGCGCAGTCATCCAAGGAACGGCATGCAACTTTTGCTGCGCCAAGGACGTGAAGCCCGATGCCAAGGCCTGCAAGTCTGCGAACAAGGCTTGCGAAACGGGTGGAAAGAAGGACGGAGTGACCTTCAACTGTGAAGACTAATTGCGGCTCGAGTGCAGGTAAATCGCCATGGATTTAACTGGGATGATCTGGAAACGGAGCTGATTGTGTGCAGGTAGAACCGTTTCCAGTGATTCAGATATACAATCGGGGTGCTAATTGGGCATTATCATTGGCAACAAGATGCAGTGCGCGCAGAGATTGAAGGACTGTGTACATATACTTGAAGTCGCTATGCTACACAACAACACTTCTGTATGAAACAAAATCGCGAACAGACCGTCTGCAAAAGTGCTTCTGTCTAAGTAATATCCGAAACGTGGCAAACTATTCATCGTCGAGCCGAGAGATAGTGACGGATGGATTATACTTCACCACGGATTAGCAGAATCAATGCTGTATGTGAAGGTGGAAGGCTTCTCTACAGCCTCACGTAGTCGATTACGATAAGTCTTGCATCTGATACTCGGTGACCAAGGCCATCAAATAAACTTGGCCATCAAATAAACGCATGTGACTCTTGTCTCATGGAAAAGATCCTGCTTTACTCTCTTGGAATGACAGCGGTCATTGTCATCAGGTTTTAATGTATGAGACTAGACAGCTTGGCGTGAAGGCGACACTGACCAAATTTGACATTCTAGCTAAGAATCGTATTGAAGAAATAAAAGTTGCTACTCTAGGTTTTGATATCCACAGTGGTAGCTCGGTTCCGAGTGGGCGTCGAATAACAAGAAAATGACGAAGACTGTAAGCTAAACGTAGTGGGATTTAGATGGAGAATGAGCGTTTGAAAGAGGGAGGACATGATCCACAGACGCAGATGCTAACTAAGGTTTCAAAATGATAATCAAGTTAGCAGAAACAAGATGGGAAGGTTAAAATCGGTCTGGAAACTTGCGAGGAGAGTGACCGGCTGAGAAGAAAGGGATGTTGGGACGAACATCAATAAAGCATTCTCCTTTGGACGTCGCTATTGTCCAAAATATTCACTGCTCTTGTTCTTAAGCTCTCATGCCCATACCATTGATTAACAATTGCTCAGATGACTTACGTAACGGTACAGATTTCAATGCTCCATGGCAAGGTGTCATCTCCCACTGAGGCACATATCCTTTAACATTGCAGGGTGCTAATTCTCGTCGTTCGAACACGTAGCTCAATCTTATACAGACTTGACAGTCCTACCCATATACAATGTTGTTTCCGTATTTTACAACATCGTGTTCATCCCGCAGCCTTTTCTCCATCCTGGTGGTAATATAGCCCAAAGACGGCTCTGGCGGTTATAAGGACTCGGTAAGAGCAGTTTCTATCCTCCTTGGATCTATCCTCAGGGTTTTCTTCCGTAAACAACCGTACTTAGGAATCATGGTTAGTCGAACTAGTGACTGATTTTTCAGAGATCGGATATACTTACGTTTCACAGTACCCATAGTTCACCTTCCTCCTAATCTCTTTCCGCATTTGTGCCGTGAGAACCATCACTTCCGGCTGCGACCACCCAAGCACCTGTGTTAACAAAAAAGTCCCGAAGCCTTCGATACTCTCCTCGAGCGCCAGCTGGATCAGCAACCCGGCTTGCTGCAGCCTCGGATCTTTCGGCCAGCCGTGAATAGGCAGCTTGAACTTCTTCTCCACGACGTCCACGAACCCCGCCTCTTCCATGTTGTCCTTCATAGTATGTCCCTGTGCCACGGTGAAAGACCGCCCCGTCTTCTTCCCCCCTTGATCGAAGATTCGGTTCCACTCATGGAAGACGTGATCCGGGGGGTATTCAACATGGTCGGAGTCTACCCCGGCGTTGATCTCGAGATTCTGGACCCAACCACCTGGTTTGAGGTGATGATACGCGTTCTTGTACAGGTCCACCCAATTCGGAATGCTCCCGTACAACTGTCGTAGATGGACAAAGTCGAAGTGGTTTTCAGGCCACATCCAGTCGAGAAGGCAATCGTCGATGACGAAGCGAAGGTTGGCTGGCACCCACCCCGGCTGGATGGGACTGATATCGGTGCCCGTGACCTCTGCGTTGGGGTATTGGTCGGCGAAGTCGATCGCCCAGATACCGGTGCCCGTCCCGACGTCGAGGACGCGCTGCGGGTTGTCCCCAATTGGCGCCAGAAACAATGTGTCGTCGAACATCATGAGGAGCGCGTTGTGAATTATGTCGAGCCCCTCATTCTGCTGGTCGTCGTTTGGGGCCCAGTACTCGGTCGTTTTACTTGTTTGGTAAGTCCGGCCGTGCAGCCTGCGATAGTCGAAGACGCTCTCGGACAAGGACGTGGTGGATGATGCGATGCTGGCGGAGTCAATAGCGGAGTCGCCATCGTCGCCATCGTCGCCATCGTCGCCATCGTCGGCGGCGGCAAGCCTTGGGTCAACCTCGAGCGTTGGTGCTTGGTTCTCAGTCCCTGACGCTTCGACCTCCGATCGTACTCGAGATGGGCTGGGCGCTGATGTTGACGCCATTGCGGGAGAGACTTCCTGTTCAGCAACCGCGGGTGTGGCCATCTTGTGCGACTGGTGCTGATTTCCCGGTCGGTGGAAGAAGGCAAGGGCGCGGGGATACAGAGAAAAGGAGAGACAGTCAAAAGGTGGCAGGCGGATGTGTTGGCTGACCGAGACATCAGCCCTTTTAAGAGGGTGACATCGCACAATCAATGCTGTGAAACCTCGCGGGTACAGCCGATGTCTCCCGAAGTCCAAGTATCAGAAGTTCATTCCCTCGCTAAGGTTAGCCAGTATCGTCCGTAGGAGATGCTGGCCGGTTTATTCATGCGACCCGTTGGCGAGAGAAAGCGCAATGTCTCAATCTGCGACCGACAGTTGAGGCGCTGTTAAAGGCGGGGGAGTATCGAAGGTTATTGGGCGCCTCTCTGTCGACTTGGCCAGAAAAGCAAGGTAGGGTCTCCTCGTTGTTAGAGGATGCCCGCCCAAAAGTTATGTGTTGCGTCGACTTGGCCGTGTTGCCATCGCTCATTCGCTCCACTTGATTCGCGTGCTAATGCAGCATGTACCCAACTCAGCTAATTTGCCAACAGCTATACCTCTCAGATCCTTGAAGAGCTGACATTAATAGTGGGTTTTCCTAAGTGACATCTGCAATCATTCAGGTGAAGAACCGCATTAAAGACAGTGTTTCAACAAGTTCGAATGAAGTTCTTCACTCATCACCAGCCTGTAGAGTTGTTGTCAGATAACGATCTGGTGGGGGTAATCGGATAGTCCCATCAACAGGGGCCGACGGGAGCTGCTCATGCAGCTAACGACTTCGAACACTCTGCGTCCCCGTACCGAGGACCTAACTCGGGTAGTTGGTGTAGAGGACGGCGGGCTTCATTGGGTGTCTGCCAGGCCGTCCCCTCACGTTGCGGGCCGCGACGAGACAAGTCGGCAAGAAAGGCGCCTCGCCGATGTGTAGCAGGCCGGCAATTGGTTCGCGTTTCCCTCTGGCATTTGAACTAGCTATTATTGTCTTCTAGCTCGATGCAGCTAATTCCTTCAACAGCAGCATGGAGGCTACTGACCACACTGATGCCATGCTCCCGTGACCCGTTCTTGATCGCTGCTGGCTGCATTGCATTAAACTCTTTGCAGTCTACCATTGTTTTATTCATTTATTTTTTCTCTCAAGACCCAGGGCGTCAGTCCACATCACAAGTTGACACCGGCAAGCGCCAGTACTAGTCTCACCAGCATCATCACTGACTTATTTGTATTCGATTTTCACTTCTGACGCTGCGATTTACATTCGTTTCCGATGGTGAATTCGCGCCTCCATATACACTTCAAACGGTACATGACCATTGCGATATGATGACCACTGTGTTACGATGCGCGTTTACGAATAGTATTACGTCGTTACTCCAGCGAGAAGCCCAAATTGATTAGTCATGTTGAAGCATGTACTCACCAGATAAATATTGAAGGAAGGCGATTCACAGATGGCACAACTACTGGGTAATGCCCAACCTCCTCCTCTATACAAACATATACGGCAGATTGTCTACCTTCTTCAGTTGGCCTCTGGTCAAGCAATGCAATTAAGTCTACATAAACCCTGTTCATTCTAAGAATCTGGACAGCGAAGATCGGCCACAGCTCTTTCAAAAAGACCCAGATTTTGCAACACAAACAATCTTTGAATCCCGGTTGGGTAGCTCTGTTCTTCAACACCAATCTTTACAGCAAGAAAATTCAACTGTCTCAGAAGTCAAGCCACCGACAATCTCATTTCGTCTATGAACGTGGAGCGGGTTATCTAGCGTAACTTTTACCAGATGCAGTGCGGACCGAGCCGGCCGAAGCGGGAACCTTCATGCTGGCCGGTCGTCAATGTGGGCAACAGGATGCAATGCCATTCTACCATGAACTACTTGTGAGAGCTAAAAATCTGAGAGCGATTTGCATTTATACTAAGAGACTGAACAGAGATCTACCAAAGCATTATCCATGGTTGCACGTGGTATTGCTGGGCAGTTTCCGACACCAGTTCTTCTATTCAGCTAGAGTATTTCAATATAGTTGGCCAACGGAGATTAACGAACCAGAATTGTTGCCCAAGTAAGGTGAGTCTGATATGGCTTGAACGTGATGCAACTCCAAGTTCGGCTGACTTCTTGTGGGCTGCTAGTTCAAGCCATAACTAGTCAGCGTCCCTTAAGCACGCATCGACCTAATGTTTCAGCTTTGCTGTGACCGGTTTTGGCATTGATCCCCCATTAAGAAAAGATAAATCTTAATTAGAGAGCGTGGTCGACCAATATCGGCATAGTGCAGGTGCTTCAAGTACTCTTAGACGATTCCATCAGCATCAAAGTATGAGTGGTGGTTGCATTACATCGTATGTTCATTGGCGTAGCGCAGAAATGCGAAGGTCCTTATTCGGCACATCAACCCAAGGACAATCTTGTTGGTTTGAGAAAACAAATCGCGGACTCCATGATGTAGGCATCCGCCTAAGTGAATTTTGCTGTTGAAGCCCAGAGCTGCGCCAAGGTGAACCCCTTGCATTACCGCAACCATCGTCAAATGTCCCCCACCTTGCAGCCTTCAAGTCCCAGGCGCCCGGATTTTGGTTTCCCATGACGTTCTACGAAGCCGAAATGTCATAGTTGTACGTCCGTTTGGCCGTTGAGAAGCAATTTGGCTTATGCCTAAACCCACCAAGGCAAAATTTTGTTGCCGCTCTTCGAATCAATTGCCTCAGGATGTCCTACACAGCTATGATAATTGTGAGGGGAACCCGGTCCACCGCCATTCAAAAGTCCCATTAATCTTGGCACTTGACATGCGCTCACGAGAAGAATTGCAATATAAAACTATCGTTTCATTAACACGTGGTAGCGTGCGATAATTCTTACGGGCAGCAGGGGAGCCTTTTGTGCAGGTTAAGAACGTCATCCTCAATAAAGATCGCGAAAAAGCGAAATTTTGATGAGGTCAAGAAATGCCATGCATTTGCTAGGGTCAAACGGGAAGGTAAGACGGCTTCTTACGTCATGCACAACGGCCCAAGGAAAAGAAAGTTGACCACTTTCTTCTAGCAGACTTGTCTTAGGGCCTTTTGAAAAATACTTCCGTCGTGCTCCGTCCTTGAGGTAGCCTAACCAGCACGCAATCATCGTGCCACTCTCACGAGGCTTGGCGCTTACCGACCATTGCCCCGAGACGTTAGAGACGGTGATGCGCAACGTGTGGCTATAAAAGCAGCGGGAGGTAACTAGATCCATGTGTGACGAATGTTTATTGTCATCCGTTCGTTAATCATCCACAAGTCGCAAAGATGAAGACCGCTATTGTTGTGACTTCGGTTTTGGCTACCCTTGCCGCTGGGTTTAACTTTCACAAGAGAAACCCGGTGTCTTACGAGGGATACCAAGTTCTTCGCGTGAAGACTCTGAGCCAGTTGGCCACCGTGCAGGAGAAACTGGCCTCGATTCCCCACGAGCAATGGAATCACGACGTCGAGACGCACATTGACATTGTCATCTCCCCCGACCAGGTCGAGAGTGTTGAGTCGCTCGGACTGGACTACCGAGTTTTGCACAAGGATCTTGGCGAGTCGATCAGTGCCGAGTCCCAGGTTCGCAGCAAGTACAAGCGCGACATCAACGACCTATCGTGGTACGACTCTTACCACCCATACGCAGACCACGTTCGCTACTTTACCGACCTCCACGAGGCGTTCCCCGACAACTCTGAGTTGGTGTACTCCGGTCGTTCATTTGAGAACAGATCCATCCATGGAATTCATCTTTTTGGTGACGAGGGTCCCGGAAAGCCTGCTGTGCTTTACCAGTAGGTTTGTCCAACGGACTGTAATATTGACTAGGTCTGACATTCTAATAGCGGTACCGTGCATGCAAGAGAATGGATCGCAGCTCCTGTGAGTACGATAAAAGAAATTTGAAAAGTGTTCATAATCTAATGCTATTGCAGGTCGTAGAGTACATCACCCTTCAGTTAATCAACGCGCACAAGAACGCGACCAACGCTACAGACTCTGTCCTGAACCAATACGACTTTCATATCTTTCCCATCGTTAACCCTGATGGTAAGCCGTTTTCTGCCAAATCATTTTCCAAATTCTCAAGCTGATGATAGTATTGAAGGCTTCGCTTACTCCCAGGAGGTTGACCGCCTCTGGCGCAAGACTCGCACCCCCCCTCCTCTGAACCAGACCTGCTACGGAACCGACATCAACAGAAACTGGGAATACGGGTGGGACGCAAACCCCCTTGGTGCATCCACTAACTCGTGCGCGCAAGCCTACCGTGGTCAGAAGCCGTCCGACACCATCGAGAACCAAGGCCTTGACGCCTACGTCCGGAAGCTTCGTGATACTAGCGGCATCAAGCTGTACATCGACTGGCACAGCTACGGCCAGTACATACTCTCTCCATTCGGTTCCAAGGAGACGTGGTACGCCCCTGAGCTCGGGAAATGGACCAAGACCGCCTCTGTGCTCAGCGAGGTGATCCGTGACAGCTCTGAGAGACGAACAACCTTCACCTTCGGACCCAGTGGCGCTACCCTCTACACCACTACTGGCGCTGCGCCTGATCACGTCTACGCCATCGGTGGTGCCGACTTTTCTTACACCATTGAGCTTCCCGACACTGGTGACTATGGCTTCGTCTTGCCTCCTGACCGCATCTTGGGCGCTGCTGAGGAGCAGTGGGAGGGCCAACAGGTTCTGTACACACTTTTGGATGAGGTCTTCTTTGACGGACTTGGCCCCGCTTAGAGGGATAATGCATTACACGTCGTGATCCAACTGGCGGAAAGTACTGTTGAAAGTTTATAGTCTATTTGAAAAGGTGTTTTCAGAGCTAGTTGCATCTTCTCAGTGAGATGAGACACGAGATAACTTAGCTTCAGTAGTTTAAATGCTAATACGTTGGAACCCCGCTTGTCTTACATGTTATCTAGTATGGCCCCTTTCTAGCACCCAAATAAGACAACATGAAGTGTCGCCTCAATTTTAAAGATTGAACAGGTGTATTGTAGGTTGGGTTCATCTGGAAGAGCCCTGCTTCAGGTGGTGGGAGATTTAAATCCAATTCGTGAACCAGGCCAAGTTATCGCCACTTTGAGAGCCTGTTCACCTCCCAGTTTAGGACTCTTGTGATTGCTTCATTCCTTGAGAGCTCCTTTATTGATGAGCTAGAAAAGGACATGCAATTAGCCGCCGGCTTCAATCGTTTGACCTGAGCGCATGGCTAGTGGTAGATCTGAGGGTCCCCCAAATGGGTTCCACCGAACAATATGCAAGTCCAAATATTAGAGTCTAAGTGTGGATGGAGTCCATTGGTTTTGTGAACCAATTTCTTGGAAATATTTCCGTTGTTGATCGCGAGCAAAGTGGGGGATCGGCTGCAGACCCCTCACTGTTCCATCAACTCGTGTGCAACGGAGTAGTTGCACATGAAATTCCCCCAATCAACAGTCAATTCAAAATGGAATATCACTTGGCTTCCATCTCTGTGTCTGCAATTAACCCGACCTCTCGGCTTGCTTTGTTACTACTTCATCGTATTAAATACCGACAAAAAGGCAATTCCAATGCGAGTCTGGTGTGTCTTTTTATCGATGTTACATGAAAGACTTGCATTAGCCACATGAAAAACAAAACATTTGTCCCGCCATCGACATGCACTTATCTAACTTTTTGGAATGTATAGTCTCTATGGGACTGCTAGGTGCATTTCAATGGCTTCCAACAACATGTGCATCGCCTCCACCGCCTGGTAACCTCTGGCGGGTATGGCCACCTATCGACTACAGCGACAAGATTTACGCAGGCTGGAACCAGATTAATGTGGAAACAGAAATCCAAATCTACAACGGTGTGGCTGAAAACCGTACCTATGCTCATCATCCGGAACTGTTCGCGATCGGCTCCAACGTCTTTCTCATTTACTCCACTGCCCCTGTCGACGAAGATAGTATGGGTCAAGATGTATGGATCTCGGCATCCACCGATAGTGGTTTGACTTGGAGTCCAGGAAAGAGTTTGATGCCAGCCGCCCTTTTGCCCAACCAGACAGAGTTGCACAACTGGAAATACTGGTGCGATAGAGGCATTGCCCAGCGTGCATGGCAGGCGCTTTCCTTCGTGCATCTACCCGATGGCGAGCTTTACGCAATCGGTCAATCCGGAAGCAGGTGGTGTCCAGGAAGATGGGCTACTGCGGGAAGGATTGCACGGAAAATCTCCCTGGAAGGAGAACCGCTCGAAAACCCTTGCTGGCTGGAAAAGAACGAGTTCACCGAGTCTGAGTTGTATGCTGAGACAGTTTACGGTACGGAGTATGGCATGAAGAGCTGCGCTAGAGCCTGTGAAATCAACACCGTTCTGAAAAAGCCAGACGAAGCTCCGGCTTGGTCACCGTGGCTGTACAACAACGGACTGTTTGCCGCAGACGGGACGCATCAAATGGAAGAACAGACCTTTGCCGTCTGGCAAAATGACAGCGACTCACCAACTGGAGGGTACTGGCAGCGACACTGGCGCGACATTTCCCCCGAAAGAGAGAATACCCATTCTGTCTGGGTGGAGTATAATGAGGATCCAAGCGGAGAGGGTTGGTATCCCAAGGTCAAAGAGCCTATTGGAAACAAAATTTACAAGACCAACATCCCCGACGCCAAGACAAAGCAATTCTTAGGCCAGCTTGATGATACCGGCGATCGAATCCTGCTGTCCAACCCGCGGTACAACGCTGCGGATCCTCAGCGCCAGCCTCTCACGCTAGCAGTGTCACGCGGAACAGATCAGACGTACAGGGCCATTGGTGTGTTACGTACGAATGCGACCAAGAAAATCGTCCCAGACACTCGTGATGGTATCAAGAACCGGGCTTTTGGCTTCAGTTACCCTACTGCGGTGCAGCTCGGCGGGAAGTTGCTCGTAGCGTACAGCGAAAACAAAGAAAACATCTGGGTCAGTGTCGTCGATATTGCTGCACTTCCGAAGGAGAGTGATGTTTGCAGATAGAAGGGGCATATAAATTGAGGCCGCAATGGAACCAAGAGAAAGGGAGCACGAAGAATCGATACAACTACTTCCGCTTGTTGGGTGTTTCATTATACAGGTATGCAACGGCCAGTCTGCATATAGTGTAAAGGGGTGTTCAAATGCAAAACGCTTGTATTACAAAATCCAGTTGCTCCCAATAAAGTGATCTGCATCTAAACATGGGTTTCATAACCAGCACGAAGACAGCTATTACTGTTTCAATGGGCATAGGTCGAGGAGCGTGTACGTGGAAGAAATGAGATGTAGTCCGCTATGACGTCAAAGATTATGGATCAGTTAAGTTTGTCTTGAATGCCGTGGCGTTATTGAGGCCGTAGTCTTAGATAAGCTTTTAAGCCATGGAATGGTCTTGGTACGCCACTCCTCAGGTCCATTCGACGGAATACAAATCCCGGCGTCATTCATAACCAGACTGCTACAACTCCATCCACGGCACATCAAATAACCTATATATCTCATCTCCCGAACATGTATTAAAATCTCTCAGCGCTTTCAGATGCCATAAAACTTCCAATTTCAACAAACGCAAAGTCTGCACGTACTATTACCAGCTGCAAGCCACTCTTGGCAACCTCAAATATGACTAAAAAGCTTCTTTACACAGGGGCCACCGGCTTTGTGTATGTTCACCTTCCACCTTCCCCACAAGGGCACTTTGACGTACATATTGCTGAGAGATGAGTCTAGGGGAGGTTCCGTTCTCTCCCAGCTGCTCAATACTTCTTACCCAGAAATCAAGGATTTGTCTATTACCGTGTTGGTTCGGAAGCAAGAGCAAGCCAGCCTGCTGAGGCAGAAGGGTGTCGAAGCTATCGTGTTCGACGGCTTGGATGACTCAGAGTTTTTAAGGGAAGTAGCTAGCGAGTTTGACTATGTTATCCATACTCCCACTGGCTTCCACACCGCATCTGCAGTCGCGCTCATCGAGGGGCTATCGAAGCGGAGGAGGCAGACCGGAAATGACGTTCATTTCATCCACGTAAGTACCGTGTTAATTCACATGGGTCTAAAAGCTATCTCTAACCCATGGAGTAGACATCTGGGACCTCCAATCTTGCCGAGAGAACCATTACCAGGGAGATAGGAGAGGTTCATGAGTGGTCCGACAAAGAGAATGTCTTCGAGTTTGAAGAGCAGAAGGAAGCAGAAGAGGCTTATGCTCAGCGCACGACGGATATTGCTGTCATCAGAACGGGAGAGCGCACGGGTGTTAAGACGTACATCATGATGCCTCCCACCATCTATGGCCGCGGGACGGGCCTTTTCAACCAAGGTTCCATGCAGATCCCCAGCATCATCCGTGGCGCCTTAAAAGCCGGGGCCCCAGAGTATGTGGGCGATGGTACGGCCCGACTGGGTCATGTCCATGTAACGGATCTTGCTCTTTTATATGAGCTTGCACTGAGTAAGATATTGTCTGGAGAGGAGATCCCTTTCGGACGGAGAGGTATCTATTTCTCCAACACTGGTAGTCACAACTGGCGAGATCTCGCGGAATATGTAGGCAAAGCCGGCGTCGCTCTGGGTGCGTTGAAGTCAGGCGAACCCAGGTCTGTGACATTGGAAGAGGCTGCTTCAAAATGGTTGAAGGCAACTCCGCAAGTCGCTGAGATGAACTACGCAGCAAAGTAAATTCATTCCCCCTCCTGATGAATCAACATGGTTCAAGTATTGACAGCCTGCAGCTCTGCTACAAAGCCAGTACTTGCAATCAAACTAGGATGGAAGCCTAAGAAGACTGAAAAAGACTGGGAGGAGTCATTTGTGGAGGCATTCCAAATGGTGTTGGATGAATTGAAATAGTGTCATCGTTCGTCCATGAGTCATTACTCAAGGGTGAGAGTCTGTGTCTAGTTTCTAGTGGGCAATGTGATTCCGCAAGACCGTTGAATACTACTCCATCGACCCCAGTGTCGATACAGACATAATCCAGAACTATCTCTCTTATCAATCTATCGCAGATGTGATATTTTAGTACACATACAGATTAAGAGCATCCGGGTTTGTTGCTAGAATCTTCCGGTTCTGTCTCTGCAACGCAAATCTCATAACCCAGGCGCAGACAACCACGCCAATCGAGAAGCATATACTGGCAAGCATAGCCTTCAGATACCTTGGCTCATCAGAGTCAGGCCATAGGTACGGAGTGTAGACGCTGGCAAGGTTACCGAACGTGTTGGCCATAGCGATAGCAACTGCCTTCTTCTCATCAGTCTGTCCTAATGTAGAAGAGGTCCACCCCAGCTTTTCAATGTCAGTAGGATGCTCAATCAGGATGGAAAGAGGTAAGACGAACAATAATGTTGTTCACACCGTATGTGGCTCCCACAAAAATCATGATTCCTGGGTCGGATTAGCAACCTGCTTTCAAGACAAAAAAGTCCTCAATGCCTCAGCCGCAATAGGAAACATACCAACATATCTGACTGTGGTATTGAGGGTTGCCACAGCCATTGCAAAGCCAGCGCAAGCAATGAGCTTGCTGACGGTCGTGTGCCACGTACGTTCGTTGAAACGCCCAGAGGAGTGTGAGACGACAATGCTCATGATGCCTGCTAAGATGTACGGAGGGCAGGTCAGAACCAACGTAATCGTGGTGCTGTAGTTCAGAGTTTTGACTACACTCGGCAGGAAGTTCTTGAAGCCGTTGGCTGAAAGATGCAAGTTATCCATAAGGCAAAAGACCCAGGTTCTCCAGTCAGTGCATGCCTCGCGCAGTCCCTTCCAGACACTGGTTTTACCCTCGCGGCGACCCGTAGTGTCATCGAAGATGCGCTGGTGGGCCATTTGGCGTTGCTCAGGCGTGAGCCAGCGGGTTTGAAGAGGGGCATTTGGAAGGAAGTAAAATGCTCCGAAGGCAACACCGATCGAGACAGCTCCCTGTATAATGAAAAGCCTAGTGATTATCAGAAAAGTAAACTTTAAGAGTAAGAAGAGGAAGCCATCCTACCATTGCCAGCCTGCAAGACCATGCTTGCCATCTAAACCGGCGAATATACCGGCGGCGATCAACCCGGAGAAGGCACTTGCAAGCATGTTGCCAGTGTAAAAGATGGCCATACGAGTTGCAATCTCCTTACGAGTGTAAAACATGCTGAGCATGTACAACGCTCCAGGATAGAACTGTAAATGAGATCAGTACATGTTCCGCACCCTTCTTCATGGAAACGGTCGTTAACTCACTGGAGCTTCAGTAATGCCAAGCAAAAAGCGGCACACCAACATCGTCTTGTAGTCGTGAGCAAGATATGTAAGGAGGCTGATGATCGACCAAGCCAACATAAAGCCTGTAAGGGCGAACACCATTAGGACTTCGTGTATTTCATCGGAGACTTGGCATACATACCCGCCATGTACCAGGACGGTCGCACACGGTTGAGGATCATGTTTGAGGGAATCTGGCCACACAGGTATCTACCAGAAGTTAGTCTAGTGTAGCCGAGATGCCGAGAGAACCAAGACTTACCCGACGAATAGGATGGAAACGCAGGTGTTGTACTCTGTTCCCTTGAGTTTGAGGTCTTTCGAGAGGGAGTTGAGTTTGCCGTTGATCATGGCATTCCGGTCGAGGAAGTTGAGGAAGTACATGACCCAGAGAATGGGCTGTCATCGTGTCAGTGGCTTTTCAGGCTAGAGATCGTAGAAACGGAGGGGGTTCTTACGAGAATGTACCAGTCAATTTTCTTCACGAGCGCAATCTCCTTGGGGTCGGTCTTTGTGTGCGCTCCAAACTCGTCAACCTTACCGCTCTTGGCAGCAGGCTTGTGAGGGGCCCCAATGGAGCCTCCTGTCAAGACACGCTCCATTTGACTGACGTCTGCCTTGGCCTCCATAGACTTTCTAAGTTCGGCCATGGTGCTGTTGGCTTGAGTTAGCCGTCGTCAGATCGCCGAACGGCAAATTGTCGTCGAATAACTTCAAGGCGGGCTGGATAGAGAAGTGAAGCTTGTAAAAGTAAGACCTCGCGCCCACATCACGCTCCTGAATCTGTGTTTGCCTGTGTAGAGCCTCCATATATACCTAGGAAGACTAGAGCTTCATGTCTCTCCGCTGGCTCCACTCGAGATCGTGACAAGAACCACATCACGGTGGATTGCTCCCCCATGGGGGAGATGGGGCGCCCAGCTTTTCCGCTCGTGCGGGGTTTGGGGAAACGTTGTGTAATTCGGACCCTGCGCTAGTACATACCAGGTAAATCCCCTTGACGCAGATTGACAAGGTCTAGCGAGGGGACGAGGTGACGGAAAACCCTCTTTCAAAAGCTTGGGATCTTCGTCTGCGAAGGGCAGGTGGTTGCTTTTCCGTGATCCTAGGGGGGGAGGTGAGTGACGAGGCATCCTAAGGCGAACGCACGGAAAAGCAGCCCTTGAATGGCGGCAGGTGGAGGATCAGGTCACGGCCTGTCATCTCTTCCCAGCAACTCGATTTATAATTGCGCCTTGATTCCTCCTCTTCTTGTTGGCATTTGAGCCGATGGTTCCGTGGAAAAGCACCCACTCCGCCTTCGCTCTTAAGCTTGGCTTTCGAGAGGCGGACATTCGTCACCATGTGTCGGACGATTTAGGCGGCAACAATGCCAGCATCTTTGAACAACGACAGTCTTCTACTAGCGTTGCCTTCTAGCTGATAGGAAAAGCGCAGGGGCACCTTGCGAAGTTTGTCGCAAGTATCATGCCATCTCATGCTAGGTACGCTAACCTCGCGGAAAAGCGTGTGCCACTTTTATTTTCCATTACCCCAGATGCTGCTACCCGATGCTAAATAAAGGATCATAACCTTAACAAGACCCATTGATGTTTGCGAGCAGTCTCTCTTCCTCAATGAAAACCTCGGCCTAGGGTTCCCCATGTCATTGCTGTCTTTTGAAAGTAACTTGGAGAGAGCACGTGTTACTAACTTTTAGGACATGGCGAATTGACTGTCAGAGTGCAATAATTGTTTGTCTAACTTGCATGCTCTGGCCATCTTTAGTCGAAGACTAAGCAACGCTCCTCTGCTGCTCAGCTGCCGAGAAATGTTGGCCCCAGTCATACTTGTTGCTAGTCAAGACAGACGGTATCCATGGAGACATCTTGTAATGGGCAACGCATACAACAATGCGACCGGAGATCGGAACAGTTCCATACGTTAGCTTGGGTGCACTAAGTACATGAAGCAAATCTCTTCGCTGGCGGGTCTAGCATCAACTCGATTAATCTCAGCTTGACGTTGAGTAGATGGTCGCCTGCGTTTCAAGATAGTTTCCAAAAATTATCTTCGGTTCGCTTTCCTTCTATCTGTGCCAGCGGTGCTCAAGGTTGATTCCATATTACCTGGCTCAGAATCATCCCATAGCCACGTCAACAACTATTTAATTAAGAAGAACACTTGACAGAGATTTTTGCAGCTCATGTAAATAAAGTCCTTAGGGAGATCAGTAAAACAGAAATGAGCATAGTGAAACACAAACCCACGCGCAATGAGTCATTACTGGTTAAATCCCCTTCGCATGTGGACTCGAATCCTCTCAGTTGTTATGGTAACCCATTCCAAGGTTGTATTTCATAATGAAAGCTTTTAGCACCTAGCAGACCCTTTAGACTGGAAAATGAGAGAGAGGACTGGCCACCTCGCATATTGTATGACCAAAACTGTTCTAGAACCACAATTCAGAAACTATTCGGCGCGTGAGTTCTTCCTGCCTCCAAGAACAGCAAGTACGATCATCCTCCTTAAGGCGGCTTTGCTTCTCCCGTGTAGTTTTTTTTTGATAATGTCGAAGCTTTCCTTAACTTCTCAAGATTCATCCAGGATTCTCACACGAATAGCAATTACACATAAGCATGCAAGAGGATTCATAGGTTATTTTAGCTTAATTGCGTGGGTAGCGCCTGTCAACAGATATCATTTCTTTCTGAGCGAGTTGAGGGTGCCCGCCTCGACGTGTCAAGTCAAATCCATCAACATTGTTTCTTTCTCTTTCCGTTCCCATGCTTTCATAGCGTCGCAAAAGTGTGTGATCTTATACAGGCGAAATCCTTCATGCAACTCTATTTAGGCTCTTGGATACTCTTTCGAAAGCTGCCTTGGGAAGGATCCGTCACTGAGAGAAATTCGATAGCGTGCAGGCTCTCCAGTCCTTGCACTAAGACATGTTCTTGCTTACAGAGATGGGAGACTCATGACAAAACTGGCTGATAATATCATTTTAAGTGATGCGTCGGTCTGACAGGCCGCTTTCTGCTCCGTTCAGGTGCTACAAACAAGGATGTTACGACCTCTAGAGAGGGTGGTGAATGTCAACACATTATAGTCGCTGTCACCTCTAGAAAAAACAGCTTTCGGCAAAATACAACCTGCCGGATTTTGAAATGGCTGATTGAAAAGATGAGGCCATTTTCCTTTCGCAGGCAACGAGTATAACACGCCAGTTGCAGCAACAAATGCTATGATGCCTATACCAGTTTCCAAACCTAATCGCATCTTGCCCGATATGGTTCCAACACCGACCCAAATCGGCTGAAAACTACAGACGGCATTGATTCAAAACTTGTGGCATGACGGGACGGCTCAGCGGGTGGCGCTTGTTGACCCTGGAAGCTGACGTCGGCGCATGTCATTGCACCCAACCCCACCAATCGGACTCTTTGTCAAAAAAGAGCGGGTGAGGCAATGCTTCTACTCTTGGCTATCAAACTCCAAAGGCATGAACCCCTCAATCCTTCAAGCAGCTACAGCTTGTTGAGAACGAGAAGCACAGCGACGTGGATGCCCTTCTCATATCCAGCAGAGGCCCTCGGGGTTGCGCTGGTGGTTGTGTTATTGTTAATAGTACTAGTTGTGTGCCTCAAATGGGTTGCTCTATTTAACAAAAACTCGCTAGTCTCTAACATTGTCATTCTTTCACATCTCCGCCCTCAGCTGAAGTAGACGTGCGAGATTCAACGCCGCACCCCAGGTTCCAAGCCGTACAAGACTCTGAGCGCCATGCATAAGTATCACGCGGCTCCCATCTCCATTTACAACCTTGTCGTTCTGTACAGAGAGTGCGAAGTCAAGGGCTTCTGTGAGTTCGGACTTGGCGACAGTTACAATATTATGGAGATGAGTGCTGAGTTGAATCTTGAGGGTTTGAGGGCTAGTTTTGACCACTGCCCATAGGAAGACGTGGTAGAGAAATACGTCAAATATGCTGTAAGGAGCTGCTGCTCTCAATGCCGAATCGCTCATAACGGAGACACAGTCCCCGACTGCCCTGGAAAATATGTCCATGGAGTCTGGTGGTGGTTTTGGGGCCGTCTTTACGTGACTAGCATACCCGTTTATAAAGAAAGATTGCAGACGGCTCAATCCGCCTTGAACTGCATGATCCCCGCCTTTGCCCAACGCATCTTGGATATCGGCAAGAGAGGTGTGGAGGTGGATATGCACTAACCCATAAAGTATACGCGAAGCTCGTGAGAAATATGAATCCGGACCCAAGGCTCCTTCTGTTTCTCTGCACGTGGTGTATCGGTGGTGCCAAGCGTCGAGTGAAGCTGTAACAGTAAATGTCAACCTTGCTTCGAGGCTGCTATCAGGAAGACGAAGGAGCTTACCAATTATATTCTCCCGGGTCTGTAGGCGTTCTATCCGGAAAGATTCTTCGCTTACTTCTGAAGGGCGATGTTGAGAGGGGATTTCGTCGGGTAAGTCAGAAGTGTCCGTCGGATCCATCGACCAATCATGCGACCAATCAGCCGCTTGGCTAGCCAAGGAGCTTAGAACCAAGAAAATGGTCCAACGGCTGAATGTTGAGCTTAATGATGAAGACGACGGAGTGAGCCGGCTGCTTCCATCGGACTTTAACAGAGCCCGGTAGGCCACAGAGAACAATACTGCCGAAGGGTGCGACGCGCCATTTTGAAGGCCTGCCCAGGTTTTCGCATCTGGAGCCGACCAATGCTTTTCGTCGCTCGGGCACTCCCATCTACTGACCTCAGCCAGCGACATCATGCTTCTCATGTTCAAGATGGCAGGAAACTGCGAATCGATCATGAACACATACCATCTCAGACGGCAATAGAATTCCGAGTCTATCCAAGCCTCCCATTGGTTTTCAACGCTCTTTGCATTACCACTGTGGGACCTGGACTTTGGCGCGGAAAGCCGTCGGACATTTGCCACCAGAACCCCTCGCGAGGCCTCAGCAGCCTCATAAGCTCCCTTGTTTCCACACCAAAGCCCCACATAGACCAGCAGCGCATAAGCGTATATGACGCGAGGATCTCTGGTCAGGCTCCTGTCTGCTTCCATGCTTTGTTGAAGGTTTTGACGGGCTCGGTCGAGCACCAGGGTGGAAAAGCGTCGAGTGTGTCGAACGTTGCTGTAAGTAGCTCCAATAATGACCATGGCTGAAATCAAAGATGGCGGTAGGGAGTCGACTCGGAGAGTAGGCAAGTGTAAGACTGGACTCTGCTCAAAAAACTCTTCGAAGAAAAGTCCGAGAAAAATATTGGCGACGGTTAGCGATGGTAAAATCAGGTCCTCTGCATTTGGAGTCCGAGGCTTCAAGAACTCTTGTATGGAAAGCCAAGTCGACTCTTTCATGTCAAATCGAGGTTTGTGGCGAAGGAAAAGCGGATGTCTCTCGCTGATCGAAATGTGTTGCGTATGATGGATTGCTTTGGACGATGGGTCCCACGCGAAAGCTATTGCGTCTTCATGCGAGGGGACATTCGGGGGAGATGAAAACCTCGAAACGGCGTCTGCGACATCTGTATTGCCTGTTGCCTCCGGAGGCGCCGTTGTCCCCTTATCTGACACACAAACGGAAGTGTCTTGTCCATGTTCATGGATGTTGAGCTCGTGTCCGAACCAAGCCCGTTGGTCTGAGAACAAATGAGAGTCATCATGAAAAAGAAGAGGATCGTTCATGTTTGATTTTTCTCTCATGGCATTGTAAAAGTCTGGAGTGAACCACTGGCGTGTGTCAAGCCAAAGGTCGTCCACCGATGGTTGAAAAAAGGTAGAGAAATCCACGTCTGTGTCCAGGATATCCGTAAAGGAAGTCGTCGCGGCGTTGTGTTGGTTTGCACTTGTGGCATTGGTGCCGGAAGTTGGCCCTCCATTCTGCAAGTAAGTCAGGTTTTGAGCATCGGCCGCTGGCGGCGGACACCATGTAGCCGTAGATATGGCTGGAGCCGCAGCAGCACGGCGAGAACTCCAGCTCACCCGGCGCTCACCCTTCTCCGGCAAGCCCTGAGACGACGAGCTAGGATCTTCGAGGATGAAAGAGAAATCCCTTTTTTGGGGTATCTCCAAAGAGGCATAGTCCTCATGGCTGCTTTGACGGTGGAGCCGTCGGTGTTTATTGAGTAAATCGCTTCGAGAAAACTCCTTGCGACAAAGTGTGCAGCGATGGGGCAGTCTGGTCTGGTCTGAATTGAATTAAGCTCGCTCGCATCAGTTCGGGATCTTCGTTTAGTTCTCGGGAATTTATAAACCCACGAGTCTTTTGATGACGTTTCAAGTTTTCTATACGAGTAAATGACCGAGAACAAGTGGTGCAAGTGTGGAGAGCCTGGCTAGCCTCGCCCGTCGAAGTCATCCCGGAAACCAATCGGTGAGCTCCACGCATCCTAGATGTCCCACGATTCTTGTGAGACGGACGGCCGATTGCAGGTGGGCGGCCGATTGAGAGTGGACGGCTGAGAGAAAGTGGACGGAGCAGCCCGTTGAAGGAATTAGATCGGGGTGGGGGCGTCTCTCCCCTTTTAAGCGTTTCGTCCACCCGTCCCCACGGATATGGGTGGACGTGCGTTCGGATCGAGGCTAGCTTGCCTGAAACCCCGGTATTTCCGAAACGGTCGGGATGACATGGGTCACCGTTGCGTGCTTCGGCGAGCTTCTTCAAAGCTAGAGCCACTCGCGTCACTTACAAGACGGCTGGAGTCTTGGAGAGAAATTTCTTGACTTGACACTTTCATTTTATGTTCCTATCTGGAAGAAGATGCATACGTCAAGTCCTGGCTTGCTCGAGCCGTCAAGAGTCGTTTCGGCTTCGTATGGCGCTGAGCGCGACGCTCATTCAAGTGCTTTCACCCTTACCAACGGACCTTCAGAATCCACTGCGAAAGCAACCATTGTCTTTGACTATGGTCGATGCGTCGGCGGAATCCCAACTTTCGTAGTTGATCGTGCACATGGGAGCGGACCGATCCATGTAAAAGTCTTATACAGCGAAACGGCCGATGGCATCAATAGTGAAGAAGGTACCAAACATTGGATAGTCTAGATGCCGGCTTTTATAGCCTAACTAACAAAATGTTGAAGGCGACGGGCCTTTTTTTCTCTTCTCCAATGCCATGGACTGTTATCGCAGCGTCTCCATGACGGTTACTCCATCAGCGTCACCACAAAACATCCAATCTACCCTTGCCCAACGGTCACAACGATATTTGAAACTGGTTTTAATGTCCGCCAACGCTTCCATTGTCTTCAGCAAAATCGGCATGGAACCTATCCGACCTTCACTTACACCAAAAGCGTTTTTTCACTGCTCCGATGAGACTCTCAACCGCGTCTGGAATGACGGCGTCAACACTCTCGACATGTGTACAGTTACCAGAGGAGAAACAGCACCGGCTTGGGAAGTCACCGACCAAGGAACGAGAGTACTTGGCCAACACTGGGCTCCATGTCGACAAGGTACTAGATGGGGCGATACAGAATCGACATTCCAAGTTCTTGTCGAACAACGCGGAGCCAGCTGGGGCGTTCACATGGTTACCAACGGTGTGATCTTTTGTCTGGATGTTGAAGCAGAGGAGCTTCGTGCCTACGAGGGCCTTGCACACACTTCGGCAGTCTTTCCAGTCAAGTCTTTTGGCACCTGGTCAACCCAGGGTATTATGAACAGGAATGACTGGATCAGCGTCACTACGATCACCAGCGGCAATCGCATCACCGTGACGCTCAACGACTGGGAGATTGCGACGATTATGGATGTTCAAGTTCGACCACTTCTTGGCGGTTCAGGCATCAACACCGGCTCCATTGCATTTGGCGGTCCTGAAGGATGGCTTTCTCTTTACCGAAACCTTCTGGTCAAAGATGCCAGCGGTAACGTTTTATACGAAAACGACTTGCTCTCAGGCAACAAAAACAGGACTTTGGCAGACTTTCAGGTCGGAACGAATACGGTAGCCTGCATGATTGATGGCGCCAAACGAGATCGAGCCACCTTTGGCGGCGATTTGTTTGTTTCTGGCCGTGGAGTTGCATACTCTGGCCTGGACATGGAAGCTGTTTCGGGCAGTATCGAGCTCTTGGTCAGTCACCAGACCAGCGAAGGTTATCTTGGCAACCTGTGTCCCATTCAGGCGCCAGTTCATCGGGGGAACGAACCACCACCCACATACGCCTTCTACTCCATGACTTATGCTTTACTGCTTGTTGTCGCTATCAAGGATTACTGGCTTCACTCGGGAGATGATGAGATTCTTGGGTGCCTACCAGCGGCTGAAAGGTTGCTCTATTTTGCTGAGTCACATGAGATGCCTTCGGGTCTGATCGAAGTGCCACCAAACATGTCCAGTGAGTCGAATATTCTGTCTTTAGAGCCTTCTGAATACGATTAACAGAACGTAGTGCATTGGTATCCTCTGGGTGGGCCGGTCTTTGGCGCATCTGGCACGATGAATCTGGCATACTATGATGCCATGAACGCTGTACGGGCAATGACATCCAACGGCTATCGCAAGATTCAAATATCTGCTAAGATGGAAATTCTGAAGAAGAACATCTTGGCGCATTTATGGGACTCAAAGAAAGGAAGCGTTCGTATGGGCATAGCTTTGCCTCCTGACGGAATATGTCAAGACACCAATGGTTATGCCGTCACTCTTGACGTGGTCGAGAACTCTGATAAATGTCTCTCTCACTTGACTTGTAGTCCGGAGTCGATGCCCGTTGCATTCCGTGGTCTGCAACATTGGGATCAAACGGGGGTCGTCAGTCCCTACGCCACAGGGTTTGCCGCCGAGGCACTGTTTGCGCGCCAGAGGGGCCCAGAAGCCATCCAACTGATCAAGAACGTCTGGGGTCCGATGGCGGACACCTCCAACCCTAACTATTCGGGAGGTCACTGGGAGGCAATGACTGCCGAAGGCAAGCCATTTGGACATGATACTTCGCTGATGCATGCGTGGTCTTCATGGCCAGTCTTTCTACTGCCGCAATATGTCGTCGGCGTCAAGCCACTAGAACCGGGATGGAGGTACATAGAAGTGGCCCCGGTGCTGTGTGGCATCAACTATGCTCACTACCATATTGAGACTCCACAAGGTCAACTTGAAGTCGAGGTCAATCTGGACGAGGCGCTTGGAGTCTTGTGTATCAAGGCAACTTTACCTTCCGGAACGAAGGCAGAAATCGTGGCCCCTCAAGGTTATCTAATCGAGGGCGATAGTGTCCTTGAGGGCCCCTCTGAAAACGACGTAGTTGAACTCCGTCGCCTAGAGTTACAAAACCTATCTCTTGGATAAGATATCTAAATCTCAGAGGCGTGGAGTTCTCGGAGTCCCTCAGTACAAATACCTGGATAGTAATAATGCAATCCCTCATCCCGGCACTTGTTGGGAATTTCCTCCTAAAACACAATTTCGTGCTGATGGAACAGAGTACAAAAGTCGCAAAATATCTGGACTGCTGGCAACATGCAAGAAGAACGATACAGAATGATATCCGCGTTTAGCTTATGCTCAGAGCTCTGGTTGATCATTCATTCGATTAGCTCAGCTTTTCCGCGCCCAACACCCACCTATGCGCTGTGTGTTAGCTTGGTGTTAGTACACCAAGCTCAACTCTTTCTGCCTTGCTTGTACGAATTAAAATTAGTTTCCCAAGTGATTCTCAGACGGCGTAGAATTTATTCCCGTGCCCCGGGAATCTCTGAAAGTTTCTTGATTCATGACGCAAAACGTTGGCTGTGCTGTAATATCTTGAAACCTTCATTAACCCTAAGAATATTAGTGAGATTCTTGAATAACTATATCAGATTTACTTTTGAATATATATGTTCTTGCTTTATTTTGGTATTGGAATCATCTTGACATCTCTCTTTCTCCAAAATTCAGCGCCGATCCGCCTCTGTCAGTCCCTACTCAGGATGTCTTACGAGGACCATCATGCCTGAACTAACACACAGGTGTTTGGCATCACTCACAGAGATCCCAGTATTCAAGAGATTGAATCCGTCACCATGCGCGAAGGATTGATGTTGGTTTATCCTAATGTTTTGCAGCATATGGGGTCCTCCACTCGGTTGAAGGATCCAAGCAAGCCGGGCCATCGAAAAGTCCTGACGCTATATCTGATCGACCCACTACCGCGAATGTACCGCCGCAGCAGGCCGGCTGGTGGGCGTGAGAATTCTTGGATGAGGCGGAGCAGTTGAAAGGGCTGCCCAAAAAGGTCGACGACATGGTCCTGAACGAAGTGAGAGACTGGCCTGTCGATTGAAAGACATGGCGGCTAGAGAAAGGGGCAATGTGTCCAGACAGATCATTAGAATTTTGACTTCATATCGGGTGGATCTTGGGGTGTTTGAATTCGGAGACTCTGTATACGAACCAGACAACGAGAACATAGTATCTTCCGATAACGATAAATCAGAGTAGCAGAGGGTATTCATGGCGATGGCAGCGATAAAATTCAAATGGGTGTCCTGTTGAAAAATGAAGTTAGGTTTGGGACTTCCAGACTAAGCGAGCTGTCTTTAAAGACAAGAAACCGATGGAAGATTGAACACATAAGAGGAGTACAATATGTGTAACTCAGAAGCCTCGAGGATCAACTGCCAACAACGCCGAAAGTTTTGCGTGCTCCACGAAACCGCGCCCCTTCTTCATAGTGGCTGTAAAAGACCCCTATCTACAAAGATTTGCCTTTCATGCCGCCAGTTTTCCAAATCATCCTCATGTTTTTTGATGATCCGTCCCAAACCAAACTTCGAAGGGTCCCGGCATATCTCACACTTTCCTCCCAGCGGACCTTGCTTGTTGTGCTCCGAAGGGTGTTCCACAGCATCGAAATATTGATCGCCATCTTCGTTTTCAAACCAGATGTCGCCCTCGTCTTCCATCTCTGCTCGGTAGCCAGCAAGCTGAAGAGCGCAGCAAAGTGCTTTGACCATGGGAAACCGTGACAAGTGTCGGCGGCCTTCGTCCGTAGGTATGATGTGTGCGAAGAAGGATGAATCCCATTGCGACTTTTCGTATAATGCCTCTTTATTAGTTGTCTTCCTCTTTGGATGGTGACTTGCGCGAAGATTCCATTGGTCATCTCCCGGTTCTATGGTGTTAAGTCCGCCTCCTGGATCAATTGCGTTTATATTCTCAGAAGTAGCGGCGACTTTGTGAACGAACCCCACACCTTTGGGCTCACAGGAGACAAGTCCGTTGCTATCAGACTTTTTTATGTTACCGTTGTTTGTCCATTGTATTTGAAATCTCGGGTTCCTTGTTTGGTCGAAAAGTTCCATTTCTGCTTTGGATAGTTCCGTGGGTCTCCAGAGACGATGTTGGTCCCTCCAGAAGTAGCTCCACATTCTTGCTTGCTCCAAGCAATCATAACACTCAAAGACATCAGTAAGGAAAGGCCCGTCCCAGTACGCTGCACCGTGGAGGAGAAGATGTGTCAATAGTGCTACTGTTGGGGAGAACATCCAATCAATACTTTCGACGACGTGACTCGAGGACCAAAATAATGGCCAACTACTCAGTAGCTCAAATGGGCGTGGGCATGAGATTTGCCCGCTCTCATCACTCAAAAGAAACCATTGTGCAAGGTCTGTATCTTCAGCTCCTGAGCGGTTTAATGGCCAACGAGGACCTGATGCCTGGCCAATACCGTATCGCTGCAGTGCTACAGCAACGTCAACGCCACCTCGTGCCGTAAGCACCCTCCAGGCATTGTGCAGCCGGAAACTTGTTTGCCTTAGGTTGAGAATTTCAGCAGCATAGATAATATCTGCTACACTGCAGATGTTGACGGCGCCACTAAGAGCGTCGGCGGAGCTCCAAAGCATTGATGTAACTTCTGGGTGCCAGCTGGTGTATCCTATGGAGCGAAGAAGGTTGATTTGCTCATGAAACTCTTTCTGTGATTTTGAGTATAGATGATCAGTGGGGTAAAATTTTCCCTCAAATGTTTCAAATGTCGTATTTCGTTGCAACACAAATCTCACAATGTCCGTGTAGCCGCTTTCCAATGCTTTGAAGATGGCAGGGTAATGACCAAGACCAAGTCTGTTGTGTTGAGTGCGTTCGTAACTTCTTCATGCTGTCAAATAGGATGCCACTCACATATACAAATTTTCGTAGTTGTTTTCATCAACAAGGGGAACATGAACAGTGCAACCTTGATGCATGAGGTACTGTATCAGCTTCAGTTTTGCTTTCGCGTTGGTGGGCCGTGTGGGAGAGTAGCCAGGGTCAAGGATGTTGCTCATCATGATGTGCTGACGATAGTTAGCCTGTATCCGAGAGACAACAACAACTAAATACTTGCCTCCAGAAGGCCGCTGTTGATAGAATCATCCACGTCATGGATACTTGCGAGGCCTTGGTCGAGCATCATTTTAACTCCATTCAAGTCCAATTCTCTACAATACTTGAAAATCCGGGGATTTAGAGGCCGCACATTCACTATGTCAAACCTGGAATTGATGAAAGAGATGCTAGTCCAAGCCCTGGTGAATTGACGAACGCCCAGCTCAAAGCGTAGTATTCTCTCGTTGAACAAGAAGAAGCGTAATCTTAATGAAGCACGAATATCTCGCGAGTATGGTGTGATCTGGACAGTAGCACTCCCGCTGTATCTGGGCATTTGTGGCATGGTTGGTGGGCTGCCTGAACTCTTGTTGAGTACTTTTTGAAACTTCCATTGTGCATGGTGAATTGTCGGGTTTGATTGGAAATCAAAGAGATCATTGATGGTATCAATGTAGTCATGAACGGACTTAAGCTTTGTGCTGCCCTCAATGCTTGTCATTTGTGGGGGATGAACGGCTGTTCGATTCTCTCGGGCATCGGTATCCTGGGTCGAGGTTTTCGAAGTTTCCGGACCAGGCATAATCTGCGATGCTTTAGTCGCCGATTCAAGGCAGCGGACAATTTCCTTCCGCAAATCAGTCAAGGACGCATATCAATTAGTGCGGACACTTAATGTCATACGGTTCGTGTTTCTCTCCAGTACAGAGTCTGTCTGTCGCTAGCGGCGTTTATTGAAGATTGAAGTTCTCGTGTATGCTCCAACAATGCCGGAAGAAGGGCTGCATTGGCGACTCGCAGCGCTGCGAGAGACGTTTGCTGGATTGTCGCAAGACGTCTGCAATTCCTAGTCAGCAAGATAGGCTCTCACCCAAATGGAGGCTTGAATGGGTGATTGACATTGGAATGATTTCGAGAAACTGATCAAGAGTTTGGTGTATTTCCGCAAGGTCTCGCATGATGCGGTTAGTCTTCCTCTTGCCGACAACAGCCCACTCTAGCTTTTGACCCTTCGTCTGCCCTTCTACGCCGGTGGCTAAGCCCTGAATCTCCAGAAGCGCCTGATGATGCGTTTCGAGCTGTTCGAGTAGATGTCTCTGTGGATTTCGGGAAACACATCGTCCAGCTCCAGGTCTGAAAGATCGCGACCTATCTTCTGGACCTGTCCAATGCGGAACTTGAGTTGATCGACTTTTTGCGCCAGTTGGGTGATCTCCTTGGGCGCGTCACGATAGGAGCGGATTATTCGTACTGTCGTCTGGCCGCACTTAAGGCAGAGCTCGGAAAGCTGCGCGATGGCAGCAGTCGCGCCGAGGGTCTCGAACCCGGACATTGCGGACGATATAGTAAAGTCGAGGGGCCTCAACGTGAAATTCGCAGAGAAGGTAAGGCTGGTAGCGTGTAGGTGCGGGACTTTTACACGTTTATTCGAATGCCGCGACTGCGGAGCTGGCGGTCATCGGCCAGCGAAACGTCTTGCTTTTCATGGTTGTGAAGGGCCAATGAACGATGTGAGTGGCCAGCCTACTCATGTCATGTAGATGAGTGCGCCTACTCGTCTGCGCTGTCACACATGGCTGTGGCTTGGGTCGCATATGCATTGCCCTGTTGTCTATGGTTTGTAGGCTTTTCACGGGCGAACCGGTGGGCACACTACGGTTGTTGCCTGTCCAGAGCCTTGACACTGATGGGATGCTTTAAAACTTTCTTCTTTTGAGACTGAAGTCTGTCGCGAAAACTTCCTAGTTCAATTGAGGGTATCTAGTCTTTGCCTTTCTGCTATTATACCTGTGCCAGACACGGTTCAACGGAGCGTGGCTCCGGTCTCCCAACTTGATCGTTCATATTCTTATCAAAACCCCCATTCTCGAAGTACATACATGGCAGAGTTTGGCTCACAAAGGCCGCATACTTCCAGCCATCCCCAGCGAAGGTGCCAATGCAGTGAGCCACCTTTTATAACCATTGGAGAGCCATATGAAAGGTGCTGCCGTAAGCCTTCGCCAGGTAGATCGAAGTTCAACCGAATTGATATGTACGCCATTCCTTATATGGTTACTTAGTCGCAACATGTAAACTCAGCTGGGGGTTTGTTCCAACTTTGGTTCGGACTTGTACTCCGATGCTTCCTCAGATGCTTCTACTGGAGGCTTTTCCTCGGCCTTTTCAGAAGCCCGCGTCGAAGACTCTTTGGCAGACTGATCCTCCTTAGGGGCCGCAGACTCAAGCTTCGGTCGCCAATAGAGACAGGTGCTGGAAAACGTAGTATAGGTCCCATCCTGGGGAAACGAGAAATGCTTATGAGAGGCATGCATATCGCTCATGCACTTGAAGTCTCCTTCTTTCATCGTAGCAAACCTTTTTTGTTGTCAGCAATCATTCATAGACATCAATGGAGAAACATACTCATCCCACACATCCCAGCCTGTGCCGACAAACATAGCAGGCGACGCCTTCTCCAACGTCGATTCGTATATGGGGCGATACATGTGTACAGCAAACACCAGCGTGTCTTCGTCGACGGCCTCGAACGCGGCGGGCGACTCGACGACCTGGTGGCCCAGGTTTGTGAGGAACTCGGTGTCATTGGGGGTGAAGCGGGGTTCCTGAAACGAACACGGAATTGACTCTTTATACAACTCGGCTAGCATTCGGTGAGCTGGGAGCTACGAGGCAACTGCGATAACTAGACATACACAGGACCTCCACGATGGTCAGGAACCCATCGAGCTGGATGTAACTCCGCCTCTTCGCGTCCCATCCGCCATCCTCCGGGTCGAACGTGCCGACGCCGAGACACACCGCCTTGCGGACCGTCTGATGCTTCTCGGCATTCGTCTTTACGAGCTCCTTGAGCCTCGTATGACAAGCGGTGTCGCGCCAGCGGGTTTTGAAAGTCTCGTACTCGGCCGTGATGTCGGCGACGGACTTGAGGGTGCGGGGTTCATCGGGCCTCAAGGCCGACCCGGGGACCTTGGCCGGGGGCTTGGGGGCGTTCCGCCGGAAGCGCGACTTTGACTTGACGTGGATCCATTCCTCCTGCTGCGGCTTCTCGTTCTCGGGCTGCTCGGCCGCGGCCATGACGGGCATGCACTGGATTTCGCGGGGTGTGGTGTTGGTTGGTGGGAGGCCGCCTTGGTGGGATGAACTTTTTGGCCGGCAGAATCCGGCCACCGCCTGCTTAGTGGGGCTGTGGCCATACCAAGAAGGCGGTGAGATCCCGCTTGGAGTAACGCTGGATGATCCACAAAGTCTCGCTGTACCTACACAGCCCAAGGTAAGAAAGACACCGCAAGATGGAGGGTCGCACGCCTAAAATCTCATGTAGCTTTGCTCCCTCCCATAAGCGTGGTTGGAGAGCCTCGAGAGCCCGGAATAGAATCACCAATGCCGACGACGATCTCTCACTCCAGAAGCCCGATCGCCAATCTAGTCTTTCGGTGAGTTGCGTCTCAAAATATCCTTCGCCTCCTCCAGAAGCCAATGAGTTCGATGTTCGATGTCGAAGCTGCACGATGAGATACAACGTGCCACTGCTGTCGGTCTTCAACGATGGACCCAATCCAGATAGATTCCTTCGGGCCATGAGCATGGGACAAAGAACCGTCCGATTGGGACACCAACGACTCGACCGCATCGTCTGTGGGTGGCAAGGCAATACACTGAAAACCCGGGGTCCTGTGTCGCTGCTGACCTGATCCTCAATCGGCGTTGTTTGGAAAGCCTGCTTCTGCTTCGCTGAAATTGTCCATGTCCGAGTAGACGACGTTACGCCGTCAGCTTACCGCCCTTCGGCATTCACCACGGATCCTTATCCCCTCTGCCGGCTATTACGTCCCGCAAGCGCTTGTCAACGTGAGAACGGCCGACGCGTCCATGCCATCACACTCTCTGCGACACACGTCGTGCGGCAAAATGGAATCATTGCGAGAGGGAATCGCACGACGCGAGGGTCCAACGAGGTCGGTTGTCGACCAGAAATCCAGCAGAGAGAGCGCACGCTCCGCCCGGAACGACCCCCGAAATGCGGCCCCGGCCTTGATTTCTTCTCCATCCCCCACGGTCCAGCAGCACAGCCAAACGTGTACAGAAGACAGACATCTCACACCTTGCAGCTCCCATGTCCCGGCACACCGTGGGCTCGCCGTCTGGTTGGAGAGCGTCGACTGACGGCTAGACCCAATCCCAAGCTCCAAAGACGACTGTCCGTGTGGTGGCAGCGGTGGCAGGTTGCATCCTGCAGCCCAAGTGCACAAGGCCCGGCGCTTACACGCCGTCGCATCCCTGCCCGCCGCCTCCCGCCCTCCACCACTCATCGTCGAGATGCCCTCTGCCACTGAGGTGATGCGGCGTCCCATTGGCTTTCGAACCCCGCGCGAGAGACGGCGTCCCCTGCCACTTCCATCCCGCAGCGCCTCGCCCTGGCGCTCCCGTCCGCCATTGGTGCGTCGTCCCGTGTGCAGCCAAAGGAGCAGCAGGGGGGGAACAAGCGGGAAGAGCAATCGTCCATCGACGAAGCTAGCCTGCTGCTGCCGACCAAGCAGTTTTGTTTGCTTCCGTGGTGGCACACGCCTGGGGGAGAGAACAGAGCAGGAACAGGGTTTGGGGGTGCAGGCGGGCGCCTGGCGTCCAACAATCGAATCCCATCCGCCCATTGCTGTGCCCTTTTCCCTCCGCCCTCCGGTGTGTGCCATGCCATTTGGCATTCACACCATCACGGCCCACCCCGGCTCGCCCTCCAAGGTCCGGAAAAGAGGGAACATCGGTCCTCGATTGGACAGCTGCAAGTGCACGATGCAGTGGGAGAGTGATCGCATGGCCCCCGGCGGCTGGATCGTTCGGCCGGCCACCTTGTGCACGGCCACCACCACGCCCCCATTCAGCCAAATAACACCCCGTCTGTCGTCCCGTCTGTGATGGCCTTCTTCTCCCTCTCCTTTCCCTCTTGTCTAGGTAGTGTCGATTTTGTTTCTTTTTGAGGTTTCCGATTCTTCACAACGCTGCGATCTTTCTTGCGCCGAGACCAAGAGTTTCTTGTGTTCGACAATCAACAGACGGAACATTTACCGACTGAGAGACTGCCTCGGAGGCATCCCAGGATTACACGCTCACGACCAACCACCTCGACGGGTAAAATTAAGCGGGGTTGCAAGACGAAAGTCAGCAAGACGTACGGGCTGTGAAACCAAGACCAAAAGCCGAGCTACGGCATCCAAGTGAGAAGGAGAAGACAGGAAAAGAGGCGGTTTGCCCTTGGCCGGAATCACACATCGTCGACTTTCGACACAGATTACACACACATACACACACAACCGCCAAGATGCTCTTCTCAACACTAACAGCCCTCGTCCTCGCGGCGACGGCCTACGCCCACACCGTCATCTCCTACCCGGGCTGGCGCGGCAACAACCTCGTCACCAACTCGACCTTCCCGTACGGCATGCAATGGAACTACCCATGTACGTTTAACCCTCTCTCTCTTCACCTCTCATCATCCGCCATCACCATCATCGCGACAGCCTGCTAACAGCCCCCTCAGGCGGCGGCATGACCCTCACGACAAACCGCACCTACTGGCCCACGACGGGCGGCGCCATCTCGTTCCAGCCGGGCTGGTTCCAGGGCCACGCCCAGGCCTTCATGTACATAAACATGGGCTTCGGCACCGACGGCCCCGACGGTGGCCCCGCCAACATGTCCTTCCCCATGGTCCCCGTCTTCCAGATCCTCGGCCCCAGCAAGAACCCCTACCCGGGCACCGTCTGCCTCCCGCAGGTGCCGCTGCCCGTCAACACGACGGTCAAGGCCGGCGACAAGGCCACGATCCAGATTGTCGAGCTCGCCGTGCACGGCGCCTCACTGTTTTCGGTAGGTTTCATCTTTTCCCCTTTCCTGCTCCTCGCCCTGCCTCTCTAGGCTGTTCTCTGCAAACAATGGCTAACAAAGACCCAGTGCGTCGACATTGAGTTCGCCGAGCCCGGCGACCCCAAGATCGCCAAGGTCAACGAGACAAACTGCTTCAACTCGACCGACATTGGCTTCGCCGACGTCTACACCATCACGACGCAGGAGTCCGGCGCCAACTTCGTCACAGGCACCTCGGCCGCCGCGAGGCCGCAACCCGCGTGGGCCGTCGCCAGCTGGGCTCCGCTCGTCGTCGGCGCGCTCTGGGCGATGCTGTAAGCGCGTCGTTTCGACTGGGTGAGATGGCCAGGCGGCCCCCCTGTGTGAACGATGCGATGAGGGAGAGTGGACTTTTGGTTTGAATTATTATACCTCGGGAGGGGAAATATCTTTGTATATCTTTGGGCATAAAGATGGCGTTTTCTGGAAGGGACAAGCTCTTTTTCTGACGGGCGACTTTTCTCTGTCACCTAGCTTTTTCTATATCAAACTCTCTAGTCGGATCGTGGTCCGGGACTGAAGAGGGAGGGATCATTAATAATGGGATCCTCCCATACACTGGGGTTTCAAGAACCCAACCATAGTGTTCGCTCAATGCGAGTTGAAATCAAATATTTCCAAAATCTGCCATACGTCCTGGAGTACTTGTGCATCTGTCGAATGTGAATGAGCTGCAGCACGCAATGGCTCGACAAGTCTTGCCTTTTGCTATCGAGATCTTCACTCGTTCAAACACATGGCGACAGCTCAACCTCGGCAACGAGCACGGCTTACAGAACCACCTGCGAACTCAATACCACGCACGAAACAGGACAGTGGCACGGATTTCAGAGCTGTCTAATGACGCTCCATCACGGTCTAAAAATGACTAGCTATTGGCATGCAGTCAAAATAAGGTGCTGCATCAAAGACGCTCCTTGGCCGCCCGCCCTCGTTTCGCCGCAGCTTCAGCAAGCGCGGACATCTGCGACCGTCACGTGGCCATCACTTTCCGAGACTCCATAAGTCATGCTTCATTACCGTGCATCACATCACACCCCGTCTCATCACAGATGCTGAAGAGCCTCCTGGCCCACATGCTTCACCCGTGCTTCCGACACCTTGTCGATAGCAGTCTTGACCCAGCCCTCGCCTCCCAGCGACTTCACCTCGACCTTGTTGCTAGATGCGTACGTCCCCAACGCAACAAGCGCCCGGTAGACAACCTCAGGGTCGGTCTGCGCGGAGAGGATTTTGCCGAGGGCCGTGATGAAACGCTTGGATTGCGGTGCCGTCTTCTCCTTGGAGGCAAGCACGGCGTAGTTAATGAGAGTGGTGGTTGCGGCGATGAGAACATTGCGGTTGAACTGCCCGATTGGCGCGCCGCCAGAGATGCCGAGCACCCGCTCTAGAACCGTCGCGGCGAGGTCGGCCTCCTTTGCCGCCAACGCCCGACCCTTGGGTGAGCTGAAGATGTTGGCGAACGTGCGCAGAGCCATCATGGCGGAGTTCTCGTTGGGTGCAGCGCCGTCCGTGGCTTCCAACGCGCTGATCGAGGCAATCTTGAGGAACGATGCCCCCGGGGCCGCCAGGTCGGCGGCGAGCGGTGCCGGGGCGACGCATCGCAGGAGATCCAGGCCAGCGAGACGGTCAGAGTAGGGCCAGTGCGTGACGATCTTGACTGCTAGGTCAATGCCTTCCTGGCTAACAGGCTTGGAAGTCTCGACGGCCTGCTTGACAGCCTTTAGGGTGCTTTGCTCGGCGGGGTTCAGAGCGGCGTCTTTGCGACCAGAGGAGATCATGTTCGCGTTGACGGCCAGGATCTTGTTGACCATCGCATCATACTTGCCCGCCGTGATGAAGAGGTACTCGGTATGAGGCAAAAGCTTCGGGGCCGCTGGCTCGGACTCACCAGGACGGTATCTCGACTCCGTGCCGTATGGGTCGGCTCCCGCTGGCGCAGACTGCCCAAGCGTCGCGCCTTGAGTGTTTTGGGTGATGAAGCTCGCGACATTGTCCAAATAGCTCAGGGGAAGCTCATTGTCATTGAGGAACTTGGTCGCAGCGTCGTAGGGGTTTTGCGACAGGTTGAACGGCAGCTTCAGAGGCGGCTTGCCATCTTCGATGTCAACGTCAAAGACAAAGTCATATGACTTGCCATTGTACTCCGTCTTCTTTCCGCTACTTCCTGCTGAGTCGACAACAGTGCCGATGTTGATCCACTGCTGTTGGCCTACGTACTGTTAGCAAAACCCCGTAGACGAATCATGGCATTAAACATACTTTGAGACCATTGGTGGGCGGTAATCAAGCCGTTGCCCTCATTGATCATCTGCACCTGGCCCTCCTTAGTTCCCGATCGGGACTGGAGGAACTCGGGGCCTGGAAGCTTCTCCTTGTTGATGTCGGGTAATTGTTGCTGAGGGATCGCTGAGGCCTTTACTGACTCCTCGAATGCGGAGATGGCCTCGGCGCTTGCTGCCCGCTCAGAGCTGCGAGTGAAGATGCGTGCAACGCCGTCACTTGCACCCGTCACAATGTCTCCCGTCTCCTGGTTCGCCGCCACTGTCCACACTGAGATGGCGGGATGTGTAATGGTCTGAACACACTCATTGCCCTTCCATATCCGCACAGTGCGGTCCTCCCCGGAGCTGACCAATTCGCCCGAAGGCAAGCTCGCCAGTGCGTAGATGAAGTTCTCGTGGCCGATGAGCTCGCCAACCTGTTGTCCATTCAGCTTCCACAGGCGGATGATGCCATCGTTGCTAGCGCTGGCGATATCAGCTCCACTCGGGTGGCCCTTGGGAACCTTGGCGAGAGCGCGAACGACCTCGGGGGTGTAGATGGTGGACTGGGGCTCGGCGTCACCGGCGACGGCAGAGTTCAGCTTGTAAATGCGAATATTCGTGTCGGCGCAGCCCGTGAGAACTGTCTCCTCGTCAAGCGCCAGCACAGCCCACACGCTCTTGTCGTGGCCGCTGAGGCGAATCTCGGGCTCCCATGTACTGGTACTCCATACGATGGCCTGAGCATCCCATCCACCCGACACGATGTAGTTTCCCTTGGGCGACACATCAAGGCAGCAGACGTTCTGGGAGTGCCCGATCAACAAGCGCTCGGCATTGTCGCTCGGAGCCGCTTGGGGCTGCTTGACCTCGACGATGGTGTCTTTGCCGCCGGAGGCAATCAGTCCATCCGGGTATGCTTCGGAAGGTGGGAGGTATGTGACGGAGTTGACGAATTCGGAAGTTTGACTCGAGACGGTAGCTTCGAAGGTCGGAGGAGAATCAGAGGTTTGACGCCACACTCGAACGCTGCCATCTCGCGAGGCGGACAAGACGGTTTGGGGGTTTGGGAAGCTGACGGCCTTGACCTGTGGATTGCATGACGGATCAGTTGTGAAACAGAGCACTGAAGCTTCGTGTACTTACATCTGAGTCGTGGCCAGCCAGCTGGGCGGATAGCTTGAAGTCTGCCATGGCTTTCGGGTGGGTTGGTCTGAGAAAGAAGAGGAGAAGTCGAAAGAGGGCGAGGTGTAGAGCAGCTCACACCTCGGTTTGGTAATCCACGGAGGCGACGGCCAGTGTTGTTTAGGTGGTGGTACTGGCGGTAGGTAGCTAGACGATGACGATGGAAGCGGGAACGCTGAAGCTCCACTGCGCCACAAGGGGGGCACCGCGGACAACCAGGCGGGGTGGCATCGCACCTCACTCTTTGGACAGTGGTCCCCGGGGCAATCAGCTGCATCCCTGCCAACCCGGGCCTGTGAGGAGGTACCCGCACCGCCGCCTTCCTGCTTCCATTGACTTCCCTCTCCCGGGACGGGCCAAGCGGAAAGGGCACCAGCCACAGCTGTCCATCTGCTGACCAAAGCAAATACCCCCGGCCCCATTCTATCCAATCACGTCCGTCACAGACAACTTCTCCACCCCCTGGTTCTCCCCTTTTTCTTTCAAGCCACATTGCATCTCCACCTCAGCTCAGGGACCGAATCCGCGACGAATACCGAGCAGCAAAGTACCTCCAGCAGCAAGCAGCCAGCAGCCAGCAGCAGCGCGGGGTCATTTCTGATTTCTCGTGGCAGGACCAGGACCGGTTTCAGGGGTCCATCGAATTCTCTCCTCCCAGAACCGAACTAAAGAAAAAGGGACACCACTCACTAAACCCCCTTGGGCATCAAGAGACACGCTTCGAGTCCTGTGACTGGACAGCAAGCTGCGACAAGGTGCATCGGCCTGGCTCCGAGTCGGAAACCACCCCACTCTTATTTCCTCTGCGCTGCTTTCTCGTTGCTTCGCATCCTCTCGCAGCCTTTCCCATTTTCCCTTTCTTTGTGCTTTGCTTCTGCTTTGCCTTCTGCTGTGTTGCTGCTGTTGCCCCGACGAGGAGCTTTCTCACGATCCCATCGCCTCCTCCACGAACATTCACGACGTTACGGCTGTATTTGACTGTCTCTCTTTAAACCTGTTCATCTCGTTTATCTCAATCGGCACCTCATCCCAACTGCTACCGCCGACAGCTTGATACCCCTCCACAGCGCGCACGTTGCGCTTGCGACCACCGCGACACCCAATCCCTTTCCCCGACCACCAACCACGACCGACACCAAAACCGACGTCGACATGGCTTCACCCGCCCCCGTCACTCCCGCCGCCGAGACCTCGCGTCAATATGTCCCCCTGACCTGCCACGGTCATTCTCGACCTGTGCCTCACATCTGCTTCTCTGGCCTCGAGAAGGGAGAGCAATACTACATGATCTCGGCCTGCAAGGGTGAGCTTGCGATGAAGGAACCTGCGCTGCAACCGGGATCTTGCTAACCCTGTCACAGACGGCAACCCTATGTTGCGCGATGGCATCACCGGCGACTGGTATGCACCGTCTTCCCAACTGAACGAGGCGCATCACTGACGCGACATCTCCAGGATCGGAACCTTCATCGGCCACAAGGGTGCTGTCTGGCAGGCCAGATTGAGCCCCGATGCCTCCAATGCTGCTACTGCCTCTGCCGACTTCACCGCGTAAGCTCCGTCGGATGTTCCACCTATCCCCGAACAACAGCTGATGAGCCGTAGCAAGGTCTGGGACACCCACAGCGGAGAGGTTCTCTACACCCTCCAGCACAACCACATCGTCCGCGCCGTTGCCTACCCGCCCGACAACTCCGAGCTCATTGCGACTGGAGGGATGGAGAAGAAGTTGCGCGTTTTCGACTTGAGCGACTTTGCCCCCGACCCGAACTCTCCTGCCGGAACCCCCATCACTGTCCCTGCTTCGGCCGGCTTCGAGATTGGCGAGGGCACCCACACCGGATCCATCAAGTTCATCGCCTGGACCAAGGATCCTAACACGATCGTAACTGCCTCCGACAACACCCTCAGATGGTTCGATCTCCCCACGCGCAACGTCATCCGCCAGGAGGTCCTCGATGGCGAGATCAAGTCTTGCGAGCTTGTCTCGCTGGCACCCGAGTTCACCTCTCCCGGTGATATTGGTGGTGGCCTTCCTGTCCTTGCCGTGGCCGCCGGGAAGTGGGTGTACTTCTGGGGAGGCCCCCAAGCTTCGGACGAGCTCAAGCGTATCGAGCTGAAGCACGGTGTCGCCAGTGTCGGTCTGGATCTCAAGGGACGCAAGATTGTCATGGGAGAGGAGCCCGGCACCTGGGCGCGCGTCTGCCGCTGGGATGACGGCGGCGAGATTGGTGAGTTGTCGAGGATGCGTGTGCGCACGACGTTGACTAACACGCACATAGAAACCCTCAAGGGCCACCACGGCCCATCTGGTCTATCGCCTTTTCCCCCGACGGCAAGCTTTACGGAACCGGCTCCGAAGATGGCACGATCAAGATGTGGAAGAACTGCGACGGGTTCTACGGCCTGTGGCGCGGCGGTGCCCCCAATGCCGAACGTAATGTGGATTAGAGAAGCACGTCGTCCAGCATTGTGTCACGCTACGCAGGAAGCGACGCTTACACTCCCACGAGCAGTCGAGTCTCGTCAGGCTCGCACTTTGACGGGGCTTCGCACCTCAGCAACAACTCACTCTCCGAAACGCCGGCAATCGCTCATCAATTGATGGATCGATTCTTTGCCACGGCAACGGGCAAGCCCGTCACGGAGAGTGGATTGCCCGCTCAAAGCGATCGTCGTCAGCATAAGACGGAGTGAAGGACTGACGATCGCTGCCCTTGAGGGGACGGGCTTGCCTAGAAGGGGTTTGCATGGAGCAGCGATGTACGTGAGCGCACTACGTAGAACTTGAGGTGCTTACTAGGAGCGCAAACGTAATGAAATTAGGCTAGATGGTTGCCACCAGTGGCGGTCCCTATCAGAATATACATTACCAAATTTCAGATATCAATGCCGGGTATGTGCTGTTGTGTGAACCAACAGTCTATCGATCTGCACGTTTACGACGAAGACGTACACAGCCATGAAGCCTCATCCAAATATACTTGCCCGCCCTCGATGAACAGAGCCTTGGCACCGGCGTTTTATCAATCCAACATGGAAACTCAATTGAGCCTTCAGAATGCGAGTCACCGGCGAGACGGACATTCGGTTGCTCCTGCGGTTCCGAAGCCGTTTTGGTCACTTTCCTCCTCTCTGACTCAAGCTACCCTGGAATAAGGGACCATGGGGACGTGTCTACCCGGCTGCAGCGCGTCGGCCAAGAGACCAAGACTTGTGAGGATCGTCGTAACGCGACACGGAATCACCTGACAGGGGAAGCACAACGGCAATGCGGACATGAGGTGGATCCCGCGATCTACGCTTTGAGGCCAAGCCTATGAACTCAAACATGGGATTCGCGTTCCTAGAGTGGTTCCCCCTCGCCCGGGTCCAAAACCCAGCAAACACACCATGCGTCTGTCAAACCCCGCTTAGACCCCGAGCTTAAACAGTCGGGTTCTAAGGCGCAGCGCTTAAGCTACTGCAAGCTTTCGGATGTGCACTACAGCAAGTCGTCGCATGTTAACGGAGTCTCGGGGGTTTGAAGACGGGGATATATGCGGAGAATATGACCATATTGATTCCGGGCGGGTCGGCCAATTACTAAGTGAAAGGCCGTCCCAGTGTTCCGTAATCAATAAATCTGAGAAACATATGGAGACATAGGAAACTCAACACTCCATGACCCATTGGAGTCTAAGTACCAGTCTATAAAAGTCAACCGCTCAGGCTCATTCAACACAACAAACTCATCGTTCACCAAGTCAACCCGTCTCAGTCTTCTTCAGAAATCATGGCCTCCCTCCCAGACCCGGGCGACTTCTCTCGGTTCGCCGACTTCACTATCCTGACAACCACATACAAGATCGTGACAGACAACCCCATCAAGACCGATGTTCTGATCCCCAAACACCTAACCTCCTCTTCCCCGCCAGCGACCACCAAGTCATGCCCCGTGATCCTCCGCTACCACGGTGGCGGTTTCATCGCCGCTTCGAGCCTGTACCCGGGCTTCTTCCAGCCATGGCACATGGAGCTCGCGGCGCGCCACAATGCCGTGATTGTCACACCAAACTACCGCCTCGTGCCGGAGGCGTCTATAGACGAGTTACTGGAGGACATCGAGGACCACTGGACGTGGGTGCAACGCGAGTTGCCGGCCTTCGTGGAGAAGGAGACCAGCGGTCAGGTGAAGGTCGACACGGGACGGATCCTGGCCGCCGGCGACTCCGCGGGCGGCTATCTCAGTATCATGGCGGGCCTATCGCACGCTGACAAGATCCGGGCGGTGACGGCCGCGTACCCGTGCATCGACATCGCGGACGAGCACTTCATGAAGGGCCCCGCGGGGCCGACGCTCGGGTTCACGCTGCCGCGGGCCGTGGTGGACGAGCACTACGACAAGATGCGCAAGGGCGAGCTTCCCGCCATCATCTCGGAGGACCCGCGGCTGGAGAGAGGCACGTTGATGCTTGCCGCCATTCAGTACGGTGTCTTTTCCAAGCTGTTTCCTCTCGAGAAGCGGCACCTGTTCCCGCTGGAGAGGCTCAGGGACGGGGCTCGGTTCCCAAGGGGCGGGGTATTTGTTTGGCAGGGCGAGCAGGACAGCGTGGTGCCTGCGAAAGGTAATGTGAAGTTTGGGGAGGTTGTGAGGGAGTTAGATCCGGAGTTGGAGTTCCGGCTGGAGGTGAGAGAGGGGGAGCATGGGTTCGATCATAATGCGAAGATCGACGATGGGTGGATGAAGGACGGGCTTAGCGGACTGCTGAAGGCTTGGTTGGAGTGAGGCCGGTGGGACGAGTGTGTGAGGGTGACTTATCCGTGTGGATGTTGTGTAAGTGCTTCATCTGCTTTGTCCCGTTATGTGGCGTAGGCTGATGAAGATGGCGAATCTACAGTGAGAGACGAAGGGGATGTTATCTGGCTCTGAATATGATTTCAGGGAGCTTACCTAGGACGCACTGGCTCAGCAACCAGCACAACTTCGTCTAAATATACAGATATGGCTATTTCACACGCTACTATTTTTATGAATACTGTTGCAAGGCTTTGTAGCGACCACTATTAGTACGTTAGAATCAATTCCTCAATACCCGAATCTCTGGCATCGGTTGAACCATTACTCCCAGTCCTTTTCGACTTTCCAAGCATCGCCAGGTTTGAGGCCAGCTGCTCCAAAATCACATCCCTGGTGCCCCCATTTTCTGCGGAACGCTTCTCTCCCGGCTTCTGTCATGACATCTATTCCAACCTGGAACCCAAGAGCGTCGTAGTAATATGGCTCGCGGGGGTCTCCTCCCCTCTGCCCCAGTTGCCACGTGTTCCGCCCACGATCTCCTTGTTTGTGAAGCAACATATCGTGGCTGATTTGATAAAGCTTCTTAAAAGACTTAAGAGCTTCGGCGACGGTCATCGTCTCTTTCGCAGAGTCCGAGGCCTTGTTATCTGCGCTGGTGGTGGTTCCACCCGTGCTGAGCTGACGGACACTGCGTTTTTCGGTCTCCTCGGGGGGGCATTCGGCGGCGGTGGATTTGGGTCTGTGAAGCCAAGTCCTTCAGGTACGTCGTTTTCCCGATATAATACTCGCAAGTCGTCCAGGACTGACGCGACATCCTCAACAATGCCCGCCTTTGCCTCTTTAATGCTCCAGCCTGCCTCTTCAAGCCTCCAATGCATGTCGCAGTCCGTCATGTAGTACGGGATAAAAGTATCGAACCCACCAACTTCATCATAGGCGCTAGGATTCACTAAAGTAAAGTGATCGTACGCAAAGAACCTTGCTCCCCACTTTTGGTTGGAGTGTATCGTATAGTTCAGCTCCTTTATAGCGAGATCGTAAATCGTCTGATATTCAGGGGTACCAACCGGGCCCGAGATCCCCTCCATTCCTTCTTCGTACGATAGCACGAATGAGTCCATGTGGCTCCAGAAGTAGTACGGCCACAACTTTTCCTTTGCCACAGAAACAAAGTAGTTTTGGAGCTGTGCAAAGCTTAGCAGCACAGGCGTACGCACGATGGTAACGTTCAGCATTTCTAGTTGTGTATAGTTCAGGTAAAAAGGGTTCTGTAGCGATAGCCGTCCTCTGGCATTCGCATCGTGCACGCCAGTGTTCTCCACTACGAAGATCTGCTCCGCCGGCCACCCAGCTGTAATGTACCCTACAACTGTCTGCAGCAGCATTGGCCAGCTGCGCGTGAAGCCGATGAGCAGCGGCGGTGCGACGGGCAAGCCGTACACGTGGTAGATGTTGGGGTTCTTGGGCTGATTCCATGACGGGACCGGTGGCGGGTTCGTCAGCGAGAGGAGGGGGAAAGGATCTTTGACGGGCGGAGGGATCCATGTCGGCTGCGGTTTGTACTTCGGCTTCATCGGTGCCGGCTCCGTTAATGCCGGCTCCGTTAGCACCGGCTCCGTTAGCACCGGCTCCGTGGTTTCGATAGCTGGGGGTGTGCCTTTGTCGGCGTTGGTACTGTTGATGGCATTGCTGTCATTGACGACACTGGCAACAACGGTGTATTCGGACTCGCGTTGGAAGAAGAAGAAGAGGAGGCAGACTGTGAGCACAATGCAAAGGGCCGGTAGTAGCTGTCTTGGGCGGAGCGCTGTCAATGGGAGCATTCGAGGTACTGACATCGCCACCGTTACTGGATACAGCGTGGTGAGATGGCTACTGTGGGGTTTGCTGCTTGTGATGTTGGGACGAGTACGGGCGGATATTAAACGTATTGTCCTGAAGTTCGGAGCGACTGTCGCAAGTTGTTGTTCCCTGATGGAGACAGCAGCAAAGAACAAGAAGTCAGCAACATGCTGCCCTGAAAAGCTTGCCCACCACAAGCGACACCACGTGGGGCCATTTTATTAGCGCTTGTACGCGGGTCCGAGATGGGCAGTAGGATATTCCTAATTATGGGTATACAAACAGAGATATTCTTGTATCCAGAGGTACTTGTGAACCTGTTCAGAGCATTTGTTTAGTTGTACATTCTAGCGTATGAATTTAGCCACTCAAGAGGCGATTTCGAAGGAAAGTATAGGTAGCACCTGCAGATGTATATACTTGTCATACTGTCGAACCCCTTGTTCTCCTTGGGTTTCCTCATGGATAGAAAGTCTTAGGCATGATTCACTCAGGCTTTGGCTTCGTCAGCGTATAACTGTATAATCGACTGGGGCAAAATCACGCCAGGTCGAAAGTTGAACAGAGTGGGTTAAGGATAATATGTGGCCGAGATAAGGTGCATTTCCTTGGCACTTTAAATCTGCAAGTTCGGTCCATGGCCCTAGACCGTCTTAGTCCAGAATTGTCGGGATCGCTTCCATTTTCGGCTTCCCAGGTCCGGTATGGGGATTGTTGCCTACCAGACGTACTGCGGAATGGTTGTTTGTCTAGGACCAGCCTCTATGAAGGGGGTACAGTCACGGTCAAGATGTTCCTGCAATCATCAAAACTCTTCCGTTGCGGCCTGCAGCCTTGCGGCTTTACGCACGATGTAGACCGAGGCGAAGGGCACCATCTCAAAATTCAGTCTTACATATGCTGATGTGAGAGACAGCCTGCCTAGCCGCCGAGGGCTGTATGCATGGAGGTGGAGATCAATTCTTGACCCCTGCTGAGTTAGGACATCAGAACAACGGGTCGAGCCCCCCTTGATGAACACAGACGCTCTTGCTTGGTACGTGTGGTATGCCACCGGCTCCAAAAAGACGTTAAAAATGCAAAGGGTGGGTATAATGGCAGTGTCGCAACAAGGCTGGCGCGCGTCATCGGGCAAGCCTGAGGTCACTGGGGAATCAGCTCGAATCATGCGAAGTCCTCTTGTTCTAGACCAATGAGACCTGCAGTGGTTGTAGCTTACAAGCCTGGGCATCAACCTGAACTTGCTTCATCCGCCCATTTGCGGCTGCGAAGCCCTTCTGTTCTGAACCAACGAAACGTACAGTCGTGATAGCCTGGCATGGTGTCCAAGCGCATCTCAGATTCAACTCAGTAGGCATTTGTAGCCTCTCCACTTCGAACCTCCTTGAAGGCGAGAACCTTATTCTCCTTTTTACAATGCTAATTACTCTATCTTTGTTTATAATTGCTCCGCATGTATTCCAACCTTGCAGGTAGTCTTATTCCCTGTGGCGCCGAGCTATAAACAGACAGACTTTCTGCGTATGTCCGCCCAACATGTCCAAAACACCCACATCGTTCCAAGCATATGCTAGATATTCTTTTGCCCCGCGGTCAATAGACCAACCTACCCCTGATTGCTGCTGCCACGTTATCGGCTGACAACAGGCATGAAGCTGAGCAAAGTCTTCATAGATCCACACCTCTCAGGATGCAGTAAGTCCCTTTTCTCCCCCCACCTCCGGCTTTTGCGGCCACAGTGTAATGTGGTGAGTCTGTATCAGGCCTTGCCCGAACATCGCACCCAGGAACGCGCAACGTGCTGCCTGCGGGACAACCCTGACTAGGCCCACCATGGAAACCAGGCTGCCGACAATTTGGTAGTCAGTGTGGCATGGCTCTGATCAAGCCAGAAACACGGCGAAGATTCCTAGTCTTCCCCTCTATTTCTCATCTTAGAAGACTCATAGTAGTCGCCATAGCTAGTTGCATATCCACGTGTCTAGGACCGTTGTACAGTCCTGTAACATTTCGGCCGGCTTGCAATACTGTCACGGAGAGTGCCTTGTCTCAATACATATTCCTGTTTGCTTGACAGACCCCAGTCCGATTAGAAAGGGTCTGCGTGATGTCTGTATGCCTTATGCAGCTTAAAGGCTAGATGTATCAATAGTCCACAGCCTGCAGCTTGTGCGGACTTTTCTCCACCTGACCAACCCTTATCATATGCAACAAGGAATCCTTTTGGGTTTCGGGGCAACAGTGATTCGACCTTTTTATAACTAATGCAGACGTCATGTTCAGCAGTATGGAATGTCTTTCATTGTTCTTTCATCGTTGCATCTGAATCAGAGTAATCAAATCAGATGGCACCTCGGAAACACCAGATCCTCGCGGATGTGGTGGCCTTGGTCGGTCTGCTCGGTATCATCATTCTGTTGATTGCGGTTCATTTCACATCCCCCTTACTCACTGAATCTGGACCAATGGCCCCAGATGACCTACGATATCTGACAATTGCCATTACTGCCAGTGCGACACTCTTCACGATGTTCGTCAGTGGCCGTCTACAGCACGGTCTAATCCGAAGCTTGGAAGCCCCCCTGAGGGAACTCGGCCGCGATTCTTCCGGAGAAAAGCTCAGCCATATTGGTGTGCTCAACAATCAGTGGCGAGGCATCATGCGGGTTGGTTCTTTGGGTGAAAAAATCAAGAGCTACCGAATCGAGCTGCAGTTCTTAATCTGCGGACTCATTACCACCTCGATTGTGTCCTCCTTAACCCCGACGACGACAACAGTCATTGTACCATTTTCCCCCGAGATACCAGATGGAAAAGTTATGCCTTACATCTCAGCAGAGAATCATCCATGTGTCGGATTTTACCCAAACTCAACACGCGTGGATTTCAAGCGGTACTTCTGGCCCTTTCCTAATGGCACTACCATCTATTCGGATATAAGCAGCGCCTACTGCCCATCAACCAAGGCCTTGATTCTGGCCCCCCAAATCAACACAGTGGATCCCGAACACTACGCCTACATAGATGCTGGGACAGCTGTTGCCCCAACGGCCATGGGGACACCAATTTCTATTCTCAACGGAACGGCGATCAAGGCGGTTTCTAACAAGTACAGTGTTTCACTCATCAAAACGGAACAATGCGTTCCCGTCATGAGGACTAATCCAGTCCGGTGCGAAAAGGGCGGCAGCATTACTGTCAAAACTCACAGCGAGTTTGTTCTAACGCTTGAAGATGGCTCGCAAAGTGCGTCAATATCGGGGTATTCCAGAAACTTCTCTAGAGACAGCGGCATGGCTAGCGCGAGTTTCAGGAATTATAAAGCCCAGTTTGCTACAAATATTGTTATAGGTGGATATACAGACCCTGCAGGAGACACCCCTTTTGCCTCGTACATTGCACAGGCAGTCAACGACCCGGACGTTGAGGCCGGACTCGGTGGCAGTTCCACATACGCCGTAACGTGTTCCGTAGATCCAACCGACGTTTTCGAATACAGGATGGTAACACTGGACACACAAGCTATTGGACAGGGCAAAGGAAAAGAATTCAACGTGGCCTACTATGTATCAGGCGGAGAAATCTGTACGCCAGTCTCGCCAAGTACTAGCACCGTCCGGCTCGCAACGGTTCTCACTGCGAGCGATTACTTCCTTAATGAGCGGCAATCTCTTGATGGTTACATGCAGACCCTCCTTGGCCTAGCCGGCACCAATCGCGGGCCACCGTATGCGTTTAACAACAGCAGAAACGCGCTTGAGGACGTCCTGGGGGTCTCAGCGGCGATGGCAGTGTCTCGAATTCCCATGAACGGTAGCGTGAGCGCCGACGCATTCAGGGAGAAAGGGGGGCCGGCACGGGTTACTGTTAAGATCACGCGGCTAGGGAGCGATAACTCGGAGATACTCCTGTTGCTCATACCACCGGTATTAAGCCTCATCCTTCTCTTGTACCAGTTTTCGATGAGCTTTACGCTAAAGCTCCAGCCTGGAGGGGGCAGAACGGGAGAGACGTTGCTTGGCGAACAGCACCCGCAGCAATATGCTGCCGAAAACCTGGAGGAGCTGTTGCGGTTGATAAGCTGGAAGGCGCGTTCAAAGCAGGTAAAGAATTCAGGGCAGTGGACGGACGCATCTCTAGAGGATGTTTCTTTGGAAGAGATGGGAAGCATGATTCCACTCCGGAGACTGGGTTCTGAGATTTAAGTTACTATTAAACAGACATTACGGGTGTTACTGTATCAAAATACCGGGCTTGGAGTCTGTCTTCTTTTGGCTGCCTTCTCGGTTGTCCAGTATTCATTCGACTCAAGGGGGAAAGATGGGACAGATTCTCTCAGCCATGTCAGCTTATGCTAATTTCATGGGCATCCGCCCCCTCGCGGCCCAACAACGTCGCGTTGCAAGGCCATGAGGTGGGCTGCCGTATTGTCCTTTGACAAGTCGAATCACTTTTTACCACGCGAACCTCACTGTAAAAAGGATCGGTCTAAGAAACACATCCATCTCTCTAACTCGTTAGTGAGGAACACCCGTTGGAGTCCCTCACGGCGTGTTTCGATTATGCCCAACCTGAATCTCCCCCGGCATTTCAAACAATGCCGGCCCACCATCCACCTCATAGCGAGCCTGGCTGTCCACCGGCCCGCTATAATACTCCTTCTCGTCCGAGCCCACGGCCTCGTGCGCCCCCGAGAGCCATCCGCGTTCCTCTTCCGCCAGCGTCTCCAGAAGATCCACCCCGCCAACCCGGCAACGGCTAATCCCCCCAACGCCGCGCCGACCGCGATGCCAGCGACAGCTCCAGTCGAGACGCCCTTGTCCGTGGACTCCGCAGCCGAGGACGCGCTCGGGCTTGCACTCGCCGTAGACCCGACCGATACACTGGAAGTCGACGAGGCCGTGGCCGATGTCGAAGACGCGGAGGCGGCTGCGGATTCGGTGATGTTGAAGTAGTGCGATGTGATGTTGCCCACGGTATCGCCCGACTTGAACATCTGGATGAAGTAGACGGGGCTCTTTGTCGCGTCGAAATGCGAGGGAAAGCCGTTGTAGCTGACGGTCCAGAGCATGCCTAGCGACCTTGTTTTTGCTGAGAAAAGGGGGGATTTGCATCAGCGGGGAGTCAAGGTGCGGGCCATGGATTCAACTCACAGACGATGGTGGCGTATGTCGGCTCCGAGCTGTAGTCCGCCTCTTGCCATATAAGCAGATCGATCGACTCAAAGTCCGTCTCCCATTGGAGGTCCAGCTGGCTCCCGAGGGCGTACGAGGGTTATCCCGGAAGTCGCCGGCGGGGCCGGGACCCGGCGGGCGGCGGAAGCGGTTCTCGGCGCGTGCGCCGCGGAGTGTGAGGAGGAGGCATGTCACGAGGGCGCAGAGGAGGCGCATCTTGACGGTACTGCTGGGCGCAGAAATTGCGAGTGGTTCACTTCGGCCGCGGGCGCGGGGTGCGAGATGCGAAAGGGGGAGAAGGAGTGAAAGGAGAGGCGGTGTGGACGGCATCAGAGCGAGGTTTATGTCAGGCTGTAGAAGAGGCAGACGTCTGTTACGTTTCACAACCCAGGTCCTTTTTGCCCAACCAATTTGCTGCCGTGGGATTCTGTTCCTTTCGGGGGGGGGGGGGGGTGGTGATTTTCGCGTTTGCATGGAGACCGGCGCGACAAGTGCATCGGGTCGTTAGCCGCCGAGGCGGGTCGGCGGGTTCCTTGTGCGGCGCAGCCCAATCGCATCGAGGACGGAGGATCGTGTTATATGAGGTCGGCGCAGATTCAGGGATCGGGTGCAGGCTTGGCGAGGACCATCGCGTCTTGGTGTGTGATGTTTGCTGGCCGTAATTGGCACATTTTGCCTCAGCTGCTGCGCGGTCTGTTGGTGGTTAGCTCTGTGGAACAAATGGCGTTTTTGTTGGCTTGGCCCGAGGATAGTATCCCGTCGCTGAGAGGAAACAAAGTCCAGGTGAGGAATGAGACATTTTTCATATTCTATCATGATACATGAACGCTAAAAAAAGACGATTCTAACGGGACCGATGTACGTTTAATCGTCAATCGGCAAAACGGTGCGAACTCCTTCGGTGATTTGGCCTGGTGGACTGTTAGCATTCGTGCCGATTGCAGAGCCTTGGAGTCGTTACTTACGGTCTATGTATTTAATTACTTGGCTGTAGTCTTTGCAAACTACACGGGAAACGTTGATTAGTACACGCTGCGTTGCCGGGGTCTGCGAGACATCTCACCGTGCATGCCGTTCCAGCTGCCGTCGCCGGGGCCGTTGTCGTCGGCGTCTGTGGAGAGATGCGGCTCGAGCGCCAAGTCCGCCGAGCACATGACGGCTTGTCTTAGATAGTCTATGCAGTGGAAGAAGTGGGTGTTGTAGTCGGCGGTGAGCTTATCGACCTTGTTGGTGGTAAGGCCCGAGTAGATCATTCCCATCATGTACTGCGGCCCATTTGTTAGAACCCCGACGCTAAACGGTAGAAAACAGACGAAAACACTCACTATGCAGTGAAGCTGGTGCGTCATGGTGGTGGTGAAGAACGGCCCGTCGGCTTCAGACTTCCATCCCGCGCCGGCTGCAGAAACTTGATTAGCAACGAACGGCCTTTTTTCCCTGTCGAAAAGACGGTTGCGGGACGGGTTGGTTTGTACCGGGTAGTAGAGATCGCCAAGCATCCAGCGTGGTATTGGAGAGAAACTCTGTCGCATTCGGCGGCACATATTTGTAGTCGGCATCAAACTTTTGGATCTTGATCGGAACTGTCACCGATCGTCAGCAAACCCGCACACGGTCTCCGGCCCGAATCAATTTTTTGACGATCCAACTTACACTGCGGCCCGGCGCCACTGAAATCACCGCCAATCTGCCGTACGCTGGCGGGAAACTTTGCGTCTTCGAATTGGTAGTACATGAGCAACGACAGGCCCAGCGACAGCCCAATATTGGTGAGGAGCAGCAGCGTGTCGATGAGCCATCGGTACCTCCGCAGCGTCCCCTTGACGCGTTTCCAGGTATCGCAATTGTTGTTCTGCTTCCCGCTCAGGTCGATCGAGTGCCACTGCTTCTCGTCGCCCATGAGGGACTCGTCGACTTCTGTCGTCGAGTCATCGTACTGGTCATTGTGCGCGACAGTCGAGTAATGCGTATTCTTAGGAGGCGGCATCGTAGAACTCAATAATATAAGGTCCAATAAAGCTCCGAAGCGGAGAGATGCTAGTTGGGAAAATCTGAGGTTTAGAATCGTACACTTCACGATCGCCAAAGTCAAAATGGATGCAGGAGAAAAGCACGATCTGGGACCGTCCTGGTTTTGTTCGCCGGTGAGAGGGTGAAATCGGGTTCGTCTCCTCGACGGCACATACGCACACGCCTCTCGACAAACCCCCACAAGCCAAAGGTGATGGATGGCATCTTCAGACTCGATCGCAAGGGGGACACTTGGACCTGCGACAAGTAGACGGCCGCCTACCGGAAGCGGAAACTGTACATGGGCCATGTGGCGACGATCCCTGTCGCCGTCATCCCTACGCGGCCAAACAGAGTCTCTGATACGTCTTAAGTTGGCGGGTTTCACATCGTCTGTGGTATTGAGCACAGGCGGGGCGCGTTTGAAACGCACGTTGGGATGAGCTACAGAGGCTTTTGCACAACACTCTGCTGTGCGGTGCGGTGCAAAGGACGGGGAAAAGGGGGCTAAGTTCGTTGAAGAACGCCAATTTGAGTCATGGTGCATCCACAAGTCATGATGAATCCAGAGTCGGCATTGCTGGCCGTGAGCATGACGAGATTTGGAGTCGGAGCCGGGAACCATCACCATCACCATCACCATCACCAGAGCCAATGGGTCCCGAGTCCTTCGTTCTCGTCAAGCCTCGTCATGATACCGATACCTGATGGGAGTTCGGCTTCTAGGGGTTCGGGCGGTTTGGGGCCATGGGGTCGAATCTGGAACGCTTTGCACTATGGGGACGAGGCGTCTCAGAGACCATGCCGTAGGCTGATCCGATCCACAAGTCGACAAGCCTTGGCGCCCCTCTTCACCCACCGACCCGGGGATCATTCCGGCGAATTTGGTGGAACTAAGGTCGGCGTGGTTTGAATGCGACCGGCAGTTACTAGATACCTACAGTATGCCTGGCTGAGTGCTCTTAGGATCCTGCAAGACACGAGGTGGACGAATAGACAGGGTGAACCCCTATTATTGGCCTTCAATGTCCACACGAATGGAGCCGTAGCAGCCTGTGGCTTTTCTCGCTGTTGTGTGTCACTGTTAGGCTCCTAAAAGCGGCTAACGGCTTCTCATATCCGTGAGTAACCTTGCCTCGTCATGCACTGACTCACACCAAGCACGAATACAGTGACATGGCACAGGCTGAGGAGGGCATGTGCAGAGAGTTGTTATTGATGGAAAAAGAATCATTTTTATTATTAGGTATTAATCATTAGGCTGGTGTGCTGCCTATTTGCTTTTTCTAATGTGGCCGTAGTATCTTTCAGTCTTGGCCAATTTCCTACGTTTCTTTAAACCCAACCCCCCCCCCCTTTTCCTGGTGGGGAATCGTTGTAATAACCTATGAAACCTGCATTGTGTTGCTTCTAAACCGAGTAGAGGTCGAGGCTGATCTTCAGCAAATTCTGTATCGCATCGGTGACCGCCTTGCCCGGCGCCTGGAGGGTAGGGTCAAGCACCTTGACCAGCGCTTGGTTGAGAGCCAATTGCCTCGTCAGACTCAAGTTCAGGTTGTTGAAAATCCCTCGGAGAAGGTTGGTGGCGCCCACCAGACCAGCCAAGAGACCGTTGGTGGGAACCTGGCCAAGCTGTGACTTTCTGGTGTCGAGTGCCTGCAGGAGCGCACCGTAGCTCTGGACGACCTCGTTGTTAAGCCTCTGGATGAGGAGGGTAGAATCGGCAGGCGAGAGAGTGGTGCCCAACTTCTGAGCCTGGGCCAAGGCGTTGTTGATGGCGGGATACAGAGGACCACCGACGCCAAGGCTGGCGACAATGGAGCCGATCTGAGTGAGCACTGACAAGTCGAGGATGTTGATGTTGGGCGTGATAACCTTGTTGATGTTGTTGTTGATCGTCGTCAACGCTGTGCTGATGCTGCCAAGGCTGCTCAGGAGCGGGGAGAGTGCGGCCGAGGTACCAGTAGGCGAGGGCAGACCCGTCAGGGTCGGGATGCCACCAATGCGTGTTACGGTTCCGGAAATGTAGACATTCGGAAGCGAGTCGGGACCGATGGAAATCTGGGGGATGGTGATCGCGGGAATCGTAGGAACCGCCACAGAGGGGACGCTGAGGGACGGGATGGCGACTGACGGAATCGCCACTGAGGGAACCTTGATTGATGGAAGCGCCACGGAAGGAAGCGTAGGAACCGCTACAGACGGGAGCGAAAGAGATTGAAGGATATTAGAAGGAACCGCTAGCGATGGGATAGAAAGTGAGGGAATCTTGACTGAGGGCACCGCGGGTGCCGTGATTGAGGGAGCTCCGGGCAGAGAGACCGAGGGAATCCTGATTGAAGGAATAACAATTGATTGAAGCGTAGGGATCGCCACAGAGGGGATCGAGAGAGATTGAAGAATGTTGGAAGGAACCGCCAGCGATGGAATAGAAAGCGAGGGAATCTTGACTGAGGGAATAGCAATCGATGGAAGTGTAGGAATCGCTACAGACGGGAGCGAAAGAGATTGAAGGATATTAGAAGGAACCGCTAGCGATGGGATAGAAAGTGAGGGAATCTTGACTGAGGGCACCGCGGGTGCCGTGATTGAGGGAGCTCCGGGCAGAGAGACCGAGGGAATCCTGATTGAAGGAATAGCAATCGATGGAAGCGTAGGAATCGCCACAGAGGGGATCGAGAGAGACTGAAGAATGTTGGAAGGAACCGCCACAGACGGGAGAGCAATAGAAGGGATATTAATTGAAGGAACCGCCAGCGATGGAAGAGAAAGCGATGGGACGTTGATTGAAGGGATTGAAGGAATGGCGATAGACGGGATCGACACTGGAGGAATGCTGATTTCGGGCAGTGCCACGGACGGAACCGAAAGAGTCGGAAGCGCGATTGAAGGGAGTGCCACGGATGGGATCGAGAGCGCCGGGATCGAAAGAGAGGGCAGTGCAATGGACGGGACCGCTACAGATGGGATAGAAAACGCTGGGACCGAGAGAGATGGGATCGCAAGAGATGGGAATCCGTTTGAGGGAACCACTCCAGATGGCACCGAGGGGGCTGGAGTACATTGGATGGGACCGCCAAAGACGGGATCGACAGGGCCGGGAGTGAGAGTGACGGCAGAGTCGGAAGCGCGATGGACGGGATCGCCACAGACGGAATCGAGAGAGCCGGAAGGGCAATAGACGGAGCCGAAAGTGAAGGCAGTGCAATTGAAGGGAGTGCCACGGATGGGATCGACAGAGCCGGGAGTGAGAGTGACGGCAGAGTCGGAAGCGCGATAGACGGGATCGCCACAGACGGGATTGACAGAGCCGGGAGTGAGAGGGACGGGATCGCAAGAGATGGGAATCCATTTGAGGGAAGCGCTCCAGACGGTACCGAGGGGGGCTGGAGTACATTAGAAGGAACCGCCAGAGATGGGATTGAGAAAGGCGGGAGCGAGAGTGACGGGATCGCCAGAGATGGTACTGAGAGAGACGGGAGTGAGAGATCCGGAAGGCCGATAGACGGAGCCGAAAGTGAAGGCAGCGCAATTGAAGGGAGTGCCACGGATGGGATCGACAGAGCCGGGAGTGAGAGTGACGGCAGTGTCGGAAGCGCGATAGACGGGATCGCTACGGACGGAATAGAGAGGGATTGGAGTACATTAGATGGAACTGCCAAAGACGGCAGTGCCACGGATGGGATCGAAAGAGTCGGAAGTGCGATGGACGGGACCGCCACAGACGGAACTGAGAGTGAAGGCAGCGCAATTGAAGGGAGTGCCACGGATGGGATCGAGAGAGCCGGGATCGAAAGAGACGGCAGTGCGATGGACGGGATTGAAAGAGATTGGAGAACGTTAGAAGGAACCGCGAAGGACGGCAGTGCCAAGGACGGGACCGACAGGGCCGGGACCGAGAGTGATGGGATCGCGGGAGTTGGAATTGCGATAGACGGGACCGCCACGGACGGAACCGAAAGAGCCGGAAGGGCAACAGACGGAACCGAGAGCGATGGCAGTGCAACTGAAGGAACTGCCACGGACGGGATCGACAGAGCCGGGAGTGAGAGTGACGGCAGAGTCGGAAGCGCGATAGACGGGATCGCCACAGACGGGATCGACAGAGCCGGGAGTGAGAGGGACGGAATCGCGAGAGATGGGAATCCATTTGAGGGAAGCGCTCCAGACGGTACCGAGGGGGGCTGGAGTACATTGGATGGGACCGCCAAAGACGGGATCGACAGGGCCGGGAGTGAGAGTGACGGCAGAGTCGGAAGCGCGATGGATGGGACCGCCACAGACGGGATCGACAGAGCCGGGAGTGAGAGGGACGGAATCGCAAGAGACGGGATCGAGATGGATTGGAGTATGTTAGAAGGAACGGCGAAGGACGGCAGTGCCACGGAGGGGATTGAAAGAGCCGGGAATGAGAGAGACGGAATCGCAATAGACGGAACTGCGACGGATGGGACCGACAAGGCTGGGAACGAAAGAGATGGGATCGCGAGAGTCGGCAGTGCGATGGACGGGACTGCTACGGACGGAATCGAAAGAGCCGGAAGGGCAACAGACGGAACCGAGAGCGATGGCAGTGCAACTGAAGGAACTGCCACGGACGGGATCGACAGAGCCGGGAGTGAGAGCGACGGGATCGCGAGAGATGGGAATCCATTCGAGGGGAGCGCTTCAGATGGTACCGAGGGGGGTTGAAGTACGTTAGAAGGAACCGCCAGAGACGGGATTGAGAAAGGCGGGAGCGAGAGTGACGGGATCGCCAGAGATGGTACTGAGAGAGACGGGAGTGAGAGATCCGGAAGGCCGATAGATGGGACCGAGATAGATGGAATCGCAACAGATGGAAGTGCCACGGATGGAATTGACAGGGCCGGGAGTGTAACTGATGGGATCGCCACAGATGGGATTGAAAGGGATTGAAGTATGTTGGAGGGAATCGCCAGGGACGGGAGCGAGAGATCCGGGAGCGAAAGAGACGGAAGGGCAACAGACGGGACCGCTACCGATGGGATCGACAGGGCCGGGAGTGTAACCGACGGGATCGCCACAGAGGGGATCGAAAGAGATTGAAGAATGTCAGAGGGAACCGCCAGGGACGGGATCGAGAGTGATGGGACCGAGAGAGACGGCAGTGCGATAGATGGGACCGCCAAAGACGGTATCGATAGGGCCGGCAGCGAGAGTGACGGGACTGAAGGAGTATCGATTGAGGGAACTGCAACCGATGGAACTGCCACTGATGGGATCGAGAGATCCGGGAGTGAGAGAGATGGCAGTGCGATAGACGGGATTGAGAGTGATGGGATCGAGAAAGCCGGCAGCGTGATTGAAGGAACTGCTACGGATGGGATCGACAGGGCCGGGAGCGAGAGTGACGGGACCGAGGGAATTGCAATCGATGGAACTGCTACCGACGGGATTGACACAGATTGGAGTATGTTGGAAGGAACTGCCAAAGACGGGATAGCAATAGAAGGAATTCCAACTGAAGGAACCGCCACGGATGGGATCGAGAGAGTCGGGATCGAAAGAGACGGCAGTGCGATGGACGGGATTGAGAGGGATTGGAGAATGTTAGAAGGAACCGCGAAGGACGGCAGTGTAATAGACGGGATCGCCAAAGATGGAACCGAGAGGGCTGGCAATGTGATCGAAGGAACTGCCACTGACGGGATCGAAAGAGACGGTAGTCCAATAGACGGGATCGCCAGAGGTGGGATCGCGAGAGACGGAAACCCGTTTGACGGACGCGGTCCAGAAGATCCAGAAGGAGCTGCTCCAGATTGTCCCGAGGGAAGTTGAAATATGTTAGAAGGAATCGCCAGGGGTGGAAGTGAGAGGGATGGAAGCGCAATGGACGGAACCGCTACCGATGGGATCGAAAGCGATGGCAGTGCAATTGAAGGAACTGCCACAGAGGGGATCGAGAGAGCCGGAATTGAGAGAGACGGCAGTGCGATCGACGGAACCGAGACAGAGGGCAGTGCTACAGACGGAATCGAGAGGGATTGCAGTATGTTAGAAGGAACTGCGAAAGACGGCAGCGCCACAGATGGAACTGAGAGAGACGGAACCGCAATAGACGGGATCGATAGAGATGGCAGGGCCACAGACGGAATCGAGAGTGACGGGACTCCCACAGAGGGGATCGACAGAGCCGGAAGTGAAATAGACGGGACCGAGACAGAGGGCAGCGCCACAGACGGAATCGACAGTGACGGCAGTGCAACCGATGGGACAGAGAGGGATTGCAGTATGTTAGAAGGAACTGCGAAAGACGGCAGCGCCACAGATGGAACTGAGAGAGACGGAACCGCAATAGACGGGATCGATAGAGATGGCAGGGCCACAGACGGAATCGAGAGTGACGGGACTCCCACAGAGGGGATCGACAGAGCCGGAAGTGAAATAGACGGGACCGAGACAGAGGGCAGCGCCACAGACGGAATCGACAGTGACGGCAGTGCAACCGATGGGACAGAGAGGGATTGGAGTATGTTAGAAGGAACTGCCAGAGACGGGAGTGCCACAGATGGGAGTGAGAGAGACGGCAGCGCAATCGATGGGACCGACAGGGACGGGACCGAGAGAGACGGCACTGCCACAGAGGGGATCGAAAGAGATGGCAGTGCGATGGACGGGATCGACAGGGCTGGGGCCGAGAGAGACGGCGCTGCCACAGAGGGGATCGAGAGTGACGGTAGCGCAATAGACGGGATCGATAGAGCTGGGAGTGCGATGGACGGGGCCGAGAAAGACGGGGCTGCCACAGAGGGGATTGAAAGAGATGGCAGGTCCACGGACGGAATTGAGAGAGACGGCAGCGCAATCGATGGGATAGAAAGGGATTGAAGTATGTTAGAAGGAACCGCAATAGACGGAAGCGCCACGGACGGGACCGAAAGAGATGGCAGCGCCACAGACGGAACCGAGAGAGACGGCAGTCCAATTGATGGCACCGCTAGAGACGGGACTGAGAAAGACGGCACTGCCACGGACGGGATCGAAAGAGATGGCAATGCGATAGATGGGATCGATAGAGCCGGAAGTGCAATAGACGGAACCGAGAGTGACGGGACCGCCACAGAGGGGATTGAAAGAGATGGCAGGGCGATCGATGGGAGTGAGAGCGAGGGAAGTGCAAGAGATGGAACCGCCCCAGAGGGGATCAAAACAGGCGGTGCCGCATCAGAAGGAACTGTCCCAGATGGCACTGAGGGGGGTTGAAGTATGTTAGAAGGAACCGCAAAAGATGGCAGGGCAAGGGACGGAAGGGTAACGGAAGGGATTGAGAGGGAGGGAATTGCAATGGATGGGAGCGAGAGAGAGGGAAGTGCAATAGATGGAGCCGCTACAGAAGGGATCGAGAGAGCTGGGACAGAGAGGGATGGGATTGGGATTGAAGGAAGGCTAAGCGAAGGAATGTTGACCGAGGGGATGGCAATTGAAGGGACTGAGAGAGAGGGAAGCTGGAGGGATTGAAGTATGTTAGAAGGAACCGCCAAAGACGGGATTGCAATTGAAGGAGCAGCCACGGATGGGATCGAAAGAGATGGCAGTGCGATGGACGGAAGCGAGAGAGATGGAATAGCAACAGACGGAGCTGCCACAGACGGGATCGAGAGGGACGGCAGCGCAATTGATGGTACCGAGAGAGACGGGAGTGAGAGAGCCGGAAGGGCAATCGATGGTACTGAGAGGGACGGCAGGGAGAGAGACGGTAGTGAGAGAGTCGGCAGTGCGATTGAAGGAGCTGACACAGATGGTACCGAGAGTGCCGGAAGAGCAATCGAGGGGACCGAAAGGGATGGCAGCGAGAGAGACGGAATAGAGAGCGACGGCAGCGCAATCGATGGTACCGAAAGGGACGGAAGTGCCACAGATGGGACCGAAAGGGATGGCAGCGAGAGAGACGGCAGTGAGAGAGACGGGACCGCAATAGACGGGGCCGAGAGAGACGGCGCTGCCACAGATGGGATCGATAGAGCCGGAAGGGCAATCGATGGTACTGAGAGGGACGGCAGTGAGAGAGACGGCAGTGAGAGAGTCGGCAGTGAGAGAGTCGGCAGTGCGATTGAAGGAGCCGACACAGATGGTACCGAGAGAGCCGGAAGTGCCACAGATGGGACCGAAAGGGATGGCAGCGAGAGAGACGGAATAGAGAGCGACGGCAGCGCAATCGATGGTACCGAAAGGGACGGCAGTGAGAGAGACGGGACCGAAAGGGACGGCAGTGCGATTGAAGGAACCGACACAGATGGTACCGAGAGCGACGGCAGCGCAATTGATGGTACTGAAAGGGACGGCAGTGAGAGAGACGGCAGTGCGATTGAAGGAGCCGACAAAGATGGTACCGAGAGAGCCGGAAGTGCCACAGATGGGACCGAAAGGGACGGCAGTGAGAGAGACGGCAGTGAGAGAGTCGGCAGTGCGATTGAAGGAACCGACACAGATGGTACCGAGAGCGATGGCAGCGCAATCGATGGTACCGATATAGACGGAAGCGATAGAGACGGAAGGGCGTTAGACTGGACTGAGTTTGAGGAGGCAGCCGAAGAGGCCTTCGTAGTAGACGCCGTCGCCCGAGACGGGACAGAGATAGACGGAATCGAGATGGCTGGGAGAGAAATCGAGGGAACCGATAGAGCCGGGATAACGACTGCTGGAAATCCTATTGGCGGGGGTGAAATCGTAATAGGCTGAAACACAACTGACGTGCTGTTGAGAAGCACGATGGGTTGGTTCAGAAGCGGAATTGTCAGCGCAGTGGTTGCCGTCACTGAGGCCAGGGCCACGACAATGCCTTGTGAGCGCATTTTGGGCGGTTGATTGAGGCTGCTGACCAAGGTGTGTGAAACTTAGGCCAGAGTGCTTGATTTGGGATGCAAGCCTTCGAAGTGATGGTCCCGTTACTTCTCCGGTGCTCAAGCAATGCGGATGGTGCTGATAGATTTCCTCTTTCCCAAGGCAAACAGACATGTTAATGATTTTATATCTTTCGGTCTGTTCGCCTCGTCGACGGCCCGGTCCCTAGTTTCTCTATCCGAGACAAATGCAGCGAAGTCTCTGGATGTCTCACATTCGGGAGATCTAGATTGCCGCTAGCCTGTGCGCCTATCTTACCCGACTGTTGGCTCCTCTTAGCGATTTCTTTGAACTTACTATTCAGATTCGGAAGGGTTGCAGAAAGCTGCAAGCAGCTGAGACCAGAGTGCGTTTGCGTCGTCGAACGTCATGGCACTAAACAGCTGAAGGCACTCGACGACGGTCTGGAGCTTTTCTTCCAGCATTCGCCTCATAGGTTTACATTGTGTTTACTCAGCAGCTGGAAAAGCTTCGATGTCTGCTGTTTGCGTGCTGGAGCCGGTTGTCTCGGCCGCCGAATACTTATGGCCGAGAATCCAGACGCTGAGCTTCAACCATCTGGTCATTTTTAGCGCAAGCCACCGGAGCTCGGCAAAGCTATTGCTCTCAAGTTCAAAGCTTGGTTGTCATTAAGCATGTTCTACTCAGATTATTTGACGAAATGGCTATGTATGTGGCTTGGCACGCAATTGACCTGATGTGACGCATCGTCATTTCCGCTGTCCATTACGTGAAGCTCTGAATGTCAAACAGTTTAGTCCTGGCTTTGCGAAGCCCGTGGTTGTTTTCATGCTGTTAGTCTATACACTTGGTGGCAATAGTACTTTACTCTGTGGGCTACAAGGCTCTGCAAGATGCATATTCGAGCCTAAAACTAGGTTGAACAATCATCCCTTGTTTTTCAAACGGTAGATCAGCAGACATAAGCTTCGATATAGTTTATGCAACAGAATGCGCACAAAGAATTGCCACATATGTTATACAGTGAAGATGCAATTGTTTGTCTCAAGCCAACTGATGATCAGCCCTTGGCACGCGTTGATCAAACCCACAGAAATGGTGCAGAAAGTCGGTTCCGGCTTGTGCCGTAGGTATCAACTCTTTTGCTCATGACTGCAAATGCCTTATCACCTATGTCTTAGGCAAGCAGTCTTATGTTGTTCTGAGTCATGAACGCTCTAAAACCAAGCGATAGACAAGGCGGTGGCGATTGGCGAATCTATACTGGCTTCTTCGCGGTGATATGCCGCCTGGGATCGTAATGAAACATCCAACTGTAGTCACAGATGCTTCTTAGTGGGCCATTGAGTTGACTGCTGATTATGAGTGTGTAACGTTTCACCCAAAGCCGCTCCAGAAGGAAAGGGGCCAAGGGGCTTTACAGGAGGCTCACGCTCCAGCTTGAAAAAGGATGGAGATCCGGAATGCGACAATGTGCAGCAAATCCTTGTTGCAAAGACTTGGTTTATAAGTAATAGTATGGATCCGGCAAATGAGTATTCAACAGGGGTTACATGCCACACAATAGTTCAAACAGGATTCAATTGCAATCTTTCCGTGTCCCTGAGCTAGATTCAATCGTCTAGGAGTTATGCTACTATGATAAGCGGCAACGGCCGAGAAAGAAATTGTAAATAATCATGCTACGACTGTGATATAAACGATTCAGAGTCCTCGTAGCCGTTCAAAGCTGTTGAAACATTGGAGAGTCGCCAGGTACACTCTACTTCAGTTATGTATAACTTTAAGGCTGCGATAATGTGCTCAAAATTAGTTGTGTTTTACAACTTGAGCGAGTTAGGTTTGACTTCTAAGAGTGTTGAGAACATGAAGAGAGTGTTCAATGCTCTACAAGGGCGTACAGAGATCATAAAAATCGAAGAGCGAGCATATAATGGATTTTTGATGTCATAGTATCGCTTCTTTTTAATAGTTGTACAAGTAGTGCTGCAGGTAAGATGGTAAGGTTTTGTTGAATAGGTTTTGGCCGCGGTGTGGTAGCTGCAGGGACACCTGTATGACTTTTGTTGAATACGTTATCATCAGTACAGCTTGAGATCAATAGGTAATTCGAATGAACCGATGAAATGATCGAGCAAAACCTTGGTCGAAAGTGACTCAAGACGTTCTCCTAAGAACATTTGCATTTTATTCGCCACTTATCAGATTTATTCTGCATCATGACTAGCAGTGATACAGTATGGGGCCACCATGATCTAAAACGAGGATTGAAAATGTTGCTATTCTCAGGATACTTCAATTCTAGTTTGATGTAACCTCACATACACATATAAATCGGATTGCTCCTACTGCGAACCCAGTGATTGCCCTGCCGTGCCTTAGGACTTGAACATGGAGCTAACACTGGCAACCGAAGACTGAGTAAAGATTGTCGAGAAATATCCAGAATAATCAAGGTCAAAACCTGTCTTCCCAGAAATGAAACGAGGCAATTGTTGATGGTACGGCGTCAGCCGATACCTACCGCGAGGAAACTAGCCAAGTATCGAGCGAGGCTTACTGATGAGGTTGATAATACTGCTTCCGAAAGTCAGGAAACCTTAATTCGGTGCCAAATCTCTCTTGTCATCGGCGATGGAAATGGAAAGTGAGCGGGTAGCCATCAAAACAAAACATGTCTGGCATGGGCAGCGGCCGCGGCAGCTTCCGCACCAACGGCCCCACTGAGAAGATCAGAAATTGAGACAAATCTCTTTGTACTCTTAATAATGTTTTAGATATTGTGACTTTTCTAAACACAAAATCGCCCAACTCAGTTCAATAACAAGCACGGGCATGCAAAACAACGACACTGTTAGTGTGCCGGATTTCGCTGTTATGTGGATGGTTCTCCAGTACAAGTCATCTGCTTCTTTGTTTCTGTTCCCTTGGTTTGATATTCTTCCCTTGCAAGGAAACTTTACATCTATCTTACCATCTCTGAAAAACAGGAAAGGAAATAGAAAACCCTTGCATACAATGACTGAAGTAGCAGTACAATTGTGGCCAAAGAGTTGGGCGAACTAAGTCTGATGAATATTTATGTTTCGAACCGCATAAACCCAATAAAATACATACTTGAGGCCCCCCCGTCGTCCTCATAGACTACGCCAAAATCGAGCGGGTTAGCTACGTAGATTTGGTCGAGAAGCTTGCCAACAAACGCTTAATCCTATTCCTCCTCTCTTCCTAGTTGGTAGTAAGAATGCACGCCGTCCTATTTGGACGAAGCTGCACGAAGACTGAACCTCGCGTAGTACGAAGCACGGACATTCTCTCATCGTGAATTACACGACTGCCCAAAGCTCAATATCCTCATGGCCGTGCACAATAACTCGTGCCGTTGAACAATAAGCTACCTCGCGGACCATGTGATCCGGGACCTCGGGTTTCTTCCTCCTGGTAAAGAGACTTATGTGATTGGCATAGACCAGGACTGGACAGATCAAAGCAAACCCGGCGGCACTGGCGCCCATGCCTGCCAAAACCCAGTTGGTACGGTGGTCACTCGGACCCAGATGCCGGTGTAGGCACCAAAAGCCGAGCATTGAGCCAACACCTAGGATCGTCCACATGCCCCCTTTCCTGTCTGCCTGCCTCGTACTCTCTGGGTTTTGAGTGGTTGTGTTTACCCTACGCCAAGCTGGAGCATTCCTCGCTCCAGGGCTAGCTTGATTGGCTACGTTTGCGCAAGGGATGAAAGCACCCATGCGATTACCCCGACTTTCGGGCCTAGTGTCCGCCCAGCTGTACATGCCCTTTGATGGCTACCTCACATACACTTCGTGCTTTGCAAGCAAACTTCGTCTGCAGCTTTATGCGCGTTGGACCTTGCCAAGAAAGGACCAAGATTCGAGCCCTGCTACCGCCCCGTCCCAAAGATCTCGGCTAACCTTGGCAAACTTCTGGGGTGCATTTCGTTGGTGGCTCGCCTACGGTCACAAGCTCCGAGCCTGCGCCTTTGCCGCATCCAGCTCGGGAGCGAGACTCCCCAATGGCGGCCCTGCGCTTACACTGAAAATAAATTCGGCGCTGCGCCTTACGCCCGATCAGTGTACGCCCCCCGAGGGCCTCCCCGCGCCTGGATTCCTGCGATTTGCTAACCTGGAACGGCGGCCCGGGAAAGATGATCGGTTTGGCACAGACCCGGCCATCGTCCCGCAATGAAGCTTAAAGCGTTTTTTCCAGAGGTGGCTCTGGGCCCTGGCCTGGGGACCTCACGCCTGAGTAATGTTCTTGTCTTAACGCCACCATGGGCGAGTCGACAGCTGTCTCGGCCAGGGGTTGGAGAGAACAGCTTCGCGTTAGAGCCAAATGTCCTCGGTGGCCATCCACGGCCGGCGGCACACAGGCCGGGACCCGCCAGAAACACGGGGAGCGTGACTGTCAGGCAACGCACCCCGCAAATCCGGGGCGCGAATCCGGGGATGCGAATCCCGCAATGTGTTTGGTGAGACCGGATGTGTGACCACAGCCCAGCATGGCATACAGATCCCTACCAAAGGTGTGCACACGCTTCCTTGGCCGTGCTGAATATCACACACCGAAACCCTTGGCCAAACATAATAGTGTTTCCATGTAATTAACTTGGATTGTGGTGCAGACACCAAGTGGGCGAGCCGGTTCTTGGGCGTACAATGAAGCGTCGTTGCAGTCTCTGCTGCCGCCACACCTAATATCTACTTCCAGTGTCGTCCCCAGATGAGGTTTACACCTACCCACCGGAACCCCAACTTTTCATCCCGACCGACAGAGCAAGCATGAGGGTGTGTGGCGCGCCGTGGGTGGTCTGGAGAAATATGCATGGCACAGTGAGGACTGCGTTTGTTCTTGGCGATTGCTGAAACCTCCAGGTGCAGGGCCGGCTACCCGCCATTCCGGGTCCTGGGGATGTTCCTGCGTCCATTTTGGGTTCGGCCTCGAGGTCGACGCGATCCGGAGCCATCTCTGGATGACTTCTACAAGCTTGAAGGGATAATCATAAAATCGACGATTGTTCCGCCTCCCAAAATTGCTTGTTCTCCTATCAGTTTCTAGTTTCCTCATCAGATTGCTCAGCCTTCTTTCGCCTTGACCTCAGGGGAGAACACATCAAGATGGCCACGACCCACAGCGTCCACGACGAGAAGGATATCAGCGTGCACGAGGCGAAGCAACATGCCGTTGTCGCAACCAAGGCCGCAGTTGGTGATGAGGCCTTCCAGCAGGCGATGCTGAAGGAGCCTCCCAAGTGGTTCGGTAACCCCATCATCATCCCCGCCATCATCGTCGCCTTCTGCTGCTCCACCGCCAACGGTTACGATGGCTCGCTCTTCGGAACTCTGCTCTCCAATAAAGACTTCAAGAACTTCTTCGGTGTCGAAAACAAGGGCATCGAGGCCGGTACGTAGACACATCCCAACTCCCCACTACCCCTAGTCAAGTATACTAACTCGATCGCCTCGACCAGGTATCGTGACCGCCATGTACCAGATCGGCAGTGTCGTATCTATTCCCTTCGTCGGTCCCGCCATCGATACCTGGGGCCGTCGCATCGGCATGTTCATCGGTGCCTTCATCATCGTCGTCGGCGTCATCATCCAGATCACCTGCATCAACACCAACAGCGTCAACCAGTTCATGGCCGGACGTTTCTTTCTCGGCTTCGGTGTCCAGATCGCTGCTGCCGCCGGCCCCATCTACGTCGTTGAGGTCGCCCACCCCGCCCACCGCGGCATCTGCGGTGGTCTCTACAACGTCATGTGGCCCGTCGGTGCTCTTGTTGCTAGCAGCGCTGCTCGTGGCAGCCTCGATTACGGTGGACACACGAGCTGGGCGGTTCCTGTCGGTCTCCAGGCTATGTACGTGCCATCTGCCTTTAAAGAAACGGGGTGTTTTCTTGGACTGACACGACTACAGGTTCCCCGGCATCATCTGTCTCGCAGTCCTGTTCCTGCCGGAGTCTCCTCGTTGGTTGTATACCAACAACAAGCGCCAGGAGGCCAAGAACGTGCTGAGCAGACTTCACGCACAGGGCAACGCTGAGAGCGAGTGGGTCAAGCTGCAACTCAACGAGTACGAAGAGTTCCTCGAGCTGGAGGGCTCCGACAAGAAATGGTGGGATTACCGCGCGCTGTTCCGCAACAGGGCCTCCTTCTACCGGCTCACCTGCAACTGCCTTGTCTCGTGCTTTGGCCAGTGGGCGGGTAACGGTATCGTCTCGTACTTCCTCAGCGCTTTTCTTGATACGGCCGGCATCCGGGGCGAAGCGACGCAGATGAACGTCCAGATGGGCATGAACGCGATTCAGATTGTCTTTGCGGCTGCGGGCGCCTCCATCGTCGACGGAGTCGGCCGTCGTCCCATGCTCATCGTCGTCAACATCGTGTGCGGCCTGTGCTGGATCGGCGTCATTGTCCCTGCGTCCATTGCCAACATTGTCGACAAGGACGACAAGGCGGCCCAGGCCGCCATTGACCCGAACGTGTCCCGCGCCATGCTGGCGTGGGTCTACATCTTCCAGATTTGCTACTCCGCTGGTTGGACCCCCATGCAGGCGCTCTACCCTGTTGAGGTCCTTAGTTACGAGATCCGTGCCAAGGGCATGGCTTTCAGTGGCCTCTTTACCAATTTTGGTAGGCGCTCTCTTTTACTCTACGAGTGATATTTCTCCGGGTTTGCTAACCACGTATTTCCAGCCCTTCTCTCTAACCAGCTTGGTGTTCCCGTCGCTCTGAAGGACATTCAATGGAGAACCTATATTGTCTTCTGCGTTTGGTGCTTTATTCAGGCGGGTATCCTTTACTTCCTGGTTCCCGAGACCAAGAACCGCACCGTAAGTGGAATCCCTCTCATTTCGTCCACAAGTCAATCCCCGCGTCTCTGTGGGTAAGAGAAACTGAGGAACGTTTTCGCTGATCCACACCCGTGTTGTAGCTTGAGGAGCTCGATATCATCTTCGCCGCCCCCAACCCCGTCAAAGCTTCCACGGCCAAGAAACTCTACGAAGTTGACGCGGACGCCAACATCCTCCACGTCGACGAGGCCGCGCCCAGAGTCAGCGCAATTTAAGACGTTTTACGTCGAGACCATCGCGCTCGGTCCTTCTTTCGCCTATGCAGCGTTGTGTGTTGTCAGTTTCCGACATTCGTTTGAGTTCCGGGCCCAAGGAGCCCCAGCAAAATTTTTAATATCTCTCAGGAGGACCGTCGTTCTTTGTCCCTTGCAGTTTTATCCTCTGTTCGGATGTGGGCCACTGAAGGCGGCCCAGTTTGGAATACGGAGAGTAGCCAGGAGTGAGGGAACAAGCCTGGTTAATAATAATTAACATCCATTATGATTGCACCAAATGCGTGATCACTGTGATGCTGATTCAAACCTTGCCGGTAACGGTAGCTTCTACTATCTGTGGTGAAGTTTTGCTGTCAAAGTCCAACATGGCCCGTCAGTAATTTCAATCAACGACATGTTTTGTTTTGGAAATCTCCTTCAGGCCCGTTATCTGGGTGAAGATCCGTAGTTGCACTTTGAAGTCTTGATCTGACAACGGATGCTTTGGCCTCCGGATTTTGTTGTTGAGCAGATAGCGATCCAGAGCAAAACAATTACACGAAGTTGGAGGTTCATTCTTTTTGACTTTTGTTCTAGTTGTTTTTTTTGATCATTTTCTTTAGGGAACCTTCTGCTAGCATTGAGTTTGGTTATAAGGCAGACCGTTTTTTCCCACCGAATACCTCGACAGACACCTATTAGCACCAGCTGCTTGTAAAAGGTTCATCTGTAATTTGGGAGCAAGGTTAAGCATCATAGTACGGCATCGAAGAACATCACGGATGAATTATCTGATGCTGATTCAACCTCACGCCATCCCTGACTTCGAAAGAACATGTTTAGTATACAATTACTCTTGACCCGGGGCTCTTAGCATTTTGGTCGTTTTTTCCCATTTCATTTCATTTACATGTCATCCATTACCTGGACACACCAAAAGATTAAAAGGCATCTTAGCGAGAGCATTTCTAAAGAAAGTCCTGACGACATTACCTCCGCCCGGCCAGAGGGTCTAGGAATCACAACCTCAGCACCAACAGAAACCGAAATGCACCCACGCAGCCCTGCCCAACCCATTCCCTTCTGGACGTCCGTAAAATTTCAAAAGCGGTACCGAGACGCGCCAAGCCCTCGACGCAACGCCGCCTTGGCACGCCGAATGCGGCAGCTGGCCCAACGCGCCGGGATCGTGAGCGATGCGGCGCAGAACCAACCGTCGTCTTTGTGCGCGCCGAGTTCGGCAACCCGACGGAAGGACCCTGCATACGACTCCCGCGTGGGACCCTGAAAATCCCGCGCTGCGCCGCCTGCCCGCCTCATCGGGACTCCAACTGGTGATCGGGGGTCTGTAGCCGCAGCGCTGCGAACGGACGACGAGACTTCCCTGGGCGAGACATGCGCTGGGAAAGGCAAGGCTCGGACCCGGCCACCCCGGAGGAGCGCTCTATACCGTTTCGCTTCGTGTGACTCTGCTATTGCGGATGAAGGGCCTCGGGACGATTATGTGAGGGGTGCAGATTGGGCTTGTGTTGGGACGACTTTGGGTCAACTCCCGCAAAGCGGACGGCTACAGGATAGGAACGGGTTCGGAATCTTGATTCAACCCGACGAAGTATACTTGCACTGTTTTAGGGAATCTTCTTTGAGCAATCCATCCTATGAATCTGCCAAGCCACGGGGCATGCCATGATGCCTCTACTCTCTCATCCAGCGGTCGTGGTGTATTCAGGGATGAACACACGACGCGTGAGGCGAAGAACGAGAATCGAGACGCACTCGTAATTCCTTGTTTGCTCTTGGAGTTGGCCTTTGGCTTGGCCAAATCCTGATGCTTGGACTTTCTCGAATGCATGACTGGCACGAGAATGTAAACCCCCGTCATTGAATTAAAGAGTTCACTACTTGGCTTACCCGAAGGCTCTTAATTGTATTGCAAGCTCGTCTCGGGTCTGACCATAATGAAGCCCGCAGTGCGATTATCATTAGTGTAGACCTGATTCTTGTGAGGTTTTGATTTCAGGTTGTCGCCGTCGAAATGCCTGCACGCAATTCGCTTGAACTATACAGACCAGGGAGTATCAATCTTACTTTCGACCGGGACACCTGCCTAAGTCATTCCCTTTGTAACCCTCTGGAAGTTTGCTCGATGAACGCCGAGTTGGGTTGGTCACAGAAAAGCCCTCTCAGGCTTGAATACCGAGACCAGGACTGCGGAAGCACTCTGGACCGAGCCCGCAACGTTGAGCTTCGCGAATGTCAACCAAGTCCGAAAAGTGCAACGCCGCCCGCCTAAGCCCTTGTGCTGAATCAAAAGGCGCAGCACGGTGCACGATACGTAGCAGGCTTGGTTGAACCGGTTGCGATTTTCACTGGGGACGACATGTCCGACAAGCTCGTGATACTATGTATTGTGGCAATCGACCCTTTTCAACCAGTTTACGGAGACGCCAACGGGGCTGAGTAACCACGGCTGGGTCAAGAGCCCACCAAAAGTGGCAGAGCCGACTGTAGCTTATTCACCTTAGACTTAACAGAAGCAATAGTGTATGTGGAATGGTGAGTGGAAATATGTGGGCAGTGTCGATGATTAGGCTTTTTATTTTGTTGGATTTTTTTGGAGAGCCGATCTATTTATGGGTAGTCAGCTGGGCTGGAAGACAAGGCCATCCACCGAGAGCTGCATGTTCGGATCGCCTTAACTGAGGGAGTTGTCTGACTCGCCAATACGAAAGAAAGCATCATTAGGGAAGGGCTGTCGGAGAAGGATTAGCTGCCGCCGACACAAATGCGGCGCGAGCGATGGATGGTGTCAAAAAAGGGCGACATTCATTGACAAGGCGGGGCAAAGCTGGAGTCGCATGCGGCCCGAAGGCGAAGTGTGGTGATGACAGGAGCGGACGACAGACGTGTGGCGTCGGAGCTGAAGCGTCAGTCAGCGATGGTCGTGGGCTGTGGCTGCCTTTAGACTCTGGCGGGAGATTGCGCAGGGCTGTAGATTACTGGCGTAGCACCCATCGCTGGAAAAGGACAGTTGAGCGCCGTTGAAGGGTGTAGGTGGTGGTGGTTGATGGCAAAGCAGGCTCTCAAGAGCAGAGGGGAGGCTGAGAGGTCCGGAAGAGAGGATCCTGTTTTAGGCTGGTTCAAGCAATCTGGTGATGTCATGCGCCGACATGGGTCGACGCTGCAGGGCAAGGCGGAAGGCTCCTCAGCGTGCCTCACGTTTGGTGGTTTTGGTGAGGGGCGTTCGCAGGCGGGACGGCGGTATGAGACGACAGGACGGCGAGACGAAGGGGGGATGCTCCCTGGCGGATTCGAGACGAAAGGGGCCCTGATGTTTCTTATTTGCGAGGCGTCGGCTACTGAGCCGAGCGCGGTTTATGGGAAAGGGGCAGCGGATGAAGGGGCATCAGATGGCATTTTTTGAAGGGCGCCGATCGCAGGCCGTCGACGTCAATGTCATTTGGGAGGGAAAAAAAGTCAATGGCGGCAGATGGCGGTTTTGGGGTGGCTGCATGGTAAATTGATGGAAATTTCGCGGATGGGCGGCACCATGGAATGATAGACAGTCGCACGCTTGTTTCTGTCTGGCTCGTTAGGCCTGACGATCTCCGTCACTGGCCGCATGGTTTCAATTCCCCGAGTCGATAGCACGGATGGAAAACTAGGAGGCTGTCATGGCCCTGCCTGGCCAACGGGGCGAACGCCGGAGCGGTGTCGACGCCGGTAATGATTTTCAACGTCTGTTCGCCGAATCGTCACTCGGTGCGCGACCAGCAGCTACAGCAGCACCAGCAGCACCATCATTACTGGCCACAAACGTCGGCGACGGGCAAAAGGAGGTTGGGTGACAGCGAAAACGATAGCGACAGGGCGATGAGTGATGACGGAGCAATGGGATTCGAGATGTGTCGACATTCCCAGGCTGGCTGTGGGTGCGGGATCGTCAGGGGACGGGGCCAGCAAGGGGGGGAAGAGACAATGGCAGCGAATGACAAAAGGCGCACCGCAACTGGAGCTGGGGGACGAGGTCTGAAAATGGCTGGTTTCGTGCGAATTGCGGCGCAGTTACACTTAAAAAGAAGAGGCCCGGGAGGGGCAGGCGCTTCCGTCGCTCAGCCAACCACGGCCGGCCCAGGGGACCCACCAGAAAAACACACGGGCAACGGGGGCAGGCGCCATCGGTCACAGGGCCGGCCCAGCAAGACGTCCAGGGGAGGCGGGGGCGACAAAAGGTAATGGAACATTGCAACCACGACAGGGTAGTCAGCCCACCAAAGAAACAATGAGCCGGGAACCATTGCCTGCCACACTCACTCACTCACTCACTCACTCACTCGGCCAAAGTCTCACTCACGATGGGTCGTCTCACAGAGACGGGGTCTCGCGTCTCGACGAATTCCCAACGTGGAGTGCGGTCCACAAGGGAGAAGGCGTTGGAAATGCATGCAAACACGGACAAACACCGGACGAGAAACAATGCATAGTAGTGTACAACAATGTGCCCCCCCCCAGAGAAGGTCGAAAGCCTTCTTTTCGGGGATCTACCCAATTGTCTCTGCACAGCCGCTTCCTCCAACGCACACAGTGTCTTGCTCGCTCACCCACCCGTTCACCGAATGACACCTCACTGACCTTCAACGGTTCGGTGGAAGTCGGTCGCCAGCTATCTTGGCATGCGAGCGAAAGAAAGCGACTGACGTCTGCAGAAGGATGAATCCTGCTTGGCATGGGGCCTTGCCCCATCATCCTTCCTGCCTTGCTTTTTACCCTTGGAGGTTATGCTTCTCCCTCCCCGGTCGCCATTCTCCGTGCCTCTTTTTTCCTCCGAAAGTTCCTCCCCTGCGGTCCCCAACTGCAGGTCCACCACGACTCGCTCTTTCTCTCTCTCTCTCTGTCGGTTAGTGTATTTTTAAAGGTCGAGAAGAAGCGTTGGCCCACTCCGAAGGACGGCACTCGGCAGACCAGCACAGGGCAGGAACGGCGGGACCAGGGCACCCATGGCATGTGGTCAGCCAAGGAAGGCACGCACGGCAAGGTACCTCCTCCCCCAGATTCCCGTGTGGAGGTACAAGGCTGGACTGTTGTCGTTCCAGGATACCGGTGTCGTGGTCATTGTTGTCTGGTGGTCACTGCGGCACCCGCCTTCTTTCCTTCGTATTTGGAGGGCGGCAGTGGCAACGGAGAACGGGGTGAGAGTGGAATTGGGAAGCCAAAGATTGGCCGATGGTGCTTCGCGCCTCATGCCATTGGGCGTTTCCCCGGCAGTACGGATACCACTCAGCGGTAGTGGAACACGCTACGTACACGTTAGTGCTGGTGGCTTCTGTTGACATTTTTTTGGCCACGGAACAGACAAAGCAGAACCGGATGGGAAAAGAAAGAGGCGGCAACCCCCGTCCGCACCTGCGCTGCTCCTCCGCCATGTGCCTGAACGGGCAGTAACCGACCGCAACTGCAACCGCACCTGCCACCGAGAGGAAGGGTGGAAGGGATGGGATGGGATGGGAAACAACGGTCTCCCTTCCTGCTTTCCTGCTTTCCCGCCCACATTATGCTTGCTTGCCTTGCCGTCCAGTGCTTGCCTCCGTGTCCCCGGGTCCCTCCAATTTGTCTCATACACGCCCGTACTTCGCCTCTCTGCTAGCGCCGCTGTTCCTGATTCTCGGTGCCCTCCTCGGCGGCTCTCCTGCTTGCTGCTTCCAAATCCGCATCTGGCTGCTTTCGCTGCGTGTCCCCTCTCTGCCGCATCGTGTCCGGAGGTTGCATTTGCCTTTGCGACTCGTGTCCCCGTTCTGTCCGCCGCATCTGTTGGTTCCAACTCTACTCCCGTCTGCGATCGACCGACGAACCCGAGCAGCAACCAAGCAGCAAGCAGCCCAAGAACCAGTACAGCCCCCTAGCAGCATATCCAAGAAACGGTCGCTTTTCATCGACCCCAAAGGCCAAGCCAACCCCCATAGAACCAAGATCCAAGCCACCCTCCAACGTCCAACCTTACCTCACCACATCACACCACCACACCTCCCAATTCCAATTCCCTCTTCTCTTGTTTTCGAGGATTCCTCGCTTTTCGATTTCTTGTCTCCACGAGGTCCCTTTCCCCAAACTGACCTGCCCCGACTTCCCTCTCAAGCCCTCTCTCACAGCAGAACCCCACAGGGCACTTGATCAAACGACGATCACTGGGCTCCCACTCCGTACCCCGCGGGCGAACACTACCCAAGGTCTCGCCTCGACGCCAATAGAAAAGGGTCGGAATACGAGCGAGCGCAACAAACCAGACGAGGGAGCCGCACGGGAGATCAAAATACGAACTTGGGGACCAGGCGCTGCTGCGGGCGAAACACCCCAAAATACTCAGTCCGCCTATTTCGCGCCTAGGCTCACTTGGTGGCTTGCGCCCGTCTTGCTCACCACCACCTCCATACCTGGCTGAACCGGCTTCGTACGACTTTCTCCCTCTCCTCTCTGGCCTCCGAACCGCTTTCGCAACGCTTCATTGCAATAGGGGCTCCAAGACAGCATCTTGCTGCGCCCGAAAGAGTGCGTCACCTTCACATTGGCGACTGCTGCACGCCCACTCGCCTCGGCTGCACGTCGTTCATTCACCTACACGAGCAGACACATACGATCTCGCGACCTGGCGCTCCACCGCAGTCAGACTCCCCGAGACTCGTACTAGTCGGAAGCACCTAGCTTTTGTCGTCTGCCTGTCGCCCTTGTACTTGAAGTTACTGGGCGACCTGCTGTGCACGGAGGTCAGTGAATTTGTTTTTTTGCCTTTGCTTCCGCACCTTTCCTCTGTTCCATCTGATCTCCCACTCGTTGCATGCCTGCAGTCGCTGGAATGTCCGAATGGATATGAACACAAAGCGTCTGCATGTTAGAACAACGCGCTCACAATTAAACAGCCGTCGCTCCGAGACATCTGATATTGAATCCGCATTCCTTTTCTCGACGCTCGCAATAGCCGCCCATCATCCCGGTTCGACTTTGGTCTCTTCAACGTTTCTCGTCTTCTTCACGATCTTCGCTCACCCTCAGCCGGAGAAGGCCTTGTTGGCTGTCGGTCAGTCAACTATTCAACCCACGAGGGTTGCGAAACGTTCACTTTGATCCCACCTACTACCCGAAACATGCCTCGATACGACTTCGACGACGGCAACGCCGAGCGTGAGCCTCTGGACCATTCTTATCGGTCGCATACACCCAACCCTCCTGAACATTATCAGGACCATCAGTACCATAATGGCTCGCCTCAAGCCTACTACCCCGAACAGGACGTGCGATTGCAACCGTATCCCGATGACCCAAACTTCAGTCGCATGAGAGCCGAGCGGAGGAACAACCGCCAGGGCCCACCACCAGCTGCTGTGGGAGCTGTCGGAGGTGCTGCTGCTGCTGGCTACGGCGCTCACCAGGCTGTTTCACCCATTGAACCCAGTCCGCAGGTCCCGCCTCACCGTGAATGGGGTTCCGACCCCTACGCTCCGCAACAGAGCAATCTCAATCCCAACATCACCCCCGGCGCAGACAACTTCAGTGACACGGCATCGGGAGGCATGGCCGGCATCGCCTATACGGTCGCTGAGCGCAACGCGAGAGAGAGCGGGGTCGAGGCTATGAGAAACGTCGGCCAGGTGCCACCTCAAGCACGAGGACAGTTGCCGCAGCCCAACGCTCCGCCACAGGCGTACAGCCAACCACGGGGGGACGCCTATGAAATGACCGACGCTCCGCGCCCATACCAAAACAGTCTCCCGGACCGCGACTCTCACTCGAGTTTGACCGCCCTCGGAGGTGCGGCCGCGTCTCCGGCCAGGCTATCGCCGGCCCCAAGCCCCTACGGCTACAACGACTATTACAACGATAACCCGTACTACCAGAGACACCCCGGCCACCTCGGTGTTGTAGACCCCAACTCCATTGCAGACGACGGCGATGACGGTTTGGAATATGGGAAGAGCAGGAGCGGGCGAAACTCGATGCTCAGCCTCTCCAACAGCGATCGTACAGGTAGAAGCAAGGCTGGCGCAGCGGCGGCAGGAGGTGCCGCTGCCGGCCTCATGGCAAACCGAGATGTCAGTGGATACTACGACCCTAAAGACCCAAACACGGGCTACCAAAACGGTAGTGCCATCGATCTTGGAGGCCAAGAAAAGTCTGAATGGATCAGAAGCCAAAACAAGGGACGAAGGAAGTGGAAGATCTGCATCATTATTGGCGTCGTCCTCATCATTGCTGGTGCCATCGTTGGTGGTACTGTGGGTGGCTTAGTTACGAGGAATAGCCGTGACGGCAGCTCAAGCCAACAAGGTCAATCAGCGAACGACGACAAGAACTCAAACGGCGACCTGGACATCAACAGCTCAGAGATCAAGGCACTCATGAACAACAAGGAACTTCACAAGGTGTTTCCCGGAATGGACTACACGCCTCTCAACACTCAGTATCCCGATTGCCTTCACGACCCGCCGTCGCAGAACAACGTCACGCGCGATGTCGCGGTGCTCAGCCAGCTCACCAATACGATTCGTCTGTACGGAACGGACTGCAACCAGACTCAGATGCTTATCCACTCAATTAAGCAACTGAAAATGGAGGACACGGTTAAGATCTGGATGGGTGTTTGGCAGGACGGTAATAAGACGACAAACGCGCGACAACTTGAGCAGATGTGGGACATTCTCGACGAGTATGGCGACAAGTATTTTGAGGGCGTCATCGTTGCCAACGAGATCTTGTTTCGAGAGGAGATGACTGAGGCAGCACTGGGGACCCTACTTGCTGAGGTGCGGACGAATTTGACCAGTAAGGGGATGAGCTTGCCGGTCGCCACATCTGATCTCGGCGACGATTGGACGCCTTCGCTCGCAGCGAAGAGCGACTACATCATGGCCAACATCCACCCCTTCTTCTCCGGAACCAACGCCAAGGACGCGGCCATGTGGACGTATGCTTTCTGGGAGAATCAAGCCGGCAGCTTCTTCAAGACCGACAAGAAGAAGAACATCATTGCCGAGGTCGGCTGGCCTACCAAGGGCGGCACGAATTGCGGTACCACCGCGGTCACCGACTGTCCCAACGCCTCGGTTGCTGGTATCGACGAGCTAAACACCTTACTAGAAGGGTGGGTGTGCCCCGCCCTGGCCAACGGCACAAATTACTTCTGGTTCTCGGCCTTCGACGAGCCATGGAAGATCAAGTTCAACGAGAAGGGCAAAGAATGGGAGGATCAGTGGGGCCTGATGGACGTTGACCGCAATGTCAAGTCCGGCGTCAAAATTCCGGACTGTGGTGGCAAGACCATCTAAAGCAGCGACGTCGTGTTGATGAATTGTTTTCCTTTCTTACGGATGGACGAGGGATGACGGCAGACCGGCCTCTCGTCTGCTGCTTGGCAACTTTGGCCACTTGCAGCAGTGTACATGACGGAGTAATCTTGGAGTTGAGGACTCAAAGCATGCCTGGTCTGATTGCCGCCGGCATCATGTTTATGATGTTTGATACCGTATATAACGTCGGTAATGGCTCAGGCGGGTGATTCCACAGTGTCGTTAGTATTTGACCGAACAAGATCAATAGAATAGTTACCTGACACCTAGATCCGGCACGGAGATGTGCATTTGGGACCGTTGAGACTTGTGGCGCGCTGCCAATTCTGCATGAAGTAAAAAGCATCGGTTCTGCCAAAAGAATCTGTGCAACCCCGTCCGATGCATGTGGTGCAGGTGGCTGGACGCTCGGCGTGCGTAATGCGTGTGGGGACACGGACGATGCGGGCCGGGGCGGGGAGGAGCCAACGACATTGGCCCTTCCGACGTCTCCGGACGCTTCACTTCTCGCAACTACATTCCATCTTGACCAGCAGCCAAAAACACGCTCCTTTTCCACGGAACTGCCACTACAAGAACCGAGTGTTTGGATGCACGGACGGGACGATTGAACTCTCCACTCCAGAACACCGCTTGCTCTCTCGTCCACGCCACGCGGGAACAGTTACGGGAGATGAGACTCGCGCCGACCCAGGTCGTCGCTACCGCATTCATCTTTTCCCTCGGCACATTCGTTGCCGGAAACAGGGCGGCTATGGCAGAAGGCAAGCGGAACATCACGAGGCCCGATCCGGCGATCCCGTTGGCGCCGGTGCCACTTCCGCCGCCTGGCCCCGCGCGTGACGGGGAGGAGATTGTGAGGCAGCTGATGGGGCTTACGCGGTCTGGCATCAGCGGCGGCGGAGGACCGGGGAGCGGGAGTTGGTTGAGGTTTGTCAAGAGGGTTGAGTTGAAGGGGGATTTGTGGGAGCCCGAGGGGATTGTGAGGTTGGCGGGGGGGTCGGGCGGTGCGGGCGATGAGGAGGAGAGGTTCTGGGTGTCGGCGGGGGAGTATACCGTCCCTACGGAGAAGTTTCCCGGCGGGAAGTGGGTTGACGGGACGGACCGGAGTGCCGGGGCGGGGTTTGCGCATCTTGTGGTGTTTGATGGGACGGGGAGGCGGCTTGGGGATTGGGTTGTTTCGAAGGAGGGGGACCTGGAGGCGAGTTTTTATCCCGGTCTTTGCGGCTCACCGCACCTGTTTTGATGCAGGATCTGTTCGAGGACAAAATGGGAAGCTGACGAGTTCCTAGTACCATAACGGCGGGCTCGATTACGATGGCCGGCACATCTGGGCCACGCTCTCGCAGTACAGGCCGAACACGACGGGGACGGTGGTCAGGATCGACCCCGTCGAGCTGACGGTGGAGAAGGTATTCCGCGTGAGCGACCACCAGGGCGGCATCGTGCATGATGTTGAGACGGGGACGTTGACGACGCTGAATTGGGGCGGGAGGATGGCGAGGCGGTGGATTTTAGGCAAGGGGGCAGGGCCTGAAGTTCGTGCGAGGGGAAACGAGCAGGTTCGACTTGGCGGCGCTACGGAGGGCGGTGATGCCGGGAGCGAGGCGTTCGATGCGCCCGAGAAGGAGATTGTCAACCCGTCCTACTGGATCGATTACCAGGACTGCAAGTCGCTAGGCCGCGTCGATGGGCGGTCGCTGATGCTGTGTTCCGGGATCGCGACTTTAGCGGCCGGAGTCGAGGTTGGCGGACTGGCGATTGTGGATGCGGAGGGGATGGTGCCTATCTGGGAGGTACCGTTTATGGAGAGAACGGGGGCGAGGAGCGGCGAACGCGGGGAGGGAGGAAGCGGGGTGTTGATGACGAAGAACCCCATGGACGTTGCGCTTGTCGGGGGCCGGGTGAGGTTGTACTTTGCGCCGGAGGAGGGGAGGAGCGCGGTCTTTGTCTATGAGGTTTGTGAGGGGTGAGGTTGTGGGATGATGGGCGTTATGACCATTGGTTGCCTGCTGTCTTGTGATGCAGTGACCTTTCATATTGGGTATCTCACCGCTTGAGGTCTATGACTATTTCCTATGTATCAATGAGGAAGTTGGAAGTCCCATGAGCTGACTACATCACACTAAGCTCATACTCGTGCAGCACGGCCTTGACCATGACGCAGATCGCCTCTTGCGCGAACCACAGCCCGGGGCACAGGCGGGGGCCCGTCAATCCCCAGCTGATGAACCTCACGCTCCCGATTCCCGGGTCTGCGCGCAAGAAGCGGTCCGCTCGGAGGATAGCGGCGCCAGGTCCATGGCTCCAGGGTTGGCGGTGGGCCCGGAAGGACGACAATGTCACGACCTGGCCGGGGAGGTGGACTTTCGGGTCCGAGCGGAGAGGAATCGGGCTTAACGCGCATATGAGATGTGTGTGCGGGGCCGGTCACAGGGCCGCAGAGGCGGTTGAACTCGAGCATGTTGCTGCGGAGGGTGGACCAGGGGGTGTCGAGGCCCGGATTGGGGCCCAAGACATGGAGGTTAGAGACGGTTGCGGTTGTGAGGGATCCGGCGATGTTTTGGGAGAGGGAAAGACAGCTGATGATGTCTAGGAGGGTGGATATTACTGTGCTCTGGAGGTTGCGGAAGCCGAACCAGACTGTGAGCGCGGTGAGGTGTGTCGGATGTCGGTAACGGGGTTTTGTTGCGTGTTCAAAGCAGAGCTATCGTCCGTGGAGGCATAGAAGGATTGGAGCATTTCGAGGAGTCACGGGCCCGAGGTGCAGTCTGCGAAGGTCATGCGGATCGGGATTTGCACTTTGGGGCCCAATCGTGGTTGACTTAATTTGGTCCGCGAGGGAGTATAATTTGGGGTTCACCTTGTGCGCAGTGCGCGCGGAAGTAGCTGTGGAAGCCTGTGAATCTCGTAAGCCAGGGCAGAAATGGCTTGCTTAGGGTGAGGCGAGAAAACAGGGTGAATGATGGCAAAGTACGTCAACTGACAAGAAATCCTTATTGTTACTATTTTGGTCTATGTCTCTAGGAAATTTCCCTCGTTTGCTGGCTGGCCTTTTGCTAAGTTCCAAACGCACGTGCCATCGGATTTCGCCTACTTGGATGGCGAAATTTGTCCCAGGTACGGAGTATGTATTCGACATTAGCCCAGAGAGCTGTGCTGTATTTCTCAAACGAAGTTATTAGTAGTTAACGAATGAAGCGGCAGTATGACGGAGAAGAACGGAGATGATAATACCCGTGTTGCCGAGGGAGTTAGTGTGAGACGGAACCCCGCTACTTCGGGTAACTCGGGATGAAGAGGGTGTCCGGCCAGTTTGGTTTCATTTCGAGGCTTTCACGCGATCCGCGGCATCCGAATCCCGAGAGATGTAAGTGGCAAATGACTGAACACCTGAGCATCTCGTTCTCAGGTTTTACAGATCCTGCAGCAACAGTTACCAAATGATTTCCGGTCTTTCGCTTCCGCCCCCCCTCTTATGAACTCAATACCCTGTATAGTCTTTCAGTGCACTATCTGAATTAAGGCAGTATGGTTGATGGCGATCGTGCGTCTCCACAACCCGGCGGTAGGAACACGACCGCCAGAATGGGTTCATGCGATATGTGCAAAAGGTGAGCCATCGACGAATTTTCTTCGCACTGCGTTGACACCGATTGACATGTGGCAATAACAGACGAAAGACAAAATGTGTGTAATCTCATGCTCCATATTAGCTTTCATGACAGCAAACTGAATCTTCGATTGCTAGGCGACACGGGAAAGCCTGTATGTGCCGCTTGCATCGGTCATGGCTGGGAGTGTTCTTACTCCCGTCCCCGGAGAAAACCTGGGCCCCGTCAAGGGTCGAGACAAGCTAAGACCCTTGAGGTTCAGCGCCGTTTAGGTACAATATTCGTTGGCTTCACACGAGGTCCAAGTTCGCGATTTGATGCTTACCGGCTACAGACCTAATTGAAGGGCTTCTAGCCCCCAAGACAGCTGTCGAAGGCGCTCTATCGAATGGTTCTACAAGTGATGGTCGACAAGATACACTATCTGAGACTGAGGATAGGGCCACTTCTGAATATTTTCCCGGCCTGTCTGTTGCAGAGGGCGGGTTAATTACTGACACTGCTGAATGTCAGCCGGTTTCGAATGCCCTCAGATGGACTGAAAATTTTAGCAAGAGGTGTCTGGAGACGGAATCCGACCAAAGCCACACTCCTGCTCTACCTCACCTCACCTCCACCTCACTCGAAATATCGACTACTCCGGCCATGGAGTCTCACCTGTGAGTACATTTCTTGGCTACGTGCCTGCTTTGAAAACCAGCTCATCAAATCTCACTAGTCTCTCACTTTACTTTACTCATGTAACGTTGCCGGTTCCAGCACTCTGCAAAGAGATATTGTACTCCGATTACAACGCCGGGCAATTGCCGAGGTTCCTTCTCTACGCTTTATTCTCTCTCTCTGCCCGTTTCACGCAGTCGCCTGAGATACTTGGCCTTGCCAACGGTAGCCGTTTGCTTCTAGGACGATACTTTGCAACTAAAGCTAGGTTGGAGCTTGATCTTGTCACCGGGGACAATCACATAGCCTCCATAGCCGAGGTCAAAGCAGCCTATCTCCTGGCATATCACGACTTCACCCATCTTCCTTCACGGACAGCTGCCGATCAGTGTTCCAAAGCAGTAAGAGCGGCGTACATGTGCCGCCTGCATCAGCTGGACAACGCAAAGGCGACAGTACACGTACACACTCAAGCTGACGAACTTGAGAAAGAAGAGCATCGGTGCTTGTGGTGGGGAATATTCACCTTGGACACATTTTCAAGCTTGATATCAAATGTGCCCTCCAACATTGAGCAGTTGAGCATAGCTACCTGTCTACCCATTACGGTCATCACACATACCACCAGAATGATCTCACCAACGCACAAGAGAGTTTCCTTAGAAGATAATTTGGAGGCAATTTGGAGCTCACTACAGGACAGCACCTCACCCGAGTCGAAGATACAGGCTGTTCTTATTTATGTGATAGCCCTGGCGCGGGACATGATCGCTGTTCGACGATTGTGTGATGAGAATCCTCGGTGCAATCTAGATTCGGTTCTAGTTCGGATTCGGCAGAAGTGGGCATCACTTTTTGCAGCCCTACCTTCCTGGTTCTTCTCTCCTTGCATTCATGAGAATGAAAGAGCTGGAGAAGAGCATTGCAAGCGCTTGGAGGTCTTGAATATGATTAACATGTGGGTTCCCAATCCGGAGTGGTTTTCGATTTCACCATTCTCGTTATTCGTGGGAGTTCCCACAACTAAAAACTCGCTAATACAACAGTGCACAGACTTGGGGCCATGTCCTATTTTCCTCCCCTGAATATTGAACTTGGCGGAAACGCTGAGGGTTTTCATAACCGCGACTCTCAGCAAGTCAAATGGAAGTTCTGCCTATCACATGCACTCAAGGTTGCAGCTGCATATCGACTATGGCCACCAGATGGCAAGGCCGATCCAATCATGCTTCCAATACCTTGGATGGCAACCTGCATCCTGATTTTCGAACTGATGAATCCTAGTCCTGTTCTTGTTGGGGAAAAACATACTGTGCTGGACTCAGTTGACTTATTGATGTGCTACCTGCACCAATCGTCTCAATCTTGGGGCATTGTTGGCGCTCTCATGAGTAAGTTCAACATCCTTTACTGCAATCAGAGGTGCATATTGACGATGCTCTCAAGGATCACTCGAGGAGCTACGTGGGCGCTCATGGAGAAAGCTTAGTCTCAACGCCATCTTCCAGCTTTTGTCCACCATTTCGGCTCCACAGCAGCAGTCCCATGCGGCCCCGCTCAAAGCGCGTCCAGGGGCGCCTAGACACAGCCTAGACACCGACTCTGACACCTACGATGGTGCTGGCCTCATGGAAGGTTTATTAGGAGAGGGATTTACAGTCCCATGGATACCCAGTCCAGGATCCTTTCTCGACGTAGACTGGTTACGGGCTGGGCCAGAAGTCGAGATTCAAATGTAGCAGAGCTGAGAGTATGAAGGGTTTATCCGAGTGTTGCTTTCCGGAGTTCTGTTATGCATCGGCCACTAGAGGTTTTCTGCGCTTTCAAAACCCCGTCAAATTGGAGAGATGAGGTGAGTTCAGCAATACGCAGCTACAGCTCGATCTGGACATCATGTCTATTTTCCAGATCATCAGCTTTCTGTCATTTTGGATACCCAACGTATCTGAAGCTCTGATTTAGGATGTCCACTGGCCCTGCCACATTGGATCACCAACATCCTTCGGTGCACGGGTTTTGGCATCCTTATCTGTAAATACTGTAACGATGGCATCCTTCAACGTCTCATCTTTCATGAGCGCAACCAACTCTATGTGAAGAGGATCTTGTGACGCCCAGTAAGACACATCAGCTACTGATTTGAATGTTAGGAACATGTTGAAATTAAACCCTATTGACCTGTGTCAGACAAGCTCACAGTGAGAAGAATTGGACATTGGTAATTGATAATAAAAGTGAAATCATACGGCAAAGAGAAAAGTGAACGCTTTGGGTCTGGCACTCTTTTTGGGGGCCAAAAGACTGACCTTGCGCCTTTGATGAGCGGCCTGGAAATGGCGCCCTGGTACTTCCTGCACGAGCCTCAGTGATGTACCTCTTGCCATTCTTTCTGGCTCTTTCTGGAATGGAGTTGACGATTTCCATCAATTTGGACCCTGCCGCAGGTGACTTCAGTGACCACAAGGCCACCAAGTATGTGGGCTCTGTTACTTGCTCATGGCTAATTCTGAAAGCCCGTTGTTATTATTCAGAATACCCGTGATACATAGTTACAATACGTACAGCTGGCGACCAAAGAATTCTAAAACAGTCTGGTAGCCTTGTCGATATCGCTCGCTCACTTTCGGGTCTTCCAGGTCCGCTCGTGCTGCCATCCATCCATGGATCTGGTCCTCAAAAGTCTGAACGTGTTTTTGGACTTTCAAATTGGCTTCGAAATCGGATACCGCTGCAGAGTCTTCATCCTTGGACGCTAGGACGCACATCGGTACCGTTACCGATTTAGCTTCCTCCGGGTCCAACATAGCAGGGTGCGCTTGGGCGACGGCCTTAAAGGGAGAGTTCTCGCCGCTGCAAAGTGTTATGACCTGTAGAGATGATTGATTAGAACATGAGAGAAAAAGTTTCAAAGTTACCTAGGACTTCATAAGTGACAAGAAAGGCCCTGCATCAGCTACATACCTTGCCTCCCCAGCACATCCCAAGAGCAAACAAATTCTCGATGGAATTACTACTCTTCTTTATACCCTCAACGATTTCAGGGACACGATGAACAGCTTTGGCAGGGTTTCCAGTATTGCTGAAGAAGTTGGCCAAAGCCTCTCCATGCTTTTCAGTGGTTGGCGGATACCAAGAAATATCGGCGGCTTTGCCCTCAAAAAAGTCCGGGACAAAAACGCGATAGGAATTGTTTTTGTCTCCAAGAGCCAAAATGTCAGCTCCTTGGATAGTTTGAGGGAAAAAGCCAAAAATGTCCATCACAACAAGAATTGCAAGTCTTGCGGATGGTGGGCCAGTCACGTCTGTGCCATAGTGTCAGTTGATATTCAAGTCCAAGGTTGGCCGCTTCTCCATCGTGTCCTTGGGTGGCAGGCTTACATGTCTTCAATCCTGCGATGGTTTCGTAAGTTCCCTTCCCGTTGTACCCCTTTGAGACAACAGGGGGTATCGAGCAACAAGCAAGTGAATAAGATGACATCTTTTCGTCCGCTGTGTACCTGTGCACTTGGCAATGGCCATCTGTACGTGTCTGGCGATGCACAAGAAAGCCGAGTTTAAGTATTCGTAGAAAGTGTGGCCTGGTCTCATCAGTAAACATCAACTGCTAGGGCAAGGATGTTCTGGGAGAGAAGATTGGTGCATGACAGTTTACATCGTGTCGGGGTAATTAGATGCCCCAGAGTTGACCCGGAGTCTACTGACCTCCGACAACTTGCTGGCATCTCGGCAGTAAAACAATAGCCCGACTACAGCTTTAGTGACGTTACATACCTAATTTAACTTTAAAAAAGAATGATTTTAGGGCGATCCGAGAAAGAAATGTGCCGTGGACTATACGCATGATACAACATGATACTCCACACTGTGATCGGGCCTAGCACTCTTGCATTGGAATGATGTCGTATAACCTTAAAAACTTTGAAATATCGTTTTTTACGGCTGTCTGAGTGCGCCAATTTTCTTTGCAATCTGTTTTCACATTAACGAAAATGTTTAAATAAGTTAACTGTTGGAATAACAGCACCAGCTGGTTGTACGACACGCACGACTCAAGGACACACACCATGGCAGAGGGCACAGACTGGATATTCGGCCCTCGGTTATCCATTGAGGGGATCAAAGTATATTCATGCCGCACTGACTCAGGGATGTACGAGATCATATATCTCGTGTACGAAAGCCAAGTCTTGTAGTTAGGAAGATAATCACGGAAAATACATCTTTGGTTCACCCTAACTTTTAACCCGGGTACGATCGTACACACGGGTTCTCTCAAGAAGAGAGAATCCATTCAACATTAACGCAAAATTATAGCCTCTTGCCGGTGTCTTAGGGTCTTAGGGAACATAGGATGATCTAGCTCGGAGAAGGTACCGTCTCTACGCTCACAGAATGATTCAAATGGAGTCGAAGATTTCTATATTACGTTGGCACAACCATCACTAAATGTCATTGTCGCGGTGACATCACATATTTGCACCTTAGCCATAAGTGCTGGGCATCACGGAGGCGCAACCACCATCCGATAACAAGACTGACCCATTCGTATATCCTCCCGCCAATGAAGCCAAGTATAATATAACCCCGGCCGCCTCAGCCTCTCGGCCACATCTTAAGACTGTAGACCGAGTAACTGGAACAGAGCCATCGTCCTCGGCTTTTGGGTCGTCCATTTTGAAAAGAGCCATCTGTTCGGTGAGTTCAGAGCGGAAGCCTTTTTTCACATTAGAAAAACTCTGCACACGGAAAAATCCCGTCAGATGAACTTACCGCCAAGCGCAAGGGCATTAAAGCGAATTTGCCAGGGCGCGAAGTGAGTTGCCAAGCTTTGCGTGAGCTGCCGAATTCCAGTCTTAGAAACCGCGTACGCAAAGGACCCGTTCAATCCCCTACAGTATGCGCCAACGCTTGACATGCTGATGACTTGACTTTGGGATGGATAGTTGCGTTTCTTGTTCCCAGCATCCAGAAGAAGTAGAAAAGAAATAGCAGTGTAGTAGGATGCAGTGACATTGACGTGATACGTGTCGGTCCATTCACTCATATCCTGAGACATCAAATAGCTCTGATGATCTTCCAAGGTCTTCAGCCCGGACTTATCATCGCCCATTCCCGGGCCGGGACGACCAGCACAAAGAACGAGAAGATTGATGTACCCTTCTCTTGAAGCTATGTAGTCGACACATTCCTTGAGAGACTGCTTCGAGGTGACATCCCCGGGCAAGGCCACGATCCTGCCATTCTTCTAGAAAGGTGTATGTATGAGCGGGCTATGCCAGAACTGAGTGGGACATATATTCTTACTGCCTGTTTTGCCGCAGCTTCTAGTTTCTGCCAGTTGCGACCGATTATATAAACTTTGGAGGCTCCATTTGCTTCTAGTGCTTTGGCGAACATCAAACCCAAACCTGGAGCCAAGGTTTAAAAATTTGTAGGTTTCCAACACTTGGGGTCACTCTCACCTGATCCACCTCCGGTGATGACCGCGACGAGGCCGCTGAGATTAAACACGTCCCAGGAGGGCGCGTTGGCCGGGATGTTTTGCGACATTTTTTCGAATCTGCACTGTGATGAAGATGCAGCGTATGCGTATGGCCATGACACGCTTCCCCGTGGTGTTTTATATATGTATGTGAGTAAGACTGATTACTCAAGAACCCAATTCGACAGGTCCCAGGGTTTAAGGCGTTTCGATCGCGGACTCGCTCTAATCTCTTTATCTAGGTTTGTTTCATCGGGAAAAACTCGTTTACATCAACGGCGTATCTAGTAGCAGCACTTCGGTCTACTTTGGTGCGGACACATTGTGTAGGCTTTCGCTATTAATTGTCACACCCCCGGCGCCGTCGGAGTAATTGGCCAGTGCCCTCTGGGAGGTTTCGGGGTATCTAGTTACGCCTACTTTCTAGCACCTTGACTTAAACCTGCGCAAGCGCAAGTAAAGGTTGGTCCGGGTAGAGATGGAGAGACATGAGTTTCAAAAAGCTTTCCCCGCCTTAGCAGTTTATTTGATTGGCTGTTCATCCTCAATTTAAGCGTCTCCGGACCATAACCTTACAAATTTCAACTTAGGTTTGTTACAACCTAGCAAATTGAAGGTGCTCATTGATCTTATTTTAAATCCGAACTGAGCTATCTTGATTGTGATATGGATAAAACTTGATAAATCGATTTAGGGGAATCTACAATTGCCCAACATCCTGTTTGACATTTGGCACGTGGTCCCAGGCTGCGTCAAACCCTGCGAACCTAATCCATGCCTCGAGTTGATCATGCCCTGCGCGAGAAACTTTGTCGTTAGGAAGCCAGCTATCCACAACAGCTGTAGCTACCTTTTCGAAATACATCTCTTTCATTCGAAATTCTTTCCGATCTCCAAAGTGGCGGGTAACGTGTTGGGCATGGATGAGGGCGCGAATGATCTTGCACCCATGACCATCATCTTTGTAGTTCAGACTGCGGTCAATGACATATTTCCATCCACTACGTTCCTCTCGCGGTCTGTGAGTAAGAATAGGAGTCAAATCGAGCTTGGGACAGCCCATTGCAATGTATAACATGATGCTGTAGCGACCGAACCAGGAGAGAAGACGAGCCTTGCCTTGCAGGCCGATCCAGTCTTTATGAATGATAGAGTCTACCAGGATGGAGCAGTTTGTCGCATGCAAAAGGAAAAAGTCCATTTTCGGTTCTTTACCGAGTCGTTGCGCGCCGGCCAGGACATAAGCTATGTAAAACGGCGTTAGCGATATACTAATCCTTCATCCGTTGGGTATGCACATACATGTTCCATTGCAGAGTTCTGCAGACCTCAACTCGATTTCGTGCTCCAAAACGGTATAGCGGCTGGCGTAGTCGATGACCTTCTGTCTAGGCCCACCAAGGAGCCCCTGGTTGTCCATTATATGAAGAGGGTTGATCTTTAGAGCAGCAAGTAACTCTTTGTCAGTAACACAGAGGTCTAATGTTTCTACAAAACACAGGTGATCTTGTCGACAGGAGGCGGACTCCTCAATCTCAAGCATGATGGATGCAACGTCGTCATCATTTTGCGTGCAGGCCATGGCCAGGCCCTCGAGAACGAGAATAGGTAGATCAAATTCGATACCGAATCCTGTGTGGATAAGGGGGTGGATGAATCCTTCCTCAAGGATTAGTATTGCCGGCCCCCGAAAGCAATGCCAAAAGGAGGAGCTGGAAACAAACCAGTGACCATTCTAGAGAAAATCTCTGTGGCGCGGCTATCCGAAGAGAACAGGAAGCGGTTTACAGACTTCTCATATCCCTCCTTCTCCATTTCTCGTGTGAAATACGCGAGGTAATCGGCATACTTGTCTGGGTCACCGAGATGACGCTGTAAGGTCGCAAAGTCGGACAGTGCATTAACGATCTCAACATTCGCCGGTCTTATTTCTTTTTGATAGTCTTCTTGCTTGACGAAACTGTCTATAATGGTTTCGGCGGTGCCCCCAAGAGAGTACAATGTAAGGGCATGATGAGCCAAGTGGTTCTATGCAAGCAATGAGAAACCGAGTCGACTCGGAGAGTGGATTTTGCTTGACCAAGACAATACATACGTGCAGCAAATTGTGGTGAACCTCCTGGAAATAGACGTTGTATTTCTCATGGTTTAGTTGCAATAGTTCGTTCACTGCTTTCCAATCTGGGTCCGACCTGCTGGGCGCAGGAGTGCGCAGAGATAGCGAAAATGCAGATGTCATTTGGGATACAAGAGTAATGGCTTTTTCAGCGCAAGTTTACAACCGACCGTTGGAGGAAGCGAAGTAAAGAAAAAAATTGAGCACGACGGCATGAACATCGTACTCTGCTAACTATTTATTCCACAGCGTTTCTCCAATGCAGTTCAGCAACATCTATGCGAAAGTGCGCCAACCAATACAAGCTGATCTATCGGCTGTTCAATGTTACCTATTAGCCCCGCAACAACATCGGAGGAATTGGCGTAAAATGATGTTCCGAAATCATCCCTGCTTTTATCCCACACGGATGAAAGTTGTTGTTCCGTGTCCGCTTAATCATTACACGGAGCTCTTCTGCTGGTGATTTGGAGCGGTTGGCCGGCACGGACGGATGATTACACAGAAGCTAATATGGCCCTCTTCAATGTGAGGACATTAGTATAAATGTACAGACGTGTGCTTGATTGTCTTTTAGATAAACATCGGTGAAGACGCATCTTTTCAAATTCACACCAACTCCTGACAGCTTTGACCATGGAAATTCAAGAGCCACTTGAT